GGTGAAGCCCGACGGTGGAGAGACACCTCCGTTCATCAAGGGAGTAGTAGGCAGCGGGAAGCAGAAGCACGAGAAAGGGAGGAAGCATGGGACGAGCAACGAAGGTGAGCCTTGAACCTCGACCTGCCGCTTGCAGAAAAACAAACTGAGGGTGCTCGCTCATAGTTGATGCTGTGGACGGTATCAACAACGAGCACAAGGATCATGCACAGGCGACGGATGCACCCGATGGCAGCCATTCGAATGGAGCTGGAGAGAAGAAAGAGCCCATGACGGAGACAGAGAAGAAAAGCTCGGAGTGCGAGGAGGGTGAAGGTGAGTGAGTGGCTGTCAGATGCTGTCTCTGGGATGACAAGTCACAAGAAGGGGGCGAGGAGAGGAAGAGGACGACAAGCGAGAGAGGGAGTGTGGCCTCGAGCAGCGGCAGCAGGAACGAGACGAGGAGCGGAGCGAACGCACAGGCGGAAGAGGAGCCGAATGATTCCGTCATGATCGCGCGGATGCAGAGAGAGCAGAAGGAGAGGGAGGAGAAGTGCACTTTTTCTCCTGCCCTCAACCCCAAGTCGTTGCAGATGGCAGAGGGCAGGGAGCGTAAACCACTCTACTTCATTGACAAGCCCAAGGGCGAAGAAAATCAGGAGAATATTAACCATTCCCCTGGAATCAAGGTATCGTTTCCTACTCGTCTCCCTCCTCGTCCTCATCCTCTTCTTCTGCTTCCTTCTTGTCATCCTCCGCCTTTTGAATCATCTATTTCTTCCTGCTGCCCCTCAATTTCACCTAATCAGCTCGAAAGATTTCAGCAGATCGGCAAGCTGAGATCATACAAAGGATGTCTGTGGTGAGGAACAGCTGGAGGAGGAAAAGGACGATGAGCTGATGAAAACCTTCGACAGGAAGCTGCAAGAAAACATCAGGAGGAGTTGAGGTGAGAACGAATTTTCTGTCCAGCTCATGAGCTTGCAAGCAGAAAGCTTGAGGCTGAGATGGAAGAGAAGAACGCCAAAATGATTCAGGTGAATGGAAGAGATCGATGCAGCTAATTGCCCCTTTTCCCTTTCCTTACTGCGACCCATTGCCTGCTGGTTGCGCTAGACGCTCGTCCTGACATCCTGTCTTCTCGGCCCTCTCCTCCAATTCCTTGCTTTTACTCTGTCCCCTCTTTCACCGTCCTTTCAACCTCATCCTCGTCCTCTCTTTCACGCTCTTACATGTCCACAGAGCTTTTCGATCAACCGGAGGAGCGAGGAGCTGTCAAACAGGCGCGTAGCCGAGGGAGATGTCTTCACCAGGCTATCTGCTGTGGATGTGGAGAAGAAGAAAAAGAAGCTGCAGGAGATGAAGAGCGGTCAGGAGTCGCTGCTCTCCTCTTCTCCGGTCCGCTTCTCTTGCTCCCTCCTTGCGAGTTCGTGACAATGCTTTACGTCAGGGGGTGAGTGTGCTGCCCAAGAGCAAGGAGCTCGCGATGAGACGGGTACGAGGGGTCGGGATATACCTTTGTGCTCTCCTCATCCACAGCTCCTTCCTCCTGCCTCTAACTTCTTCCCATGCCGTAGCTCCCTTGATCCATCTCGTTCTCCTCCTCCCCTTCCCTTCTCCTTCACCGTCTAAAGGTTCCTCGCAGTCCGAGCAAGGTGACGTCATCACCCGCCTGTCAAAGGTGGACTTGGATGTCAAGTGGAGCAAAATCCACCAGCTGAAGGAGCAGCTGAGCTTGGAAGAGGCGACCTCTCTTGTCCTCTTCTTCATCGCTGCGACCAGAGGTAACCATCGGCGACAGGTGGAGACGCGGATCGACACGAAGAGCAGGAGGAGGACGGAGGAGATGGCGAGGAACGAGTGAGTGGGCAGGAACATGAGAAGGTTGCGGTGACGTTTCGCCAGACCTCACAAGGAGACGTCATTACGCGCCTGTCAGGCATCGACGTGGAGGCAAAGAGAGCACGGGCGAAACTGATGGAGGAGGAGGCGAGAAGGAGGGAGGAAGAGCTCATGGCAAGTTTCCTGACCTGCATTCTTGCCGCCTTACCCTCCTTGCAGGTCAATTCGGCAAGGGGAAGGGGAGGAGCGGACAGGAAGAGGTGTGCACTGCAAGGCGCCAGACATGGGAGGGAGAGGGTGACTGTAGCTCTTCAGCTCGCGACCGAAGTCGGCTGGAGGAGAGGGAGAGAACTTCTTCGAGAGGTCAATGAAGTACCTGGAGAAGAAGAAAGCGGCGCTGGAGGTCCCCCAGTCCTTGAAGAGGCAGAGAAGGCTGAAAGCTGTCTGTCAGGAAAAACGACTGCAGAAGGAGGAGGAGGAATCAAAAATCCTCTCAGCTCGGCCCAAGATGAACGATACTTCGCGAGAGCTGGCGTCCAGTAGGAGCAGTGTGCTGTCTCAAACAGGAAGACGATCGACGGATGCACAGCCGGAGCAAGGGAAGGGGGGCAAGGCATCGCCATCCGCAGCGAAGGGGAAGGAAGTAAAGAGGGAAGTGGAAGGGGGAGGGGAGAAGCGAGAGGAGAGAAAGGAAGCAAGAAAAGAGGGAGGGAACGCTTTGAGCGAGGAGAAGGACGTTCAACTCAAGAAGGAGTTGCATCAGCTGCGCACGAAGATAGAAAGGTTCGTCATCATCTCCGCGTTCTTCTTCGTTCTTTTCCTTCCATCCTGATTCCTGCCGCATGCAAACCTTCCCGCTTTCTTAGCCCCCCTTCTTCCTTCCCTCTGTCTCATCTTGTCTGAATGAATTTCTTGGTGCAGCCTGGAGAAGGAAAATCAAGCGTTGAAGGCTGAAGCAAGCAAGAAGGGGGAGCAGTGAGCTTTCTTATCTCCAACTCCCTCCTGCCACTACTGTCTTGCCCTCCTTCTTTGCACTGCTTGCAGAGTTCTCTTCCTTTCGCACCTCCCCATTTGCTCCTCCCCCGCTTCTCTTTCCACTCTCCTCCTGAAGTTGTCGTCTAGGATCCTGAAGCTTGAGCAAGACTTGCAGCAGCACCGGAAGGAGAAGGTGGAAGCGGAGGCCAAAAGAAAGAAGGATGAGGGCGAAGTCAAAGAGGGGAGAGAGGCGGATGAGGGAGAAAGGAAGGAGAAAGAGGAGGAGCAGGAGGGGTCGCAGGAACATCTGGATGCGGATCGGGTCAAGTTGCATGCCAAGGAATGTCTGCGCGTTGCAATGGTGAGCGCATGATGATGATGATGAGGAGGAGGAGGAGGAGGAAGAGGAGAAAGCAGAATGACTGACTGCTCTTGCAGAGGCTACTTTCCTCCGAATTCGATCACGACGACTCCTTTCTCTTTGCCAATGCTGCGCTCTCCTCATTGTACACACCTTTTATACTTTATCCTTTGACCCATGCCTCCGCCTCCTCCTTTCGCACATTCATCGCTTCCCCGCTTTGCTCGCTTCCTCTCTCTGGCTTTGACGTGAAATTTCCCCAGGCAGTTTGAAGCCAAAGAGGAGCATAACAAGGAAAATTTCCGATCGCTTCTCAAGGTGATCCACTCATATGTCCTTTCCTACTCCTCTCCTCTCCTTCTCCTACTCCTACTCCTCTCCCTCTCTCTGCTTTCTACCCCTCCTTGACGGCTCCTTCAGGTCATCAAATCAATCAGCGACTGAAAGTGGACCCATCGCTGTCGCCCCTGAATGTTTTCCCCAGTCCTCTTTACTTGTTCCCACCTTTGATTTCACGGGAAGAGTTTCACGCATACATCCTTTTATCACATGACATGGACAACAGCAACATTTTCTTTCCTTCTTCCTCTTCCACTTTTTCTTCACCTCTTCACCTTCTCCTCCTCCTCCTTCACTCTGCTTCTCTTCTCCCATTCCCTCTCCCTTCTCATCCGTTTGACAAACTCACACGATCAGCCCGACCAAGTTCCTCTTTGACGACGTGATGGTCGACGACGATGACGATAGAGCACCACCAATCTGCTTCCACATCATCACAACGCCCCTTCCCCACCACCTCCTCCTTGTCTCTCCATCCTCTCTACGCCCCCCCCTTCGCGACTCTCCTCTTCTTCCACTTACCGCTGGAGACCTGGGGAGCTTGTCGCTTTCTCTCACATCCTGCAAGTAGTTCAGCAACTCTCGCTCGCCCCTCCCTTCATCTCCTCGTCCTCTTTACCCTCCATCCACCGACCTCTCCTTCTCTATCCCTCCCCTTCATCCCCTCGAGCAATCTTTCCTCTTCTCCCCCGCTCCTCTCACCTTCAACCTCTCTTCAGCTCCTCCGCTACTCCATCTCGCAATGCCGATGAGATCTTGCGGTCTGGCCTGGCCCTGAGCAGAAGCGGAGCCGACGGGAGCAGCGAGGAGAGCGTCATGCTGCGTGCGGAGACTCATGAACTCCTCCTGCAGGTTCGCAAGAGTCTCCTGCAGCGACAAGTTTGCCTCTCGCAGCTTCTTGACCTCCTCCTCGTCTCCCTTCGATCGGTGCTCCTCGTTCTCTCGCAGGAGCTGAAGGCATGTCAGGAGGGAGGGGGTGGGAGGAGGCAGACGAGGAAGACAATAGTAAGGAGAGTTGAACAAGCGAGAGAATCGATCATGACAGTAGAGGAAAGGGTGACGGAGGACAGGGTGGAGGCAGGGGGCAGAGAAAAGGCAAGAAGAAGGATAGGAAGGAGGAAGACCGGCAACACAAGGAACAGGGCCTTTGAAGTTGGAAGAGGAGGAATGAAATGAATGTACAGGAGACGGAGGAGTAGAAGAGAAGGAGAGGAGAAGAATAGGGAGCGAGGGTGACCTGCTTCAACGCCGTGTTTTCAACTTCAAGTTCCAGGACGGAGCGAAGGCCAAAGTTGGAGGAAGAATCAACCTGAGATCTGTAGGAGAAAAACATCACGAAAGAAGGTCATCGTCATCGTTATCGATGTCATCGTCTTCGTTGCTGTCGCCTTTGTTTTCATCATCACCACCATCACCATCATCATTATCATCATCGTCGTCGTCATCATCATCATCGTTTTTCCTCTCCTTCTTCACCCCTCCCCAGCGCAATTCTACTCCTCTTCCCCTTCCTCTATCCCCCTCTACACTCTCACTCCTCATCTTGCCCCTCTGCTACTCACTTGCTCCTTTCGTCCTCGAGCATCTTCTCCATCTTCTTCACTTTCTCCTTGTAACCCTGGACGAGCATGTTGAGATCCGCGTTGCTCTTCTTCATCTGCTCAAAATCCAGCAAAATCTTCTCTTCTTCACCAGCCTGCATCTTGTCATGAGCCCCTCTTCCCCCTCTTCCCCCTCTTCCCTTCCCCCACCCGCTTCCCTTTCCCCCTCAACTCTTTCACCTCCGACATCTTCGCCCTCTGACGCTCATGACTGTCACCGCGGGACAGCAAGCGGATCTCCTGGTCCTTCTCCTCCAGGCTCCTCATCATCTCCGAGATGCTCTTCTCCAAGGTCTGGATGCGCTCCGAAGGCTGGAGGGAGCACGAGTCAAAGCACCACCGCAACCCGCGTCCCCGCATCATCCCGCCATCTCCTCGAGGACGCGCATGCACGGCAGATTTTCTTTACCTCACGCCCAGGAGGCAGGTGGGAGGAGCTCGTATGGAACCGTGAAGCAGACGACAGAGAGTCCTGCGACCTGCCATGGCCCAGCTCTGCGCAAGCACTTCAGCTACAGGGGCACCAGGGGCAAAGGGGAAAAGAGGGGGGCAGGGGGCAGCACCGCTTCGCAGCTTCTCGCTCTCCATCCCTTCTATTCTTCTGAGGAGCCTCGAGCGTTCCTCCTTCAGGTTCGACACCTCCAAGTACACCTGCTCCAACTCCTTGCGATGCATCTCCCTCTCCCTCCTAAGCTCCGCCTCCACCTCCACCACCAGCCTCGTGTCCGCCACGTCCTCCAAGGACGCGATCTTCCCTTCAAACCGGTTCAGCAGGGCGTTCAGCTCCTCCTCGTGCATCTTCTGCATGCGGAGTAGAGACATCTCAACTTGCTGCATGATGTCCTCGACGTATGCGACGCTTCCTGCGACCACATCCCAACTCCTCTGCAGCGCTTGCTCGTCCTCCTCCTTCCTCATTCCCTTCCTCTCGCCTTCCCTCTCCCCCTCCCTTCTCCTCCCCCCCTCCCTCTGCGAGATTTGCGTCTTTCCCCCATTATGCACCAGAGCTCCTCTATCTACAACAGAATTGCTGTAGCCATGCTGCTCTCCACCCTCCCCATGCTCCTCAATCTCAACCTCACTCTCCACCTGCAGGCTGTTCAACACATCCAGGTCATCCTGCCGTTCATGGAAGACGGGCTGTACGTAGGACTGTGGGACCCAGGACTTCTGTCCCTTACTGTCCCTCACCAGCATCCATCCTCTTTCCCCGGTCCGGATCTTTCCTCAAGTCAATGTAACAAAGAGAAGGTCGATCGTCCTCACCACAACGACAGCATCACCAGCTCTCAGCTCTCTCCCCTGGGCAGTAATGAAGCCATTCAACATGAACAAGACCGTCTCTCCTTGATTCGGGTGAATGCGAACGGAAGATACACTCATGATGACGGTGAATCTCAAGACTTAGTTTCTTCCTCCCAGCCTGTTCTTGTTTCAGCGGATGGTCATCCCAAAGCCTGAAGACAAATCAGCGTCAGCATGTCACCATTGCGTGCACCCCTTCCCGTTCTCCTTCTCTCCTTCCCCTTGTCCTTTCCTCCAATCGACGGTTTTACCATCAGCTCGAACCAACCTTCTCTGCCCCTTCACGACAGACTTGAAAGGCTACTGATCCTTGAGTCTTCTCCTCCGCCTTCTTTGAGAACCCTTCCATCCTTCCTCCTCTCTTCCCTTCTGCTGCCCTCCCTCCTCCCTCCTCCCTCCTCCCTCCCCCGCTCATCCGATTCCATTCCAATCCCATTCCTCTCCGCAGCCTGAGGCGGGTCAGGATCTGTGATTGAATATCGTTACATCGGTCGTTGCGACCGTTGCGGCGGCGAATTGTTCTTCGGAGTCTCGGAACCTTCCGCTAGGGAGAGGGTCCTAGGTGGCCTATGACCCGAGATTGTATCGGTGAGCCTGGGAGATCGGTAGGACCGGATACTTTACTACAGGGCCTCGAAGAGGAAAACTTGGGCTCCTGCCCCAACCTCCCGATTTGCCCCAGCGACCTTCAAGGTTTCTCTTCATTCCCCTGCTCACTCGGATCCTCGTCCTCGTCCACAACCTTAGAAGACGGTCCTTTGCGGCGGTCTGGTCGATCCTCGCATTCTCGTCCTCACCTGCTGTCTCACTTGCTTCAAAGCATGCTCCATCACAATGCTGATACAGCGGACAAGAGTCTCGTAAGGAAACCGAGAGCCATCCGCAAGAACTGCATTCGCTTAGAGTTGTCGAGGCTGCAAGCTCTCTTCTGCTACAAGGAGAGCGAGGCCGCTAAGATCTTGGGCATCTCCCTCACCGCCATGAAGCGCGTGTGCAGACGAGCCGGAGTCATGAAATGGCCGTACTCGAGGACTCGAGTTTCCCCATCTGGCCCACCATCACCGTCCTCCCTGCCTCCAGCGTACTCGGCGATCCTGACAAAGGCCGTTGAAGATGAGCCAGAAGGCGACTGTGAGAGCTTGTGCGGGACTCAAGGCGCATATGAAGGAGTGCCGGAGGATGAATGTTGGATGTGGGAGGAGGATCAGATTCCATTGGAGGTAGAATGGATCGAGTGGTACATGAGCTCAGAGGACGACTAGGACGATACAATGAAGCCAGACAAGTCTGACAGGTCTACAGTTACCCGTAAAACAGTCAGCCTTTGTGAACGACCACCTGTCACCACTGACAGCGTTCTGTTCGAACTAGAGCCTGTCAAGTGTATCGCATCTTGATATTTTGTTTTAATAAAAGTTTAAGTTCGTCATCTCTTCCTTTCCTCACAACGCTCTCCCTCTCAGTTCTTCCAACAAGGACAGTCGAGCCGCCAGTCTGAGGAGTCCAGCATGATGAGTTCACATGATTGTGCTTCAAAGCTTCCGCGCAGCACACACTCCTGAGGTTGACGCCGAAGTTGATGATGAAAGGCACGCGGAACTTTACAAACTGTGAGCTTGAATAGACCCTGGAGACACTGAGAACTTTCAAGACTCTCACTGCACAACAAAAGCTGATCATCGGATGGTGCACTGTCACATCGATTCGACTGAGGCTATGTTCACGGTTTTTTAACTCAACTTTGAGTAAAGGTTCGTCCCCTGGAGATCGGATATATCGGATTCCCCGTTTGGCGTGACTAGCCGCATGTCACTGCCACAAACCGTAACGTGGCCGATGATGACTTGAAAAGACTTGAACGCATTGCACACTGAAGAGACGTAAGTTTCATGATACTATGCTGAGACTGAGAGGAGCTTACCTTGAGGCCCTTCAAGGCCCATTCATTGACTGAAAAAGAAAAGCAATTTAATTTTCAACTTTTCCGCCGGCCAATTGCGCGTAACCGTCACGCCGGAGTCCCCCGCCGGTCACCCCGCCGTGACGGTCGGACCGTCAAACGGCCGTCGACTCTGATGCCGGCACACCATAATTTAATTCAGTTAACAATTGTTAGTTCCTCCGAGTCAGTCAACTTTTACGCCGCGGTGGCCGGTCCGGCGACTGCGGCCGCCGCCGGGGCGCCGCGGGCCGCCCCGGCCCGCGCACAGCCTGGCAGGGCAGGCCGCTACAGTACTTTTACTCAAACTTCCGTTAAGTTAAAAATCAGGCTATTTGGTTGCCCTGGCTGCCGGAGGCACCGTAACCTTAGGGCCGAGACTAACGTCCGTTAGCGTATCGCGAAAATATTGCGAACGCAACGAAACGTTTTAGAAATATTGTAAAACGTTTATAACTATTATACAATTTCCAAACGATGTGTAAATTTGAAATAAGTGGATTTATATATTTACAATGTCATTTATTAAATGTAAGCAGGCCGTGATCATCGTGTGGTAAAGCTGTGTTGTAATAAAGAGAATCGCGAACGACGTTCGCGATTCTCCGTATCCATGAGATTAAAACTGCTTTTTAATGTATTTGAATTTGTACCACAAAAATATAGGTCAAAACAGGATGACGAAATGGTTTGAAACGTTGTTGAAGGAAAATGTTTCCAAAATGGAATTGTTCGTGTCAGGTTGATATATATCGAAGCAATGCTTGTTTGACAGGGAAAGGGATATTTTTGGCAAAAAAGTTAAATCTATGTATGTCAAAAAGCGTTCGTTCGCTCATGGATTCGCGATACGCTGTCAGCCGTTAAACTCGGCCCTTAGTACCGTTTAGAGCCTTCCCCCTTGACTCAAACTTGTGACTGAAAGCCTGGAAGTTAAGTTAAAATACGCTGAGGACTATGATGGCAGGCCCCCGAGAGACGGTCGCCCGGCAAGACTGAATTTAACCGTTACAAAAGCGTTCGATGATTGCATCTTCCATACGTAACGGGCTACCACACATAAAAGGATGCCCATGGCTATCAACGCGCGGCGGATCTGGGCGGTATGATGATGAAGATGAACTAGACAAGATGGCAATGCACGATATGACCATGATGACTGTGATGACTAGAATGATGGTGAAGACGACGATATGGTTGAGATTGTGAGCACAGAGTGATGAATCATCGAAGACATGACTTTGTCTTCCAAATTGTTTGACGGATCCGACCTGTTCATGTTCAATTGAGTGCAACAGCATGCTCTTGTATAATACGATAAGTCAGCATGTTCTCATGTCCTATGAAGAGTGAGGGTTACTGACCGCAACGAAAACGATCGCAGGGAAGTCTTGTAAGGGGTGGAAGCTCAATGCTGAAGGGAAGAGTCCTTGGGCTTCCCCGTCTCTTCTCAACATCTGCAGAAGACAGATTCGACGTGATGACTGTGCAGGGAGGAGAACTCAGAGCTGACAACATGAGCAGGTCGTTGTGTTTGGTGGAAACGGGTTCGTTGGGAGTGAAGTCTGCAAAGCCCTCTCCCTCAAGGGGAAAAAGTGCTGTCGATTAACCGCTCTGGGACACCGAGACAGTCTCTAGATTGGATGAAGAACGTCAAGTACCTAGCGGGTGCGAGCCAACTGCTCTTTGCTGCGTCCTCATCGCAACCATAGCGGACGTGTTCTCCCCTGAAACCTGGCGGAGCATGCTCGTCGGCGCCCAGGGAGTGGTCGCAGCCATCGGGGGGTTCGGGTCGTACGAGGCCATGAAGAGGATCAATGGCGAGGCGAACATCGTGGCGGTGGAGGTAGTCGACTCCCCTCCTCATGTGACCCGACTGGTCCCGCTGACTTGCTCCCTTCAGGAAGCTGCTGCTGCCGGAGTCCATCGCATGGTCTTCGTTTCTGCTACGTTCCCTCCATTTCCTGCCTCAATCCCGCTAAGGTGAACCATTGGCGTCAACGGCTAAGAGAGGGAGGGAGGGAGGGAGGGAGGGAGGGAGGGAGGGAGGGAGGAAGGGAGAGAGAGAGAGATGGAGAGAGATGTTGATATCTTGTCATGATAGAGGATACATCGAGGGGAAGGAATCGGTTGAGAAGCTCGTCAAGGAAAGATTTCCCTCAAGCTTCACTATCCTCAAGCCTTCGGTCATCTACGGTAGGACCGAAGTTGTTATGCCATCCTACCTTTCACCTTACATCTGCCAACTGTCATATTGATGTCATGTGCTTCTATCTCCTGTTCCTCTCATATCTCATCCTCGTCTCTAACTTCTTGACTTCTTTCCTATGATCTCACACCCTCTTAGGAAATCAACCCGGCGCCCACCCCCTCATCGCAACCGTCCGGGCGTTCGGTCCGCTACAAGAACCGCTCATGAGCCAGACTCCCCTCCACAAATTCTCTGGGCTGCCGGTACGAAGGGGATGTGAAGGCGCTGGGCGGTTAGCTGACGCGCCGGCAGGTCATCGGGTCAGCGTTTGTACCATGGTCCCCTGTAGAGGCGGTGGGCAGAGCAGCAGCGGAGGTTTGCGCCCCCTGCAGCTCGCGTTGTGCTGAACCTTGACACAGGCAGCGATAAGTGAAGTGAGCCCTGCCGTCATGAGCCCCTCGGACATCGCGCGTTACAAGTAGAAGGGGAAGGAGAATAAAGGGACTGAGGACGAGGACGAGGACGAGGACGAGGACGAGGACGAGGGAGGACGAGGTGGTGGTGGGGGGGGGGGGTGACAAGGGAGGAGGCAGGGGATGAGAAGTGGATGGAGGAGCAGTACTCGCTGGTGTGAGATGACGTAAAACTTTCAAAGTTGCATTCCGAGTTTCTCCCCAACCTCTTGAAGGAACTCTCTCCTGATCCCCGTCACAACTCCCTTCAACTGCAAGGAAACGTCAGCCTGACGAGACAGGAGCGCGCGACGTTCCACCTCTTCAGCCATGCTGCTGTAAATTCTCCTCACTTCGTTCTGCTGCTCGGGTGTCCTGCACGACTTGATGATGGAGGAGATTGCGATGTTGATCTACACGCTCGAGTCAGCCTCTGGGAGAGCTGTCGGGAGGTTGATGATTCACCTTGCGGAGGCAGGTTTCTGCCTTGCGAACATCGAAATGTTGTGTCGGTCGCTCTATGCAATCAGTGAGTGATCACGAGCTTGCAACAGCAACATGGCAACTTTCTTTCAGGTTTGGGATCCCGATGACCTCGTGGTAAACGTTCATGAGCTCCTGCAGCCTTGCAGCTACCATGACGATCAGCACGGAGAGCAGAGGAGAGGCGTTCTTCACCAGCATCCTCAAATGCCGCGTTGTCGAGGTGACGGAACTTTCCTATCTCGACATGGAAGCGATCGATTTGCACCATGCTCATCCTCAGCTCGATCCACGCGCTCCTACAAGTCGTCACCTCCTACGTGCTGCATGGAGAGATCGACCTCTTTGAGAGGTTCTTGAGGAGCGTCTCTGTAAATGCTTGAAACAATTTCTTCTTCTCTTCCAGCACTTTCAGTATCGCCTGCACAAGTTGTGAGTGGATGTCTCTGAAGACAGTCAGCAGAGTCCGTACCTCCCAAGGTATGCAGATGAGAACTGCGTAATTGTCAACCTCTAAGCTAAAGCTATGCTTGCTGTGCTTCCCGTTCACCAGCTCCTCGCCAAAGACCGACTCATCCCCGCTCCTTCCCAACAGTATCTTCTTCTGAACTCCCCGCACTTGGAACTCAAGCGCTTCTTCCATGAACAAGTCGTCTCTTCCAGGAAAGCGCAAAGATGTTTCTTTCAAAGTCTTGTATTGCACGATGCTGACTAGACCGAGGCGGAGGAAATAAAGCCCCTTCACGTGATCGTTCTGTTGAAACACAAAGCTTCCTTTCGGTACCGACAAGGCTTTGGCAGATTGAGCCATCGCAAACACGTCCTTCCAGGCCCACGTGCAGAATATCTTGAGAGAGCAGAGGAAGGAGGCCAACTCGGCGACTCGATTTGACATGAGGCTGTCGTGAGCTTGCAACAGACGCTGGAAACAAGAGTTGCGGTACTCGGACTCGTCTTGCCGTCGGGCTTTACAGATGCTGCCTCCCGACGTTTCCAACCTCTCGAGGTCAGCCTTCTTGATGTAGCCCTGCACGCTCATGTAGTACTTGATGACATCGACGATTCTTTCTTTCTCGTCTTTGGCTGCAGAAGCAAACAAAAATCGTCGACACGTCAAGGAGTTGTCAAGATGCACCTGCAGCAGTCGCAGCCCGAAGGTGGCCTCCTGATCCAGCTCGATCTCCGACTCCAAGTACTTGAGCACAGGGAGACCTCGGAGGATCTCAGACTCGGCTAGGTTGTACCTCTCGTCATTTGACGTGCCAGGTAGTCGTAAGTGCAGGCGACCTTGTCGTATCTCCAGCACCATCCGCTTCCAGTCCCCGCTCTGCCCCTTCCAGGCGTCGAGGTCGCATACCCAGATGCTCTCCTTCAAATCCTGCGAAAACTCTGTCGCAAAGTCTTGAACTCGTCGCGAGGAAAGAACAACTGTGTCGCATGCGTCGACCGTCGTGAACCTGCTGGCGTTTTTGGTGAAACAGAGTCCACTGAGCTCCGAGAACTGAGTAAAATTGAGCTTGTGCGAGTTCAGCCTCGCAAGGCTTCGCTTCAAGTCATCTCTGGGAGGGTTCTGGCTTACTGTCTCCTGTACCTCCGACCCTCCTTTGACCGCTGCCTTCATCTGGAGAGATCTGCGGAAGGCATCTTTGAGAGGCAGGGAGGCGATGGGAGAGTCGGGCATGCAGACGAGAACATCGCCTTTCGTGAGCGAGCTCAACACTCTCCGCCTGTCGCTCTCGTCTCGTTCGATCAGCTTGCCTCGGATCATCAGGACCAGCCCCTCCTCGTGGAACTTGTTTGACAACGCCTCTTCTTTGTGCAGGCGGATCACCTGCGCGCATCGGAAGAGAATCGCACGCATCTTGTCGTCAAACGCCTCAACCAGATGCTTCGATGACCGAACTACGTTACACAGCGCCTCGCAGTCGCTGTAGGAGCGCTCCTCCGGGCTCTTGAGGCTGGATCGGTTCACGTCACTCCTCTCATGCCGTCCCAGCAACAGCTTGCATAGGTTGTCGACATCCTGCGGAGTGAACTTCTTGGTGGAGTCGGTGAACAGCTGATCTCTGAACTCTCGGACTTGCACGCGATGGAGCACGTGCTCTCGTCGGATGAAGGAAGCTTGACGCTCTTTAGATGCCGGGGCCTTGGCCTGAGACTCCAACGCGGTCTGCGAGGGCACCGGCACTAGCTCGCGATGAGTCACAAGGGGGTGGTACAGTTGTCGCCTTCCCCTCGACGATCGAGCAGTTCGAGGAGTCGACGGCGAGTCTCTCGCATGGCGCTGCTTGTCGTAGTCGGAGAACAAACTCACCAGGTTGAGCTTCGGTCTTGTTGGCAGAGGGCGCCAGTCCGGATGTTTCTGCGCACGACTACCAACTATCTGATCGTGCTGAGGTACAGAGGCAAGGATGTTGGCTGTAGCTGGCCTCCTCCTCGCCTCTGACTCCTCCATTGTTGATGAGAGCGGTATTCAGCCTGAACGATCAGTCGCAATCGACCTCCCTCGCCTACTGAAACCTCTCATGCACAGAAAGCTTCGCTCTCACAAGACTCCGTCCGACAGTCTGCAGCGCCTGATTGTCACATCATGACCTGAAGTGCCACACCATCAATCTGTGACAAGCTTTGGTTTGCTGAAAAGACGGCCTGAGAAATCGCCGCAGCTGAAGGCGGAAGTTACTGAGCCTTGACACAGGCTCCTACCTGCCGTACCTCAGGCTCTCATCAAGGCAAGAGTCCTGCAGTCCGCATGGACGGCATTGAAGGAAACATGATGTTGGGGGAGACGTTGGCGAGTACGGTACTACAGTAGTACCCTAGATACCCTAGTACCCGGTAACGCCATCGGGGCCCGATCGCCCTGCCCGGGCAGAGTGACTGAAAGGATTCTCCTAGGACTGTGAAGAAATAAAATATTTATATAACAGTGACAACTTGTTACGATTAATATATTTAAGTAAAGTTTCAACGTACAACATTGCTCATTAGATTTTAGGGCAAAAGGAGGCTGGGGGGGGGGGGGGGGGTGATGAGAGGCTGATTGTAGATGTGTGTGCATGCATGATCACCCCTTGTGGTATGAGATAAGTTTTTATCAACAAAGTACCCCACCCTTTTACCCAAGAAAATAATAGATTGCGATGCCTTTTCCTGTTGGGCGCCACAGCTAGCAGGTAGTGGCGCAATCTGAGGAAGGGTGGGGGTAGGTGCAAAGAGGACACTTCACAGTGAAATGGTACAAGAACGGGTACAAAATGTGGTCAAAGAAGGGGTGTCGAAGAGAACCGAACATGGAAGACAGGGTGGTACATGGGTACCTTTATAAGTGTATTATTTTCTGGTAGTGAGTTATTTCTTGGTACCAAAAAACCGACGAGCAGTACAACGGAAGTGTATAGATAAACTAATTTTGCCGGTAGGGCTATAAAAGAGCTTGTATTTCATATATGTTGTGCAAATTGTGTTATGTGATTTTGAATGAAAATATGAGACCCCAAAATATTGATCGAAACTATCAAAACCACCTTATGGGTCGCAGAAACGTGCGGAGGACGGGCATGTTGCGCAGCGTCACGTGGCCATCGGTGCAGGAAGAGGGGAGAAGATGTGAGGAGAAGGAGGAACTGAAGTGATGAGACGTGAGGAAAGAAGAGGAGAAGACTAGCAGAGCTCCATCCGAAGTAGTTCAAGTTTGTCTGCTTCCCGAAATCGCTGTTTCATTATCAGAGCAACCTTCCTATGGTACGCCTTCACAATTACCTGGTGCTCATCATGTATTGGGAACTTCTACCTGAACGCAGGTCATAGGTCAATAGATAGTCACACGAAAGGTGTTTTAAACCTGATAGGTGATGATGTAGAAAATGTCGTGTTTTCAGGTGTGATCATTCTGTTGAGTTACTTTCTCTACACATTATGGCACAACAAACTTTTGTTGAGCTTATAGTATGTCTCTGCCCTCCCTGACTTAGTCTCGCAATCTCTTTGTGATTCATCACTTCTTAGCTAATAGTGGTATGAATATTGGGTTATTTATTTTTGTTGTTTGGAAAACGTCTTTTCCAAATTCCACTGTTTCCCAACGCATAGAAGTAATGCATGAGATTTACATTTACTCAAAGATTAATTGCTTGCCAAGGAAATGTTACTCTTATATGCACCGGATCTTATGTTCAGGGGACTGATTTTTCATGCTTGCAGCAAAACGCAACTTTGACCATCCTGGACTCATTGCGAAGCTGCTAGCTCTCAACGAAAGGTGGATTGCGGTTAGTCTGCGGGAGAAATGGCGGGCCGTGAGACCTGATGAACATCATGGCAGGTGCCTTATTGGATGAGCATTGAGGCACTGCCAAAGCGCAAGAAACCGCCATAACTTGGAGAACGTGACACTACTCTCCTCCCGTCTTCGCCAAGCTCAACCCTGGCTTGTCGTTGAATGCATAAAGTGCTGCGAGGATGCACCAAAGCGTGATCACTCCCGTGAGCATCGTGGAAACACGTGGTTGCAAGTTCGTCATCTTTGATGCCCCCAATGACGCAAATCTGCCCATGTATCTGCAGGCGAGTTACTGCTCCTCTTGCTTGCCCAGACTGAATGATTGTGCTGATGCTTTTGGGCTGCAGGAATTGACGAAACTCAGTGTAGCGCATGTCGTTCGAGTGTGTGACCCCACGTATGGTACACGACCGCTCGAAGAGGCCGGCATCGAAGTTCATGTGAGAGACTTGGCTCGTTGTCTCTCCCGCTCACTTCGAGCAGGACTGGCCGTTCCCTGACGGAGACCCTCCGCCAGACAACATCATCTCCAAGTGGCTGGTGGGAGAAGGAGGAGGCCCTGGGTGTGTGGATGTTTGACTTGAGGTCAATCGCAGGGGCTGGTGAAATCGACTTTTGTTGACAAGGCGGACCCGCCGAAAAAGAGTAAGCAAGCAATGAAAATCTCCTCCCGCTGCAGCTCACGCTCGTCCTTCAGGCATCGGTATCCATTGTGTGGCCGGTCTTGGGAGGTAAGAGATGGATCCTCTGCGCACGAAGCTGCTGTACACCTGTTCCCTCCCACATGCCCTCCTGCTGTACACCTTTTCGGAGCGGCTGATGATGTGTACAGGGCCCCAGTGTTGGTTGCGATAGCACTGATTGAAAAAGGAATGGACCCTCTAGATGCCGTGCAGGTAAGAGCGTGTCTGATAGCCTCTCTCTGTCCTCACTTGCGGGCAAAGACCATCCGAGGAAGGCGGAGAGGCGCTATCAATGCGAAGCAGCTCAGTTTCCTCGAAAGTTACAAGAGGTCATCAAACTTGGAAGGGTCGTCTCTTCGTTGATGTTGCTAGCAGGAAGAGCAAGAAGGACTGCTGCGTCATGTGAGGGGCAAACAGTCTCATATTTGATTGAAATTATTCAACTTCATGTTTACATGTCTTTGGAATCAAGAAAAACACGTCTCAGTGAGTCCACAGCTTCGTATTTATGCTACCAAGATTCAGCAGCTCTCATATGTATACTTGCAAGTTGCGGAGGATGAGATTTCAACACTTTTAATCTTATCTATGCTCCGCGTGGACGACAGACAATACGAATGCCTTTGGGGTTCGACCAGCTCGCTGCTTGCTGTGCCTCCTCGCTCGGAATTCTTCCCACATGCTCTGCAAAGCTGTCAGCAGTCGATGCTACCATTGTCGCAGGGGCTCACATGGAACATGCTCTCCAGACTCCTCGTGTGTGTCTCGCTCCCCACCCTCGCCCCCTCCTCGTGCATCTGCCGCGCCTCCTGGCTCTTCCACCTCGAGATCACTTGCGCTCCCCGCTGTCCCCCCCTCAGCGCTCGGCACCCTCCTCGAGCACAGACTCCACCTGACTGGCCAGCTGAATGGCCAGCTGTTGATAGTCGTGGAGATCCCTAGCGATAAAGACGGAGCCATTGAGAGCGGACGCCATGGAAGCGCCGATCCTCGAACTCGCTCCCTCCCCTGGGATGACCAGCGATGGAACCTGTCACTGTCACTCCCTCCTCTACGTCACCAAGTTCAGTGATACCCCGGCCCAGAAGACATCTGCTAGGGTCGAGTGCCCACCGAACCTTGGGGTGTCCTGGAGAGACTGAGGGAGGGCGAGGATGAGGAGAAGCGTACAAGGAACAAGTCCGCTAGCCTGTGCCTTGCAAGATGCTTCGAGCGATCGGGAATCCTGATCCGGGGGTCAGAGGACGTGGGAGAGGGAGAGAGGGGAAGGAGGACGAGCGATCCACTGATTGGCCTCACCGTCCAGCGAAGATGATCGACGCATTAGACACCCCCAGCCTTTCGGCATGCCTTAGGAGATTCTCTTGCACCCGAATGTGAAAGCGTCGGAGCCATAAAACACTCCGAGGAACAGCCTTGAGCACCTTCATCCAGACCTGAACGACGTTCACCACCCCAACAAGGCCTTCACGTGCGCACCTCGAAAACATCCGGCTTGATCTTGAGGTTCCTGTTAAAGCACGCAAAGATGAAGGACGTCTGGCCTCTTGCGATTCCCACGTCCTCGTACGAGGGCCTGCAGGAGAGTTAGGGGATGGACGTCAACTCAAGGTCAGCGCAGCACGTGGAGTCGATCGCCTGCCGCGTGTTGAAGGGATAGTAAGTCACGGGCAGGTACGCAAAAGTCTCCGAGTGCGCGTAGCTCTGCGATTCCTCAGCCTCTACACAAGGCAGCAGCCGCGGTCGGCTCAGTCACCATCTCGGGGGGGGAGGCCTTGTGGTCTGACAGGAAGTAGTCGACAAACGACGCCCCTGTCGTGCTCCCGTAGCCTAAGAAGGAGATGATGACGGGGGTGGGCCTGAGGCTCAGGGCGCTCAATCGCGTCCCTCCTGTGTGCCCCGAGAGGTCTACAAGGATGTGAATCTGCATTGATCCTGACTCAGGGCAGGAGGAGAAGAACAGAGCAGGAGGCACCTTGAGAGTGTTAGTGATAGTTGCTGCAAGCTGCTCGTCGCGCATCGGGTTGACATCGACCCACTTGTTCACGTACGACTTGATCTCCTGTCCGTGCACTCCGACATTTCCAGCAAAAGTGTTGAGTACGACGACTCTGATCCTGCACAAGGTTGTCGCAAACAGGACTAAAGTGACGACCTTGCTCACCTCTTGTTGACCATGTGCTGTCTGAAGACCATCAGCATCTGATGGCTCACTGCATGGCCGCGAAGATCCCCGCTGATGTATCCGACAGAGAGAGCCTTCTTCTGCCTCCTCCGTCAGCCCCTTCATCACTGCAACACCAGCCGCCCTTGTCCCCTACCGCACTCGGAGGCTTCATGGCGCCTAGGAAGGGATTCTCCCTATGGACTCCTGAGGAGTAGAGCAGCGACCAGGCCTTGGCTCTGCAGGAGGGTGATCGAGAGCTCAAGGCCAACATGGCAACTGACATGGAGAGTTGAGTGAGAGGGTCTACGTCCTGAGAAACGGCCGTGAGAGGCTGTAGCGAGGTCTGAGCGGCCCCTCCCTGCTGCAGCTGCCTGTCATGTATGTCAGCGGCAGCCCTGCTGCTGTTGTGTTAACCTCTGGACGACGTTCATCAGCCTTGAGAACTCTTCCTCCCGTCCCTCCCACACGCACAGCCACTCTCGGACCTGCCACAGCAGGGAGGGCCATCAGACAGAGGAAGAGGAGGAATAGGACGAGGCTTGCCTTGTACAAAGATCCCATGGTGTTCTCGTGCGCTGGATCGATCCTGGCGGCGAGGAGGTAGAGCTGCAGAGCCATTAGGGGCCGGTCCCTCCCTTCCAGGTTGTGCCCATAGTTGATCAGCATATTGCAGATCTGCCGTGGGGTCACGGCTGAAGCACGGGCTGTACGACAGTCTTCACCATGTTCCTCGTGTTCTGGCTCATCCTGGTCCTCTTGCTAACGTCGTCAAGTGCTGCTTCTGCCTCCGTCAGGATCGGATGCTGCGGGTCGTCGGCGCTCCTGATGCGAAATAGCTGGGAGATTCTCGTGAACGAAAGAGACTTGGCAGCCTCTACGTTGGATGGATCCAAGAGGAGAGCCTCCTTGAGCAAGGAAATTTTCAGCTCCTCCCTGTCCATACCGAGTGCGTTCGCTTCTTGAAGCAAGTGATTCGCATCCCTTGCCATGGTGGCAGGACCCATCAGCGACGCGAACACGAGCACCAAGATATGGGATCGGCATCGCCGCATGCAAGTTACCCAGCACTTGCCACACGTCATTTCATGCCACCCTGTTATGGTGTAAGTCTGATACGAGATATTGTTCGCTTTTCGCTCCTTCTCTCCCCTCCTCCTGTTGTGCTGTTCTTTTCATCTCCTACTCCTACTCCTACTCCTACTCCTACTCCTACTCCTACTCCTACTCCTACTCCTACTCCATCTCCATCTCCATCTCCATCTCCAATTCCTACTCCTACTCCTACTCCATCTCCATCTCCTACTCCTACTCCTACTCCTACTCCTACTCCTACTCCTACTCCTACTCCTACTCCTACTCCTACTCCTACTCCTGTTCTACTCCTGTTCTACTCCTACTCCTGTTCTACTCCCCTCCTCTCCTCTCCTCCTCTTCTTTCCAGCATGTTCTCACATTTTCCCTTCTGGACTGATCGTCGTGCATCTCGTACCTGCGAACTTTTTGTAGCCGAGAAATATTACGAGTCCCCCTCAGTCTTCACCACCCCTACCCATTTTTGGCACCCCACAACCAATTTCACGACCCCCATATTCGATACTAAAGACCCCCTACTTTATCAGTCAATTTTACCAGGTGGACTACCCTAGACCCTCCAGTTCGCCCCTCAGCCGCTCCTCTTCGCGCGCCCACAAGGTTTGATGCAGACTTTGTGTGGCTTGCTGCAGCCGCTTCCTGCTCCTTCCCTCCCCCTTCCCCTCCTTCACTTACATCTCTTCCCTCCCTCCCCCTCCTTCACATCTCTTCCCTCCCTCCCCCTCCCTCACTTTCATCTCTTCCCTCCCTCCCCCTCCTTCACTTTCATCTCTTCCCTCCCTCCCCCTCCTTCACTTACATCTCTTCCTCCTTCCCCTCCTTCACTTACATCTCTTCTCCCCCTCCCCCCCCTTCCTGTGTCCCCCATTTTTTTCTTCCCCTACCCCTTGTCATAGCTCACCCTTTCCTTTCCTTGACCTTGAAGCGTCCGACATGGTGGTCCTTGCCCTTGTCCTTGTGCTGATCCTTCCCTGTCATCGCCCATCCCAGACTCTGTGTTTCTCTCATCTTCAGAACATCTGGATTCTCCTTCCTTCCCTCTATTTTCCTTCGAAGCGCTTCATTTTATCCTCTTTACCCTGGTTTCTTTCCTTATCTCCTCACTTGTTCCAACACGTTGCCCTGCCAACTTTCGTTCATCACTGCTCTACTTGCTGTTAGTTCTGCAAATTGCGCAAAGCAACTGCCTTGTCATTCTCCGGCTCCTCCGGCTCTACCTGCACTTGTTTTGAGAGGAATCTCATCTTCTAAGAAGTTTTTCTTGTGTGCACTTTGTTGGTTTGATAATCGATTTCATTGAGCGCATTGTTGAATCCTTGAATTTTGATCATCTTTTTCTGGTTGTCAAAACAGTCATTCCCCACTGAAAATGTGAAGCTTGCCCAATCTGAAACTGAACTTGGCAGGATGGAAAAATACTTGAAGATAGAAAAAATTGGCGAGGGAACGTATGGGGTTGTCTACAAAGCGCGGGACAGACAAACCCAGGCGATCATTGCCTTGAAGAAGATTAGGCTTGATGCGGAAGACGAGGGAGTGCCGTCGACTGCAATTCGAGAGATTTCTTTGCTCAAGGAGCTTCAACATCCCAACATCGTGCAGCTGAAAGACGTCGTCCATAGCGAGAACAAGCTACACCTTGTGTTCGAATTCCTTGAACACGACCTCAAGAAGCATATGGATGGGTACAACGCGAACGGGGGCATGCCTGCTCAGATGATCAAGTCGTATGTCTACCAGATGCTGCAAGGAATAGCCTTCTGCCATGCCCACCGGGTGCTGCATCGTGACCTCAAACCTCAAAATCTCCTCATCGACAGGTCGGGGATGCTGAAATTAGCTGATTTTGGTCTAGCACGAGCGTTTGGTATCCCCGTCCGCACGTACACGCACGAGGTGGTGACGCTGTGGTACCGCGCGCCTGAGATCTTGCTTGGCTCGAAGCATTATTCGACCCCCGTCGACATGTGGTCCATTGGCTGCATATTCGCTGAGCTGGTCATGAAACGGCCTCTCTTCCCTGGAGACTCTGAGATCGACGAGCTCTTCAGGATCTTCCGAGTCCTCGGAACCCCCAACGAGGAGGGTTGGCCGGGAGTGACGCAGCTGCCTGATTACAAGCCTTCCTTCCCTCACTGGAACGCGAGGCCTCTAGCGGAGGTCGTCACTGGGATGGACGGACCTGGGCTCGACCTGCTCTCACAGACTCTGATCTATGAGCCTTCTCGACGATGCTCGGCCAAGGCAGCCATGCTGCATCCTTACTTTGATGGTCTGGACAAGAGCAATCTCGCCACTCAATGATGGTGAAATGACTTCTTCTGCTCCATGTGGCTATGGCTGCCATGCTTGTCTTTAAGATTAACCCCATGGGGAATTGGGTTGGAGGCTTGCTACCTTGAGCACTTCCTTTTGTACACTCCGTGCTGTTTCTGTCTAGCGAGTAAATGACATGTTTTACGTTAAATGCGCGTTATGCGCTTGTGGAACATCTTCACTCTTACATCCGGCTGAGAGCATCTATATCATTCTTTGAGGCGCTTCCTCCTGCCCCTGCCTTGCCCTCTTGATCTGCAATCTTCGGATCCTCACCTCCAGTGGCTCCAGCCGCTCCTGCGCGAGCGAGTCAATCGAACCTTCAAGGAGAGGCTGCGGCACCTGAAGCTGCCGGAACTTCTCGCTCTGCCACCTGAAGCCTTCGGCCTGTAGGAACGAGTTAGAGCAGATCGAGGCAGGGAGAGCAGCTCCTGCCTTAGTCTCCGATGCCGGCGCTGCTCTAGCGGTACTCGTGCCAAGGAAGCGATGGCGGAGGGCCTGAACAGTGTACTTCTCACCAGTGCGAGGGCGGACGAAGAGGAGCGGGAGGGACTGAAATGGCGATCCCCATAGGAGCCGACGGCGGAAGGACAAGTCAAGGTGCTCAACGGGGATTTGGCCGACCTGAGAAGGAAATCACAAGGAGGGGAGAGAGGGGAGCAGTCTACCTGCAGCAGAAGGTCTCCTGGTCGCACGTGCGGCTGCTGGTACTTGGGATCTTCTTGCTGGACCCATCCTGGGCTCATGAGATGGCTCGCATCCTTGACAGCATAAGGATACTCGTCCTCGAAGTCGATTCCGAAGTCGCACTGGCCGTGCTCTTCATGGTAGACTTGACTGCTCAACCTTCGCTCGAGGTCCGCGATGCTCTTTCTGCAATCCAACGCCTGCAGCTCCTCCTCCCCCTCCGTATCTTCCCCGTCCCTTTCCCGCTCGCCGCCGAACAGGATGCTGCAGTTGTCCAGCAGCGTCTTGTTGTGTTCGGACGTTAGGTATCTCTCAGTGATCGCGCTCCCGGTCTTGAGCAAGGGCTCTTCCCTCTTGCTTGCCAGTATCCTGAGGTGGTTCGGATCATCAAACTTCAGCGTCCTCGCCCTCATCTCCTCCAACGTCTGCATCCTTTGCTGATGCTCCGCCTGTTGCCTTGCCACGTTCAGTCTCTCATCAAGCTCCTGCTCCTTCGGTACACCCTGCAGCACGAGTCACTCACGCACATCTTCATCCTCTCCTCTCTTCACCTCAGGTTCCATAAGACTCTGCTGACTTCTGGCACCGGCCTGCTGCTTCACCCTGACATATTCCAGCAAGACGTTTGCAGTTTCCTCCTGCTGGCCAGCTACTCGAGCTGTTGGGATCCTTGCTCTGGACTCTTGTACGCCCTTCGGGTGCCTTATCTTATCCCCGACGGACGTGTGAACGAAGCACGAGAAAGATAGCTTTCCTCGAAGATCACCTTCAAGGTTCTCTGGGAGCTCTTTCCGGTGAAGGTACTTGCTCTCTCCTTCACTCTGCATCTTCAAGACAGGAAGGAACAGCATCTGTGTCTGCACTCTCCTGCTTCCCAAGAAGACTGAGAGCTTGACCTTGATCCACATGCTGTCGTCCTCAACCCTTTGCAGGTCAACGCGCTCGAAACAGAACAGCTCGGAGAAGCCACAGGCGTTGGAACACGAGCTCGTCGGTCGACTCTTGACCTTCTGGTTGCAGAAGGAAACTTTGACACAGCAGCTCCACTCCTTCCTCTTCGCCTCGTTCTCAAACGGGGGGATCAATCGCACCTGAACTTCGGACAACCAGACTGATATCGCTTTCGGGGCTATTGCCGTTGTGTTGACGACCTTTGCCGGGATTTGCGCAGCCTCTGGCAAGTTCAGCTGGGCCTCGCTCAAGTTCGTGTTGAGATTCTCTTTCTCTGGCCTCCTCGGCGTCTCTTCCCAGTCCCAGGGATCGCTGGGTCTGAGGTCTACAGTCCTCTTGCTCAGCTCACGGACATGCTCAGAAAGCCTTCGAACTTGCGGGTCGTCTTCCTCCCTCGACAACATGGACGTCAGACGTCTGGCTGCCTCAACTGCCAGGCCTTCAAATCAGAACAAGGAGGTCTCTACCCTCTTTCTTTACCTGCATGTGTTCGCTCGAAGCCTCTCACGCCGCCACCCATGTTGTAGGCTTTCATGACAACCCGCTCGTGCCTGTCCAACAGGTCGTTCCCGAAGCTCTCGTCTCCCTGAGTCTGATCAAACTGACTCAGAGTTGATTCGCATCCTGTCCGCACATCGGAGGCAACTCGGCGGACAGCGTTGAGCCATGAAAGGCTGTCGACCGCAACTGCGTCCACGATCTTTTCATGTTGCCTCGTTGGGAGCTCCACTGGCAACTCCCTGGTTGGCTCCTGTGGCTGTCGAGCCGGACGATGAGTATCTTCCGTGTACTTGTAGCTTGCATGGCGAGTTCCCAACAGAGATATCACTTTCGGAGGAGCCCTCGGCCTTCCATCCTTGAACATCGTGGTTGACCTCCCCCTAGCAGGCGAGTCGTGCTGAGGGGTGGAGGAAGTTGACGTTCGTGATGCTTGTCCACTGCAAGAGAACCAGATCCTCTTCTTGGCGTTCTTCTCATGCTGTTCGTCTCTCTCCTCCTTACATTCCTCCCTCCCTCCCTCCCTCCCTTCCTGCTCGCGTCTGCTCGTTATTGCCATCATCGCGCTTCAGTTTGACTTGTCGGGTCCAACGCAGTTAGACGGGAAAAAAATGTGTAAAAGAGTTTTTTTATTTCAAAATATTTTAAGATTGCTAAGACCAAGCATCCAAGGTACAAAAGATGGTATCATTGAATTAATTTTTAACAAAACTTAAAATATAATTAGCTACAAATATTGGTAGTATTGAGTTTGATGAAAAATGTTTGTATTGAAATTCAAAACTTTTGGCTGCTACAAATCTGTACCACATGTTATTTATCTGTCGACCTATTTTCGCCACCCCTACGCAAGCCTGCAGGCAATGGTAGGGTAGTACCACCCACCATGTGAAAGATTTCAAAAAAGCTTTCGAGCATGGGGTGGGGGGTGGGGGTCTGTTTGAATTGCTTCCCCGCACGCCTCCCGCCATCCCCCGCGCTACAAATAATGGCACCGCAGACTCCCTGATGCTCTACCAGCTTCCTCCAACCTCCTGCTCCCTCACTCTCTGCCTTGTTTCAAGTCTCTCAATCCTGTCTGCACCTCCTGCTCTGACTTTGATTCGCGGCACTTCTGTTGCTAACCAATTCTCAGCTTATATTGTGCTCAAACAACCAATCGATAGATACCATGTACCTAAGCAGGGGTGACAAGATTTCATGCAGATTGTTTTCATATAGGCAGAGCGATGCAGTTTAGTGCATGTTTGTGCCAAATATCTGGCCTCGAACCGTGTTCTTTCAATCCCTCCATGTTACCTTCATTCGTTTACACAGTAACGTGTCCGCAATCTACTGCAGTGATGGTATCTTTTCAGCTTGATATGAGGTTAGAGTGTCAGAGCCGTGTATTTCACATGTGTACTCTCATTGTATGTTGTTATGTCATGATCAAGTTTCCCCAAAGAACTGGAAATTCATTGTAATCAGGATCCATGAAGCAGCACTGACCTTGGTATCAGATAACCAGTCCTATCACACTGATTTGGGTATGAGCTCTCCTTTCCGAACCCCAAAACCGCCGACCCGGAGTCGACGTGAAACAAGAAGTGCGAACAAAGCACAGCAGGCCAACCGGGGTGCAAAGGAAGAAGAAAAGAGCGTGGTCGATAGCCCTGGTACTTTGCGACTCTCCTCCTGCTTGACCTGATGGCGTCTTGTAAGGCGCGTTGCAAACGAGCCCCGGAGGTCAGCTGAACATCCTCGAATGCACTCCGAACCGAAACATCACCCCTGGACAATCTCCCTTCCGAGAATGGGCGACTAGCAGCTTGGACTGTTTGGATAACGAGATGATGACCCCTGCTAGTGTGGAGAGGTCGATCTTGTCGCCTTCCTATTCGCAGATCCGTCCGGTCAAGATGTGAGCTGTCGGGCGTCTCTGTGCTCCTCCTCTGACCCTTTCTCTCTCAACCAGAGACACGTCTCCTCTGCAAGAGCATGACTCCCGCTCCAACGATGTTCTCTCCATGTCAAAGAATGCTAGCCCGATCACGCACGTCGATCAAACATCTGCCTTCGAGATGAAGATCGGATCTGTGAGTGCCCTGATTGTTAGTGTGTTTGCTGATGCTGTAACCATCAAGGAACTCGACAAGACGGCCTCCAACACCTTGGTGAAAGTGCCCATCAAGCTCGCAGAGGATTTGGCATTCATGCAGACTCGTCGACCAAGGCTTTCCATTTGCGATTTGTTCTCATTCGACATGAACAAAGACGTGGTGAATGTGCAAGGCTTCGAAACTCCTGCGATCGCATACAAGTAGTGAAATCTAGGTCGTTCTGTGCAGGAGCTGATGATGAGTGACAGGTACAAATCTGCTATAGTTCCAGCGACCCCATCACTCCAGACTCTCGACTACAAAGACAGGAATGCTGATCAGAGCGACTCGAGAAAGAAGGTCTGTTCTTGCAAGAAATCACGATGTCTTAAATTGTAAGTCTGTTTGGATGCATTTACACAGCTTACCTATCTATCTGCTAGATACTGCGAGTGCTTTGCCGCTGGAGAGATTTGCTCCGGATGCAAATGTGTTGATTGTGCGAATGATGGAGACCATGAGGACATGCGACTGCAAGCAGTCGATACAATCAAGCAAAGAAACAACAATGCGTTTGCTCCCAAGATTGTGGACGAAATCCAGCAAGACAAGGGAATGCATGCTCGCGGATGTCGATGCAAGAAATCGCACTGCCTGAAGAAGTATTGCGAATGTTACCAGTGAGTTTGTCGTGTGTCTTGCTACCGCTTCTGATTGCTTCAACAGGGCTGGAGTTCAGTGCACAGACAAATGCAAGTGCGAGGAATGTCAGAATCGAAAGGACTACGACTCTACTCCTCGGGATCACAAAGACATCGCCTTTCGTGTTGCTCCCATGTCAAGCAGCCGAAGCGCCTCACCGGACTCCAAATATGGCGACGCAGACAACCTCCTCTCTCCTCCTCGCAACAAGAAGCCACGTGTGCTGGACTTCAACTTGCTATCAACTCCCTCCCATACGACGGACTCAAACTTCCTGATGCATCAGGTCAAGCAGGACTCCCTTCTATGACTATCTCTACAATTCTAACCATGTCTGCTTCCAGGGTTCGCCAATCGATGCTTACGACGACGGTGACAGCAAGGGTAGAAGCGACAACTTCGGGGCCTTGATGTTTGGCAGCCCATCCGCTAGCTTCTTGAACATGGCGTGATTGATTGTGAAGCTGATTACTCTTCTTTGAGCGAAAGTTCAGAGAGGTGCGGTGAGGTCGTATGATCCGATATGATTGTGTGGTGCTTGGTATCTCTAGGACACAACAAGATGTAAGATTATTAATTCTTTTGATCTTCTTTGCCTCATAACGAATATGAAATGAACTTATTGGGACAAACAAACCTGCCTCCTGCTATCGAAACATCCTCGCCGCTGCGTTGGCTTTCTTGGCACACTTGATTGCGTAATTGTGATGCCTGGAAACAACAAAGACTCAGTGATCTATCCTCTTCCTTCCATACGTCACCCTCTGCTGCATCGGAAGAGACGATGAAGCCTGCAACAGTAGTCACAAGACCCACATGCTCCATCACCAGCTACCTCGTCGCCTCGTCCCGATCTCCCACGACCTGCCCGCCAAAGGTCTCAGCGATCGTCTGCTCCTCTCTTCCTCCTCTTCACCTTCTCTATCTCCTCTTGCTCCGCACAGAAGAACGCTCCGAGCCTCCGAAAGCTGTTCGCTCAACCCCATGAGAGTCGCTCGTCTCCCCGCACCTCCTCGACTCACTGCTTCAACACCTTGTCGCTCGCCGGTTTCTGCATTCCTGGAAGTTGTAGGACCAGCTCTGACGCCCTGCCACGAGACGAGTGAGGGGAGATGCTGGCATCAAGAGAGCGATGCTGCACAATGAAGCGCTGACGGGCCTCCGGTGCTCCACCTTCAACCTCGATGCGATTTGTTTGTCCTTCAGGGACGGCGGCGAAAGTTTTCTTAGCAGGTATGCGACAAACCCGTCTGCGTCAGCCACCTGATGGGCGGAGCGACAAGCAGGTAGTAAGGAAGCAAAGGGCACATGAGAGCATGACAGACCGGAATGACTTGTATGTCGTGCTTGACCACAAACAAATACTGCGCCTTTGAAATGGTTGAGCTGGTGTCGACCGACTTGCTCTTCTCGATACAAATCGCTGCCGACTTGTGCCTTTGCTCACAGTAAGACCACAGACAGTGAGGAAACACAGCAGACCTCCTTATCTCGTCCACCCTCCCCTTGAGGCTCCTCTCCAACCCAGGGTTGCTTGTCGCGGTTTCTTTGCCAACGTTCTCGTTTCCCTTCCCCTGGTGGCTGAACCAGACGGGGTTCTGTAGCTCTTGCTGCATCATCCTGTCGAAGCTCTCAAGCTGTCTAGCTGGCACGTACATGCATGCCAGGTCTCCAGGCAGGACCACATCCAGGTAGGGGTTGTTGCTCTCCTTGTATGTCACCCTTGCTCCTTTCAGCGCGTTCACTACCGAGTCACCCAGCAACCCGCAGCGAACTATCGTTTCCTTCGCTCGTCCTGCCACGTCCTCACACAGGAAGTCACCCTCGTCATCCACTGCTCTTGCTTCCCCGCGCTTCCCCGACATGCTCCAGCTGGTTATGCTTGAGCCATCTGCGTTCGCTCTACTTGACCACCCGCACACGCCTTTTTGAAACTCGGGGTCCGAGCCTGGGGCGGCACGCCGCTACCACGGTTCAACGGTTAGCCTAGTAGTACGGTCAGCCCGGCCAGTGCCACACTGGCAGGCTGAGCCATCGGAGGCTGTTACGGTACCGTTCAACGGTTGGGTCACGTGCCCGGCCCGGGGCGGCGCCGCGGCACGGCCGCGGAACTCGTTCGGCCGCCGCCGCGCGCCATCGGATGACCAGAGTCCGGCTTCAACTTAGAGACTCTGAGCCTCGGAGTGCGAAACTGAAAACTTACAAACAACTCAACTTCCGGGCTCAGCCGTGTCTTGGGTTACGAGAGAGTTTTGTTAACTTATGCCAGTGACTCACCGAGTCAGCCGGGCGGCCGCATGACAGTGATGTGACTGGCCGCCCGGCACTGTCGGACTCTGAGTATGACGCGGCTATGCGAGACCGTCCCCGGGGCCGGCTCCGCCGCCGCTGTGCCGCACTGCTCAGCGGCGGGCCCGACACTCAGTGATTGTCCTCGTACTGCTTTTTAACTTAACTTTGACTAAACAAGCGTGACTGTCACTTGTGACAGTGACGCGGCGGGCCGCCTCGCCCCGGGCCGGGCCTGGCCGGCCGCGCGGCGCCCTGTCAGTGTGCCGGTGCCGACTCAAAGCCTGTTTCGGCCAGGCTCAAATGCTCGGTAGACCCTCATACCACACGCGCCTGTGATTGCTATGCAGCAGGCTATGCAGCAGGCTATGCAGCTGCTATGCCGATACTAAGCTGCAGCTAGAAGCAGGGGAGGAAGAAAAATCTCTATCAGAAGAAGTGAGATGATGAAGGGAAGGGGATACGCCAGGGAGGCCATCAGGAATGAGAATGGGAGCCAGGGAGAGAAGGTGAAGGTTGGTACGGCAGACGAGATGGAGGAGGCGCTGACGGATGAATGAGGTTGTCGATTGCGAAAGGCGTTTCACTGACCAGAACTTGCTATCAGGTCTCGATGATTGAATGTTTATGTATCATAGAGAAGGATAACTTCCCAGCATTGCTGAGAGTCTACTCAGGAGGGAAAGACCTGAACAAGTATCACTACATGTGTTATTGTGCCATAGACATCTTCGAGGAGAAGGAGCAAGCGGCGCGCGCAGGAGGGGTTGGTAAACAGGTGGATTCGTACCTCGGTACGCTGTATCCTGCTCAGGAGCACAAAATCCATGGCTACATAACAAACACGGGGGTGAGAATGGTGATGATACTGGACGAGAAAGATGGCAAGGATGGGAGCTTGGTCAAGGCATTCTTCAAGAAGCTGCACAGCTTACATGCTGAATGTGTTTCGAATCCTTTTCACCGGGATGGTCAGCCGATCGTTTCCAAGAAGCTGGAAAGAGATCTAGAGGCCCTTGTACGCCTATGGAACTCTGACGCGTTCTCACTGAGATGAAGGGGGCGTTTCTTGTTGGTTGAGAGGGACGCGAGCGGTTGGGTGGGTATCTATCATGAAGCGATCGATGCGGGGAGCAGAGGAGGGAGGGAAGGAGATAGAGCATGCGTGTTGTCCTTCAAGTCAATGAATTGTGTATAACTTGTCAGAGGTCTTCCTTGTCCTATTGTACAGGTTCCGGTGGGTTGTCTGCCTCCGAAGCAGGGGTGCTCACAGTGCTACGATGCATCGGGCGAACGGTCCAAGTGGAGCCCAGGATACCTCCGACAAGAGCAGGAGGAGGCTTCATGGTGGTGGTGGAGGACGATTCTAATGCAGGCGCGATGTCCACTAGCACCTGAATGTAAATCAGCATACACACACCCCACCCCCCCTCTCCGTCCTCCTCTACCGGTGCATCTTGGAGCTGGGGATACTGCTGCGACTCGATCTGACGGGGAGAGCGCTGTACATCAGATTCAGCAAGATCTCTACGAGGATGGTTCGCCACCTGTGCAAACTGTCTGAGTTCACGGGCTGTATTCGAGCCGTCTCCCAGGCTTTCCGACACGACGCTGAAGGCAGGCAGTTAGCGCTCCATCTCACAACGCTGGGGCTCTAAGTGCCTGCAGAGAAGGTGAATGCCCTTGGAAGTGTACTGCAGCTGGCTCTGAGTCTCGTCGAGCTTGTTTCCAGGCGCTGAAACTTTGGTCAAGGGGCTGTGGAGCACAACGGGTGAAGGTTGTTCACAAACCCATTACCTGCACTCGCTGATCGACAGTCCGAAGGTTGTCTCGCACGCCAATCACTTCACCCTGCACTTCGCCAACCTGTTCAACACTTCAGAGGCAGCAAGCTCTTCAAGAGCTAAAATGTTGCCTGGTCATGAATCTGGTGCTGGATGCCCAAGAAACGCTTCTCGACGACTTCTTGAAACTGTTCCAAGGCCTAAAAACATGTGACTCGCGCTCAAAAATGCTCTGCCCTGCGGTACTTGATGAGCTGTTGTGCGGAAATCATTCAACTTGATGCTCAGTGCTTCCTGCAATGCAGGAATAAGATCACATATAGATAATCGCGCTCGAGGTCAACCTGGGCTGTCTTCATTGCCTCGACTGCTTGAGAAAACCTTGTGCTCGAAACCCACTGAGATGCAAGAGTTGGCAACAACACCTCATGCCGTCCTTATTGATGTACCTGCAGATCTGCTAGAGAGTATCCCTTCCACTTCATGTAGTAGTACACTCCCGCTCCTGTTCGGGCAAGCCGTTGGAAACACAATAAGCAAGTTGGGTCACAGCAGTACCAGGTAGAATGAGATATATGATCCGCGAAAATGACCAAGAGCTTCCACTCTGTACGATGACTGTCCCTTGGTTGGATCTTGACATCATCATCCGCATTTCTTGAGCCAGGTTGTCCACTTTCCGATCCAGCCCTGAGCCATCAGAACCACCGTTGGTTCTCATTCCTAGAATAGCCTGGGAGCAGACATTACAACCTTTCTTGCTCGTCCGAGAGAGAACCTGAAGCAACTGCTTCGGTACATCGTCGAGGGAGTCCTTGTTTTGCCACAAGGCAGAACCTGACCAAATTTTCAACGCACCTAACAAGGCTGGGAAATGAAAACCTGCAGCTCCTCCCGTGAGGAGCAGGACCACCCTGCCTACAGCCTGCGACATGGGAACGCGATCTGAGTGCAAGGAGTCAGGCTCAGCAGGGAATCTTCGCCTTCAGTGAGCCATGTTGGCATCGATTCGTCTTTCTTCAGCAGTATGGGCTGCTGTCACATAGCAAATGGCTGCTACTACCCTGCCGTCACACTCTGCCTGCTGACAATACTCTTCTTTCTGCACAAACAAAGGCTAGGGTTCGTTGTAGCATCGCCGTCCTCTCATTGCTCCTCTGCTCCCGCTCTAGCATCCCCGCCACCCTCCCCCATTCTTGAAGGCCATGCGCACAACCATCTTTTAAAATCTCTTATTACGATTTAAAAGGGATTGCGCCAGAAAATTTCAATAATATATAATAGTAAGGGAACTTGAAATTCAAACTTGCCGGTTCCGATCGCCGGGCCCGTTCGGCGGACTCGACTGAGCGCGGCCCGGGCCGGGCTGCTCCCGGACTCCTGGACCGTTCCGAACTTCGGAATTCGGAAGTTCTGTGACGGTCGGACGGACTCAGAGAGTCCGCATCGCGGCAGGCTACGGTAATGGTAGTACGTACTATCACTGGCAAGTGGCAAGTTTTTTAAGGCTTACAAACAAGCCGTTCCTGACCGAGCCTTAAGCCTGACCCGGCGAGCCTTTAAGTTGCGCAGCTCCGAAGTTACTCAGTTATTCAAGCGGCATGCGATTTCCCGGCTTAGGCCTTACGAGAAGGAGAGTAAAACGATCCACCAGCTAGGAAAGTGCTCAGCATTGCAAGTGAATTGGCCGGCTATCAAACACGCATGATCAATGATAGAAAACGAGGCAATGAATGAGGCACCTGATCGAGTGGGACCATGTGTCCTGCATTATAAACCTGTCGGGATGAGTCAGTTCGCTCATACTTCTCTGCAAGTCCAGCACCTGAAGGAAAGTGAAGCCATCCACAGTTCTCGCAAGGCCCGCTTTACTTCCTCCCACCATCCATTCGTGATCACCCTCCGCATTGAAAGCGTCATGTCCGCTCCATGGCAGCCGCAGAGCCCATGCCTTGTTACCCAAGTAGTTGCAGATATAGTCCATCTCGCCCGCATAGATGAGAACCCTGAAAACCTCTCAACGCCATGGGACTGTTCAGCTTTGATCCAGCTCACCTTACACCGGCATCCAGCATCTCAGGGAAGACGGTCTGGAAATGGTGCATCCAGTCACTGTGGAATGCTGAGTTCACCTTGAAGTTGCACTCCTTCCACAAGTGTGGGCCAGTCCCCAGCTCGTTCAGAACCTGCGAAATCAGTTCAGGCGCGAACAGAGCATCTCAGCTCACCTTGGGGAGCTGGAAGAACTTGTTGATGTTTGAGAAATCGTAGCAAAGGGGCGGCGTCTCGCACCTCTGCCTGACATCGTAGAGGTTGATCCCTGTCATCTGCAGCACGACGGTTGGAGGCTTCCTTTCACCAACGAGTCGGTCGTACCTGAACTGGGCTGACCTGGGACAGTCCACAGATAGCAAAGGCTGTCTCGCAGAATGCGTCCTTGCTCTGACACAACTGGATGTTTGCTACACAGACGCTTGCGGCAGCTCGCATGGCGAGCTCTTCAGGCTTGCTCACCTGCGAGCATGAGATAAGGAACGAGCAAGCAAGTGTCATCACGCACGAGAGGATGCACGGGATTTTTCACGGCATACTCAGCATAATACTGATATCTGACAGAAGGATAAGTATTCAACACCCTTGCGCAGAAGAGCGCACTGAATCTCAGGCGCAGTCAAGCCGTTTCCTGCCGGCGTTTTAGAAGGGGCGAGCAAGTTTGAGCATGAAAGTGAAAGACAGTTTGGGGTGGAGGAGGAGCAAGAGGAGATTACCAACTCCGACTCCTTTGAGCTTCAACGGGATGTCCCTCTTGTCCTGCATCCCCTGCGGAAAAAAAAAAACTCACGGGTACCAGAGAAAACTTGTTCCCACCTTGAAAACTTGATAGGCAGTCGCTGGCACGAAATGTCCGCCGTATGACTCGCCAAAGATGAAGAAATCATTCTTGACATAATTTTTGTGCGCAGAAAAGAACGCCTGGGAGGAATTTCAGACCCTTATGTCTTTTAGTAAAGCTTGTTCCTGAAGAAAATTGTACATGTCCCGCGAAACTTCCTCCTCATTATGATCAAAATCCGAGTCTTCACCATAAGAGAAGCCCGTTCCTGCTGGCTGGTCTATATACAGGATTGAGGCATTGCTGTTCCATGAGAAAGGATTCTTCTTGGTTGTAAGGTCGTCTTGGATGGTACAGGGTCCATTCTCCCTGAACAGCGCAATCGCGCTGGAGCAGCCAGGCCCTCCGGTCATCCAGAGGATGACGGGATCGGTTGCAGGCTTGCTGCGAGACTCAAAGAACCAAAAGAAGTACATCTTCGTGGCTGAAAAAAGAACACCATTACGATGCTATGCCACACAGATTACACTACCGGTGGTGACGTTAAAGTAGCCGGCGTATTGCTTCACTACATCGCATAGCCCAGACACCTGAGCAGGCAATCAAGACCATCCTACTCGTATCCAGGTACGAACAGGCTTCTCTGCTAACGTGTACCCACGCGTACTCGCCACGACTTGGTAGCCCTGCGATCGCATCTGCGAATCAGGACAAACCACCTGAGACTTGACTACCTCGATAGGATGAGACTCAGGCTTGATGGGAACACTTTCAGCCATCATTGCCATCGTCATGATCATCATCGTCATCATCGACCATGAACTTCTCGCTGTGCCCTTCGGCACCCTCCGCATCCACTTCATTGCACTGTTTCTCCGCTTCGTTCCTGCCATGAAAGGGCAAGGCCTGACCAACTAACTAGTCAATTTGTTAAAATAGTAAAACTATCTTTAAAAGAATTAGAAGTTATATTTGCATGCAAAAAATCTTTATGTTGTACAAAAATTGTAAATATTTTTAAAATTAAACTACCACGAGCACAGAATGGGCCCCTGAAAGTACCGTACACTGCGGACCAACGGAAAGTATGATTTGAGTAGCTGCAGTACACACTTAAAACGTTCTTTGAGGAGTCTATAAAAATATAATAATCCGACGAGGCGGTACAAATATTAAAACATTCTCTTTTAAAACTGGAATTTGTTCACATTGCGACTCCCTTGCGACTCCTCACCCCCATCCCCCCTCCCCCTCCTACCCCCTCCGTTAATCCACCCCTTCTACCCCTACCCCCATCAACATGGTGTTCCTCCAGTAAGCCGGTACCCCTCCACTGAGAGGATCCAAACCAGGACCCTACGTACCGAAGTGAGTTCGCCATGCGAGCTCTCGCCATACTCTCGCTCGCTCCTCTCCTAGTTTCAGCCTCGTTGCCCCACCCCACGCCACCTCTTCCTCTCCTGAATCCTGACTCAAGCGCTTCCTTCATCTCCGACCCTTTCAAGCACGATTTCATCGCGTCCTCATGTTACTTCGCACGCGAGGATCTGCATGCTTGGGATCCTTGCATGCTCCTTGCGGCAGGACAGGCATCACAAGGCGAGTAAATGAAAATTACCTTGTTACATTCCCGCGCTGTTATTTCAAACTGATTTCTTCGAATTCTTTTATGCAGCTGCTAAGAAGTTAAGCCAGAGTGTTTTCGCAACCTTACCCCCCATCACCATTGCAGCAGTTTCGACTGCTACACTGATGTATCCTGTCGACCTTGTGAGAGCATTGCGTATGTCGGCAGCAGCGGAAGGTCGTGCAAAACCAACAGCTGAACTTCTCCAGAACTTTTACAAGGAGCATGGATTGAAAGGCTTTGCCACCCAGGGCATCGTCCCAGAAATGGTCCGAGCAACATATATGCGCATTCTGAAATTTTTCTTGTTTCCCATTGTCCACGTGGGAATATTCAAGAAGTCGGAGAAGGAAGGTACAGGTTTCACGAAAGCAATTGCTGGAGCTGTCGCCTCTGTGCCAGAAGCGATTACTATACAACCCATCGAGATCTCCAAGATCGCCTTGCAACTCGATAAGAACAATGTTTACAAGAACAATGCGTTGGCTGTCATCAAAGACATCATCAAAACAAGAGGTTGGCCAGGTCTCTATGCAGGATTTCCAGGCCTGCAGTACCGCCAGCTGAGCTGGACAGCGGCATATTTCGCAAGCCTGCAGCATTTCCAAGAGCAGTCAAGCCACTTTATTCCAGATGACATGAAGATGCTGCAGCAGTTTGCTGGTGGATTCGCAGCTGGAATCTTTGGTGCTGTATTTAACACTCCCGGTCAGATTGTTCTCCAATGATTCCTCTTTGTTGATTCATGCTGCAGGGGATGTAATCCGTTCAGTTCGACAACGAACGTTTCTTGCATCCGTTCCGAGGCGGGAAGTTTGTTCGTTCGAAATCTGTTCAAGGGGCTTCCGCCATCTAGTCGGCACTGGTGCTACCATCGTAAAACAGAAAGGCAAGTACAGTATGATGCTGCGGCCACCAAATCCTTACCTTAGATTGAACAGGACTAACTGGACTTTACACTGGATTCGGATTCAAGGCACTTCATTTAGGAGGGAGCGGTGCACTGCTGGCTTTATTAGTCCCAACCCTCAAGACGTGGATGGGAGTTGAATAGTTCTCTTGAAAATGTACAATCATGTTGAGAATAGGGTTATCAGGATGATCACCGTACTAGCACAACGAGATGTTTACCACCTGCAGCTGCATTCCATCTTGCAGGCCTTCTGCACAGACTGTGCACCACCAAAACCCTGTCCCTTCGACGGAGCGATGTAGGAGAAATTCGATCTCAGGGTTGGTAGCATCTGACAATGAAGCAAGAAGTTGTGTGATGTGCACGTTGTCCAAACAAAAGTCGACGTCCTTGCCAGCAACTGTTCGCACGATAACATGGCAAGATTCAATGTCACGGCAAGCAGATCGATGGTCCACGAATCCGCACTCCAAACAAAGACAGGAATTCATCCTCGAGGTCTCATCAGGCAACTCGATCTCTCTGAAGCGATTTGAGGATCTGCACTCTGGGCATATTCTTGATACCTTGATCGCATCAATCTCAGCGATTTTCCCTTCGAAACGGAGGTACGATCCACCAGAATTCTCAAAATCACAGTGTAAACCCAGGGCGTGTTGGAATTCCTCCAGTAATGGCTTTGGGACATAACAGTAGGGTAAAATAAATTGATTCTCAGATTCTTCATAGAGAAGCTCCTTATTCGAGCCAACCTTTACGATTTGAGATAAACTATCAATGTTGATGCAGACTGAATTGGAGTGCGGAACACTATTTTCACAACAGCTGGAACTGACCACGATCGCGTCACGTATGAGTAACACATCCCCTTGTTTTAAAACGCTCTGGCATGCCAATACCTGACAGGCATCTGTGATGTAAGCCAAAACGTTCGGTACTCCTGTTTCCTTCATTGACTTCTCACGTACAGATAACCACAGATGGAATTTGGTGGGGTTTGGCAAAGTAAGGACCTCAATCAACTGCACCAAAAGAATTTTGACTCGAACATTAATTTCGGATACGGAAGACAGCTTAGCTGCTCCTGAAATCAGGTCAGAGGTTTGGTGTTCCTTTGGCGTTTCCACCTTGTAAAAGTATGACTTTTCAGTGACCACTAATTGAAGTGGCGTCTCGGTCTTATCGCAACTTTTTGCTATGGAAGAGTTGTTTCTGAGTTTCATATCGGGAGAAATTGACAAGCAATGAAATTCAAAACTGGAACACACATCAGCCGAAAGCAATGGTTCCATCCATTTGTTCACAAATGGTACTGGTATGTTGATTGTACACGTCTCAGTATTGTCCATGATCACTATACCAGGTTGCAGGAATGACAAGTCAGAATAATTCGTCTTTGCAAGGAGTCCACGGTAGCATGAATCAATATCGCCTAATTCAGCCCTTGAGATCAGCAGGTGCCTTGGGTGAATTCCAATGATTTGACCAGCAACGGACAAATCTACCATGAACGGATGCACATTTGAGATACATGTTATTGCATTAGAGCCCTCACCATCACCGAAGTCTTCCAAATTGAGAGCTTCAAAATTTCCGAGGTGTAATCTCTGATATTCCCTCCCTTGAGGAAAAAAGGATTCAAGTTTACAAAATTCAGAAAAGTTGACTGTGGATGTTGAATTTGCATCACAAAGAATTTTCTCGGCCACTTGTTGGGGTGGATCAGAAATCGTATTCAAAGCCTCAACACCAATCGATATGCATTTTTCAGAGCAAAGAATATATTTTCCAGACGTTGTTGCAAATGCATGCCACGGCATGGAAACTTTGATAATGTGCCCTTGACCAAACCCCAGATCCTTCCATATAGTCTTCGGAAACAACAGAAATATTGTAAGCTTTTTCATGTGATCGCAGTCATGGCACAATGATGATTCTACCCGCACTAAATTCATTTCGAAGCTCAAAGACTGCACATGTGCACAAAAAAATTCCCTGTCAGCACTTGTACTCAGATCATCCCTATGATTCTGGTTTACATGCTTGAACAGAGCATTTTCTTGCTCCGTTCGAATAAAAAATCTATTCAAACATTGGCCAAGCTCCCCTTTACTTCTACTACGTTTGCGGGAGCGAAGAGGTTGAAGACTTGTACTTATATCTGTGATGTCAAGTTTGTCCAGGAACGATGGAAATACCCTTCTCGAATCATCTTGGACTGAAGTAGAGGATTCAAGCATTGAATTGTCGTTTCCATCTGAGAATTCACCAATTTCATCATCTATATTCAGTCCATTTCGTTGTCTATCAGTTTGAGGAGTTGGCACGGTCTCAGTGTCCTCCAATAACATCGACGTGGTAAGAATGTCATCACAGGTGAGGCTTGTTCCACTCGGCTCATCTCGCTGTGAGAGTATTTTCTCTGGATACTTTTTGGATCGTTTCTCTGCCGCTCTTGAAGACAAAGACTTGGCATTCAAAGCTGCTGAATCATCTAGTCCTGAAATCCAATTCCGTATGTTACGCCTGCTGCTGCTTGAATCATCTCCACCAGTTGTTTTTTCAATCGATTTGCAAGATGCTGAATTGGTATCAATGATATTGCATTGATCATTCACAAAGTCTTCTATTTCTTCTTCAAGTTCTGAACATCTTGATGTACCAACCTTTTGATAAAATCGATGGTTCCTGCTTCCAATCTTTTCCTTCGCTCGTTTGTTGGTCTTGACGTTCAGGTCTTGATTTTTTCTTTGAGGCATAGAGGCAATGCTTCTGCGTTTCGAGTTAGCATTGCTATATGGTCGAACGCTGGATTTAGTTTTATTCTGCTGCGGATTGATATTGATTCGAAGCTCATCACCTTGCAGATTGTCAGAAAAAAGTCTCTTCCTCAAACGAGTATCAGGTACCTTTGGAGTTCGATGGACTGACTTCCAAGTCAGGAGAGAGTTTTCTTTCAGTGCAAATTGCATCTGACTTGGCTTTGACTTCTTGGACGGGCGAACTAACCTTTTGTGAACTGCACTCTGCAATTGCCTGACTGAATTGAACAGATATGTCCTTCAACGCTTTTTGATAGTTTGCATTCACATTATTGTCAATCCATCCAGAAGTCTGGTCTCTTGGAACATTGCTGTTAACCTTGCTCCATCCATTTCCGTGAGACGTCTTGTTGCTTTGGCCAGCATCTGTTCAATAGCATTCAGTTACTGGATTAATTCTATGCAAAGAACGAAACTACCTGCAGTCCTGTTGACATTTTTGTTCGCCAAGAATGAAGACAATTTTGTTGTCTGTACATTGCCTTGATATCCAACTTCCGCTGAGAAACATGATCAATCAAGTCATGTGGGCTGTGGTTTAAGAAGCAAGCAGTGTTGCCTCACCGTCATCATCAGACACCACCGACTCTTCGTCTCCGCTGTAATCCGCGAACGCTTCTCGCCTCTGCTCATCTGCGATCTTTCGCTGTTGCACAAGGTCCCAGCTAAGCATGAGGCGTGCGCCTGCTCTGACGTCAAATTCCAGCAACAAACAGCGCAAGGTTTGGCTAATAGTGGAGACTTGATGTTTCCTCTTACTGCAAAGTGCACATTACACTTAATTCAACATCTTCTTGTTACATTTCTTTCTGGTGTCATACTTCATTTCCACACAGCATGAAAGAGCAAACATTCTAATCTTCATCCGTGAATCCCCAATGAAGACTCCACTCTTCCCCATCCTCTTTGCTATGTGGTTTGCTGGAGAATTTTTGGCGCCATCATCCTGATAGGCGGGCTCGGTGATAGGCTTTTTTTTTAGAAAACAAAATACTGGCTAGCGGGGTGACGGCACTGCGGCAAACTTGAGAGTTACCCGGTGCAGCGCTTGTTCCTCGAGGCTCCGGGGGCGATGCCGGAGTGGGCCGACTTGTTCCAGATCCCTGGTTAGGACTAGGTTCTCTGCTTCTGCCGACGCGCCTCTGTAAGGGCGATGGCCTGTTGACACAAGACAACAGTGAGTCAAACGACAGGGTCCGATCAAAAATAGAACCTGATCGATTTGCGATTTCATCAACAACAGCTCCTAAAAAGAGCAGGGGGCAAAAGGAAAACTGTCAAAAGAAAAGAACAATAAGAAGTTGTTGAAACGTTACGAACCTCATTGTCTGGCTCGTCAATAAGCATATCCTCAATGTCGCCTCTGCTAGCTAACAAACGTGATAGCTGATAAATTTCTGCGTCAGTTGACAACAACAAATCGCAATCGCCTAGATAAACAACCTCGGCTGTCGTCTCATCTTGACCAGCTCCATTTTGATCAGCTGCAGTACCAGGACGCGCAGGCGCAGCAGCAGCTCCGGCTTGTTCACTTGAAGTTGAAGCTGCATGCCCTTGTTCCTTCGCATCCGAATCATTCTCGACAGCATCGTCTTCCGTCTTTGCCAATTTGCTTGCAGGGGGCTCCACCGAAACTTCCTCTGGGGTTGTTCTCTTTTTCAACATGCTGCCTTGCTCTGCCTTGGACTTTGTAGGCACAGCGAATGGCGATTCTTCATCGTCGACGTTCAAAGTATCCTCATCATTTTCCGTTCCCTTCAATTGTTTCTCTTTAGCTTTTTGCTGCTTTGCTAGTTCCCTCATTTTCCGTTTTTCTTCTTTCATGGCTTGCAATTCCTCCTGAGCTTTGTTGAAACCTTCTTGATCTTTTTCTCGCCAATTGCTCTTTTCCCCCTTGACCTTCAAAACAAGGGTCAGTGGCTCATGTTTGTGGAATCAATTGCTCAAACCTTGCTAAAACCTCCTGGCAGTGCCATTCGCGTTTCTTCATTTGCACTAGCATCAAAAGGAGTTTTATGGAATTTGTTCTTGGCCTTCAAGTTACTCCCAGCTTCCACAAGCAGCTTCACTATTTCAATGTGTCCTTTTTCACAAGCCATGTGCAATGGAGTATTTTTTTTCTTCCTGCGAGAGTACTCAGATCGCCAAATGACAACGGAAGTCAAAACTTCACCTGTCAAGAGCTTCAAGATCCGCCTGATGCTCGATGAGGATAGAGATGCATGCCACCGACCCCTTTTGGCAGGCAAAGTGCAGGCATGTCATATCGTCCATGGCGTGTGCGTTAGGATCAGCTCCAACTTCTAATAATTTCCGCACAACGTCTGCATGTCCTGCCCATGCTGCCATGTGCAAAGCAGTCCTCCCAAGATTGTCCTTGTCGTTGGGATCAGGAGCTTTCCCGTCTGGAATTGCAAGGATACGCTCAATTTCCTGAATCGAAAATGCAAGTCACTGAGACAATCGAGGAGGAATAGTCTGATGGTTAAAGTGAAACAGCATGTTCAAGCTTATAAGTGTACAAAAACTCACATCAGGAAAAATATACGGCAGACGAATTGTACACAAGATCAAGGCAATCAATAGAAACTTGCGACACACACAACAGGCAAATGAAACGTCCATGTTTTATGGAAGATTGTCACTTCAAAGGGAAATGAAAGGATGAAGAGGAGGACAGGGCGGAGTTAGAGTGATGATGAACGCGAGGACGAGGATGAGGATGAGGATCATAACAGCCAGCATGGCGGAATCCCACAGTTGGATCAAGTGATGAACAGCAGAAGAAGGAGCAGGAGCAGGAGCAGGAGCAGGAATGATGGAGACAAGGAGCAACTGAAGCAGTTGAAGCAGCTGGAGCAGGAGAAGGAAGGAGGACGCGTTTGCATTCACCTTAAGATCTCCTGCTCTCGCCGCTGCATGAAGCGAATCCATGGTGTGACCGTTACGCCCTATCGTTCGCATTTGTAACGCCTTTAACAGACCGTTGTAACGGCCATGTTTCAGAGGTTCGCCTCAGAGCTCTTGGAACCTGGGGCAGAAGGTGGTGGGTGGGGTCTGAGGGAGGGGTGGACAAGGTAGGAAAGCTCTTTCGATATTCGTGGGGTACTGCTATTACAATCGGGCCTGGAATTGATGGGGGTGGGGGTGGAGTATGAGGGGTAGGAGAAGTTTTGGCGGGAGCTTGAGGAGCTTGGCTCGCACAATTCTCTCCCCTCCTGCCAAACCTAGGCAGGAAGCCGGATATACAGAGAAGCGAAGGATGTGATATGTTGAGACTGCCTTGTTCATGGGGGGGGAGGCATGTAGGGACATCGTTGAGGGTGATAGTGCTATGTTGACAAGAAGAGGAAGTAGTTTTGAAACAATGTTTGCTCGTTGTAGACAGGAGGAGAAACACGGTCGAGTGTTGTCGTGGTTCCAGCTTAACTGACATGCTCTATCCAGATTCAGTAATGAAGATTGTAAAGCCAGAGTGGGTTTCTCATGATAATCGAACACCTATCTACTCGGTGCATTGTCGACCTGACTCATCGAGACTAGCGACAGGCGGTGGAGGTCATCTTTCGTTTCGAACGAGCGCAGACTGATGTAGCATTACACAGATTGCATGATAAGAATATGGAACATGGAATGTATCAAGCAGGATAACAGTACATCGCCAAAGATGTTGAGCTCTTGCAACCATCATACTGAGGCGGTTAACTGCGTGCGGTGGTCCCCTTGCGGGTACTTGCATGGGATAGTGTCCGACCTGGTATGTGATGACATTTCCACTTTCACAGGAGATTTCTTGCGAGCTGTGCTGGAGACAAGACTGTCTTAGTTCTGCATCTCGGCTACACTTATGCCAACCCTATCAAGACGCTTGGCAACAAGAACCTCAGCTACGAAGAGTGGATTGTCAGGCATTCCTTCCGAGGACACGAACTTGACGTAATGCTGCAAGGAGTCTGGATGCATCCCTGGTGAGATTGTTGTAGGTACTGCATGTAGCCTGGTGTCCGAATGGGACTAGACTTGCTTCCTGTGGATTGGACAACTACGTCTTTGTTTGGGACCTTCATGGAAATGTGCCTGTGGCAAAGTTGCGCGAGAATGGAATGGTCAAGGGAGTCTCCTGGGATCCGATCGGTAAGTATCTAGCAGCACAAGTCATCGGCGGTGAAGAAAAGAGCACTGTCGTCTGGAGGGTTCGAGATTGGCAGGTGGATGATGGAGGTTGTCACTGTGATGTTCTTACTCTTTCTTGAATAGAAAGAAGTAAAGAACACAGCAGGATACATTGAGGCTCCTGATGAGCCAATGTTCCTCAGGCTCAGCTGGTCGCCGGATGGACAGTAATGATTGCACTGCCACGGCCATTCGATGTCCATTTACTTTTGTTTTGAAGGAATCTGGCGACAGTGAACGCCTTCATAAGCAACAAGTACACCTGCGCACTTTTGAAACGCGATGGAGGCAAAGATGATGACGCGCGATGGGAGCGAGACGCTACTATGCAAGGATGGAGGTAAGGCTGAGAGTTTCCTTTGAGCATTCCCACTGGAGTGACGATGTGTTGTTTTTCAATGTAGTGCTCCAGTGACTGTGGCTTCATTCCACCCTCAGCTTTTGAAACGAAACAACAAGATTGATGCAGTATGTGCCATGGGATCACAAAAGAGTGAATTCACAATCTGGTCTGCAAATGGGCAGGGGAAGCCCCTGACGATAATCAAGGAATTGTTCGACCAGGAAATCTACGACATAAGTTGGGGAGGAGAGAATAGTTACATCCTGACGGCATGCAGCCATGATGGGACAGTGGCAGTCATCTTCTTCTCTGCGAAGGAAATCGGATCTTTGGTCTTAGCCGACGAAAAGCAAAAGATCTTGCGAAAGTACTATGGTGATCAGACGGCGAATAGTGGTGAGCTTGATTTACCTGAAGACTTAGCTCAACTCAACTTTGAGAAATCTCGGCAAACAGAGGCGAAAACCGTGAACACTGTATCAGTCAGCGAAATGAAGGAAACAGTTGTTCGCTCGAAACAGGAGGAGACCAGAACCTCGGGTGGAAAGAGAAGAATTTGCCCGAAAGTGGTTCAGCCTTCGATAGTAGAAATTTCCCCTGTACAGAATTCGTTGCCTGCTTCCCAGCCAATGCAAAATGGCAGCACAAGTTCTAGCTTGCCTGTATCAGCTGGAACAACAGTTGCAAGCTCGAGTACTAATTCACACACTACGGTACAGCCACAAAAAGCATCATCTTCACAAGAGAATGGGTTACCTGCAATTTCTGAGAATTCTACAGCAAGCCAGAAACAATCAACTAATAGCTTATCATTGACATCGCCCAATCCTACAACCGAAAGTAGTAATCCAAGCAACACAGAGGCAATCCAAAATGAAAATTCAAGCACAACTTCCGTATCAACGTCAGACAGCAAGAAGCGAAAGGCGGCATCTGGTGCAAAAGGCGATGGAACAAGAGATAAGAGACAGGCTCTCGCCGGACAACTTCCTTCAGCAGATAATGTAATCAACCTTCCAGTTCAAGTCCTAAAACCCCTGAAGCACAAAGAAACGATCACATTGCAGATTTGTAGTGGCAGCGACTCTCAGATTGCTTCAAACGGACTGGGCAGCTCTTCGCAAGGGTCTCTCTACCTGAACTGCTCTCGAGCGGATGACTGGAGCGTTGTGAACTGCGTGAAGGAAGATGGCGCTGAGGTCTGGCGGGATTACTTCAAGGAGCATGTGACTGCTGTCAGTGCGAATCGTAGGTTCAGCGCTGTTACCTGCAAAGAGTCATGCCTATACGTCTACAGCACGAAAGGTCGACGAATGATGCCAGCAATAGCTCTTTCAGCGCAGGCAACATGCCTGCAAGCCGGCAAGGGTATGGAACCGTTCCTTGGTGTGTTGACTTGTGACGGGAACATCCGAGTTTGGGATGTGGTCAGCCAGACCGAGACTTGTTCAGCGAATATCCATGCTGTGCTTCACGAGGGGGTGGAGGTTGACAACTTTTGGATCACCGGTGACGGTCAACCGATCGTGGGAATGAGCGATGGACAGTGCTACGCGTATCACAAGGGTATGAAGTGCATGGTAAGGATCGCAGAGAGTCAATTTCGGTCGTCGGAGTATTTTTCACACCATCGGTTGAGCGGGGAAGCGAGAGGGGATGAGGGCCACCTGCGGAAGGCCTTGGAACTCGCCAGCCGTGGGGTGAAGCCCCAGCATCTCCCCGCCATGATTGTCATGGACCCTCTACAGACCTCGCAGATCACCTTGGCACATGTGGAGACGCTCTTGGCCGCCTCCATGACGCTCAACTCCAGCTCGGAGTTCAAGTACTGGCTGGACTTGTACGTCAAGTATCTGATCGACAAGGACCTGGAGAGCCGGCTGAGGGAGCTGTGCGAGATGCTCCTGTACCAGTCCTTCTGCCTGAAAGACGAGCCCACTGGCAGCACCGGCACGATCCTCGGATACAAGCGCCAGGAGCTCGTGCAGGACGTGCTGATGCTGATGCGAAACAAGAGGTCGCTTCAGCGATGTGTGGAGGAGGTATCTCTTCTGCTGGAGGTTGGGACTGTATAATCGAACAAATGAAACATCTTGAAAGGGTGATGTTGCTCGGGAGCTCGGGCCTCGAGAGCCTCTGATCGCTATGGGCTTGCGTACTGCTGAAGGTTGCCGTACTCGTCCGGTTTGAAGCCAGCCCTCCACAGCGACTTCTCCACGTGAAACTTCAAGGAAGACAGGTCCCTCGGCCCTAGATACTGGCAAAGGCGTCAAGTCTTGCACACCCACTGCCTACTTCGAACCTGACTCTCCGTCCCATTGACGAAGAGCTTCAGCGTCGGATAACCCTTCTGTACCTGGACCGCCATCTTCACATGACTCCCCGCACACCCGAGCTCCCTACGTGATGCTTGCAGACTACTTTCTGCTTCTTGCAGTTAACTTTGGCGATGATCACGTCCGGCAGCTCAGCAAACTCGAGCCCTGCACCCACTCCTTGTGTCAGGATCCAACAAGGTCTCGAGACCCCCCACCTAGCTCCTCCCACGTGGGTTTCAGCTTCTTGCAGTAGACACACTGCAGGCTGAGTAAAGATAAAACAATCCTGACCCCGTGTGCCCTTCTCCCTCACCCACGGCACGAAGAACTGGACGAAGACTACGGTTCCGTCTCTGCTCGGGCTGGTTACATGCGGAGCAACTGATGTATAGAGGGAGAGCATCCGGGATACATCTGAGAGGATACATACTCGCTTGCTATCTCGTCAAAGTTGTAGTCAGAAAGTTCTTTGACGGGCCCCTGCTCAAATTGTTGGCGGGTGTGGTTAACAAATGGCAAACAACCTTACTCTCCACTTCCTGATGGTGAACCCATCTTGTATGCAGATTGCTTCAGTCACACCTGGCAAGAGAGAGGAGGCGCAAGGCACCTCTGGGCCGTCTCATCTGCCTCCGCATTGATCTTGTCCTGTCAACGAGCTTCAGCAGCTTTACCGGCTCATGGCAAGGGACCTGGAGCTTCCGAGGGTTGGCCGCCGCTTCCTGTGCGAAATGGAAGAGAGCGTCGCTCGTCCTCGCTCGCTTGTAGTTGATCTCGCGTACTGTCTCCTCCTGCCGGGGGATCAGACGGTGGTCAGAGGGAAAGGAGTACCTCAGGGACGTTGAAGAGAAGCTTCATGGTAGGATATGCCTTGATCCCATGCCGGGAGCACGTCGAGCTCCCGTAGGTCGACGTGCAGTCTATCTTGGTGATCTACACAGGTACTTTGCAGTGAGGAACGAGGAGAGAGACGAGGAGAGCTGGCAGTCGAACCAAGGAGGAGGAGGAGGAGGAGGAGGAGGAGGAGGAAGAGGAGGAGGAGGAGGAGGAGGAGTTTGTTGTTGTTGTTGTTGGTGGTGGTGGTACTCAAGGAGTAGGAGGAAGACGAAGAGCTCACATGGATCATCTCCCTCGACTTCCTCACTCGGTCTCCGAGCTCGCTCCATGCCTGCGCCATCCTCTTGCAGTGATTGCACCACTGCGGGGCCGTCAGAGGATAGACCTGGTCGCCCACTCGTACCGGAGCATAGAACATGACGAAGACGGGCATGACTTTGGCCCTCTCCTCCAGAATCTCCTCCCTTCCCTCCCCGCCGGAAGGTCCTGCTCCCGCTCCTCCCAGTCCCGACCCCCCGCCCACTCCCCCCCCACCTCCTCCTCCCGCTCCCGCTCCCCCGCCCACTCCCGCTGCTTCCCCGCTGCTTCGCCTGTCCTTCGCACCTGACGCCATCGCCAACATGGCGAGCAGCATCCAGAGCTGACGCGACCTCCTCATCTGCTGCTCCTTCCCTCCTCCTCCCTCCCTCTCCTCCCGCCAAATCTACCTCCGAAATTGCAGAAATCCCTTTCTGACCTCTTGAACCATTGCCTCCCCAGGCCACCTATCGAGCCGCTGCCCCCGCCCGTCTTCGCCGCTCCCTGCCCTCCAGCAGCTCTCCAGCCTCTCCTCGTCCCTTCCCCTCACACTCCCTCTCTCCTCTCCTTCCTTGCCTCCCTCCTCTCATCATCGGCACTTTCACCGATCCGCGCTCTCCCACGATGGCGGACGCCACACGGGTGGCGAGCTCGTCGGCTCCCAGTTCCCCCTCAGCAGATGGGACGTGCGAGCATGCAGGGAGGGAAAATCCGCACGAGGAGAGCGAGAGGCCGGCAGTCGACCATCCCTTCCCCCACTACCTCGTGTCTCCTGCGATCAAGGGAGTGCGATGGAAGAAGGAGGCTGCAGGCTCGAGCTTGTCGGAGGGGGTGCAGCATCCTCAGATGCTCAAGAAGAGGAGCGCAAGCTGGGCGTCAGGCCTGACTGCCATCGACGATGACAGCTCTCAGGCAGACGAGCACGAGGAGGCGAGGGGGTCCGAGCCTGCTGACTTCGAGAACCGCATCCCCTTGCTCTTCGAGTTCTCTCTCGTCGAGGACCTGGCGACAGGAAGCTCTCTGTACCGCCAGCGGTCCAGGTCCCTCCTCTCTCCTCCTACTCCTCCCGTCTGATATGCCAGGAAGGGAGAGTGCGGCGAAGATGGAGATTAGGTGGGTAAGATTCCTGCAGCTGCTGATTCACTTGGCGGTGGCTCCAGCGTTCCTCTCCATCCCCATCCTCTCGAGTGCCAGGTCCAAGGGCTGCCTGCTCCATCTAGGAAAGCACTTCAAGATCCTCTTCTTTAGCGGCAAGGCGCTGGTGCGGCCCGCGGCTTCCCTCGCAGCATCTGACGCAGGAGCGTGGCAGGAGGTGCTCTGCTCTATCCTGCTGATGACGATCATCGCATGTGCGATCTTCCAGGCTGCTCGAGCTTGTTGTCACTCACCTGAGGCCTTCAGGCTCTTACTGGCTCTACTACAACGGCAAGGACACTTACGAGACCAGGGAGGTCCTCCTCCTCTACCTCATCATCCTGGTCGGCCCCCTCCTCCCACTCCCAGCCCCTCATGCTCTGTCGCCAGGCCACGTACTCAGCCATCTACTCGCCTGACCGGCTGGGAAGGTACTCGTTCGACGACCTCGAAGACCTCATGTCAAACGTCTCTCCGAATGACAAGAAGGCCGAGCTCGACAAGTCTGGGCTCGACGGGGCTGAGCTGGACAAGGGGGACAACCCTTCCCCGATGTCGTCTACAGATGATCTTACGAACCGCAAGATGTCCGAGTCGTTCAGATTCGTAAGATTGGGAGATGATGATGGTCAGGGTTTGACCGGGTGAGCAGCAGTTCCAGGAGCTCCAGGAGCAGTGGAACTACATGCAGAACGAAATGCTGACCGTGTTTGACTCGTGCGCCCTTACTGCTGGTCCTTCCCGTCTGAATATCTTGTTGCAGGAACAGGAAGACGTTCACCGTATCGCTGTACGACTTGTGCCGCGAGGTTTACGTGGCGAGGAAAGAGCAGAAGCGGAAGAGTTCGCAGGTCCTGTCTCCTTGCGGTATCACTCCCATCATCGCTTCTGCAGCTCCCGTTCTTCGGCGCCATGGCGTTTGCCATGACGGCTCCCACCCATCGCCTTATGACCCTCTGCCTGGGTCTCCCCAACGACTCGACTTGTCCTCGGATGCGCTTCCAAGACCTCACTGTACCCCCCGTCGAGCTGCTGCGGGTCCCCCGTCGTCTTCTGGCCTCGACCCACTTCACGTGACATCTGTGCTTCCTTCAGGCAGCGTTCGGCTCCTCTACAGCCGAGGTCGCGCTTACGGTCAGCTGCACGTTGGCGAACTTCGTGATGGGAATGGGCATCCTGACATGGTGCCTTCTTATTTCCCCTCCTTCTTCCTGAGATCAGCCCAGCACAAACGTAGCTGTCGAGTCCTACCGGCGGCTAAATCGAAGAGCAAGATACCTCTGTGCTCTCCTCGACTTGCGCGCAGCTCGACGAGCCTGCCTGCCACATCTCTCGATCTCCTCTGTTTCTCAGGTCCTAAATTTCCCCCGTCTCTGCCCGCATGACGGGCCGGTATGCAGGTACGAGCATGGCTGGTCCTCCGCCAGTACATCAAGAAGCAGAACTCTTCCACGTTTCTGGCTCGATCCGTCGACTTCATAGTCACTGTAAGCTGACAGCTGACAGGGGGTCGCTAGTGATTTTGTTCCAGGTCTCGTTCTTGGTCTGCTGCGTACTCTTCCTGCACTTCGTAAGGCTCCGCATCCCCTGCCCCGTCCTGCTCAACTGAAAGTTGTCAAGGTCGTTGCATTCTTTCGGGGAGGAGGGAACGCCCAGCTCCTGGGGGTATCGGACTGTCAGGTCCCGCTTTCTGAGTCGGGGCCCTTGAACTAATCGACGCCTCCAGGCCCTGATGCTGGCCTTCATACTGGGAAGGGACGTCACCCGCATCATACAGCTGGGAGCGAGGACCAATGTAAGGCTCCCATCGGAGCTGACGGCAGACTCACCTCGTCCTCGACCCAGAACATTCTACACGATCCTGCGGTGCTGATGAATGAGCAACTCAAGTGAGATCCTGCAGGCTGGCGATGCTGCTCTTGTGACCTTGGTCGGCAGGCTACACTCCTTCGCTTCAGATGTGATCTCTCTGATCATGATCCTCTCCTCCTTGTTCCTGCTCTCATCTTAACTCTGTCTTCTTGCAGTATCCGGCAGTGAAGGAACAGGCTGAGAGAGCGGTCAAGTACCTGGTAAATCTTCTTCTGCCCAAACCCTGTGCCTGTCTCTTTTCCTCGTCTCCCTTTGATTTCTTGTCTAGCGGGACTTCCCTCCTGTTCTTCTCTATTCTTTCCTCGTATCATGCCCTCCTTGTAACCAAGTATCATCAAGTCCTGTCCTCCTGTCCTCCTCTGCTTCACTACTCTAATCGTCTGATCCAATCCTGGCTAGGACGTCGTCAGGCTTGCACAGAAGGACGCGCACTCGCCGCTGCACGTGAGTCACTCTCCTCCTCTCTGCAAGGACGAGACGGTGGCTGCAGGTCTTGGGGTTTCCCTTCTCAGAGTCTCTCTTCCGCCTCATGATCGGCATCATGATCTCGGCAGGCGGGAGTGTGCTCTCTCGCATCGTTGGCTTCACTGTCCCGATAACTGCATGGAGGATCTGAGCAGAGAGGGACTCGCGCATTGACTTTCCTCCTGACTGACGACGCGGACGGAAGAGGGGGGCGGGGGCTGCTAATGACATTCTCGTAGTGTTTATTCGGTCAAATTGTAAAATACAACAGAGTCGATTGTATTTCAGCAAGGAGTGAAGAAATTGTTCAAAGATCGTGAATCTTGACAGGATGTTTCCTGTTGAATGCGAAGAGCTGATCTGTAAATCTTTCAAACCTCTCTGATCGTTTTCGAAGATCTGTGGCAGGTGCTCGGGGGTTATACAATTGTTTGCAGCCGTGTTCATATGACATCACATAGTCTCATCGCTCGCAGGAGTTCGACTTGATCAAGAAAGACAAGAGGAAGGAGAGATCTTTGCTTGCGTCAGGACATGAAGGATCGCGTCAGGACATGAAGGATACGGACCCCCCGCCATCCCCATTCTCGCAACCCACGCGTACCTGAGTTCAGGGGAAAATCACCCCCACCCCTAGAAAACCATGTAAAAAAGGGGGTAACGGACACAAAGTGTGACAGATGAGGGTCATCTTCAGCAGGGTACATTTGTACAGGGGTTGTGTGATAGGGGGGTAGGTAGGGGTACCTGTAACGGGCCAAATGGACTCAAATCTAGAGTGGGTGAGGGTCTTTAAAATCACTTGTGATAGGGTGGGTATTTTTAATGACTGATTTGAGGGTGGGGTACTAAGTATGTGAGGGTGGGGTGGGGTACTGATTGTGGATTCTTCGGATTTTTCGATGGTTTGTGGTTGGACTGCTGAGAAGGAGGGGGAGCGAGAAAGTTGAGAGGAGAGGAGAGGGCGAGAAGGAGGGCGAGGCAAGAGACAGGAGATAGGCGGGAAAAGACTAGAGAGCACTTCAGGAGGAGCAAGGAGAAGAGAAGGGGAAACAGCACAAAAGAGATGGACAATATTTCATTCTGATAACCGAAAAAGGCAAAACAACAAAGGATTCAAGAATTGACGTCAAGAGTCAATAAGAAACGGATAAAAATACATCATTTGAGATAAAAAGCAAAAGAGAGTGAGAGCAGTGACAGAAGGTATGAAACCAAGAGTGACAAACGAATAAGATCAACAAATCGTGAGAAACCAAAATACGGAGATTTGGCGAGGCAACAGCAAATTCAGACCAGCTGTGCGGAAACTGAGAACCTGAAAGATTTTGTTTCTTATCTTTTGTTGTCCAGCTCAACAAGAAAAGAAAAGTAAAAGAATTCACGGAGAAAGATAAAGTGATACGGGGCAAGGAGAATCCAAGAATCGGAAACAAGGGGCCCAGCGAGCACAAGTCAACTCCAGGACTTGCATTATAATCCTGCCTCTCGTGCCCCGTCACAATTGTTCGGGGTTGAGGAGATGGACGAGAACAGGAAGGACTCTTGCGAGATCGACGACGAAGGCGATTGTGAAGAAATTGTTCCAAACGAGGTTCACCATAGAGTGTTGCTTTTCAAGGTTTGGTGCTCACTGCCATTGCAGTTCGCTGCTCCTTTGAGCCCTAGGATCTTGGAGGAACTGATACCAAGTGAGACCCTCCAGGGAACCAGTGGAGTCTACCTGCTGAGCAACTCGCGAGGCGAGGGCGTCGCTGTCTTCAAGGTCTGCTGCCTTCCCTGGTCAAGCTTGCTTCTTATCTTGGTGCAGCCGCTGGATGAGGAAAGAGTTCCTGAAGACGTCACAAAATGGGCCTTGGTCAGCGGTCAGTGTGCTCCTCGTGAAGAAGCTGCGTACGCCGTGTCGAGTAGAATCCTTGGAGGCTACAGCGGAGTTCCCCACACAACAGTCATGAAAGTACGAACTCCTCATGGGGAGAGGCTCGGATCAGTCCAGCGTTATGTCCCTTCGTCTATCGACATGAGCGATCGAGGGCCGAGTGGCATCTCAGCGAATGAAGTGCACAAGGTCTATTCTTGTGTGTGTGTATGCGATTGAAACTGAAGCTGATCCTAAGATTGGATGCCTCGACATCTTGTTGTTCAACGTCGACAGACACGAGGGAAACGTTCTCCTGCGTAAGTCTTCTAACCCCAATCACCGGGGCTCTTCGCAAGAACTCTTCCCGATAGATCATGGCCTGTGTCTACCCGAGATCGTCTCGCCAATGACTGGCCCGAACCTTGAGCTGCTGCAGAACATGTACTTCGCATGGCAGACCTGGCCGCAGGCAAAGAAGCCATTCCTCAAATGCGTCAAGAAAATGTTGGAGAAGCAACTGTCAAAGGAGGTGTTTCCAGACCTTGTCAGGGGACTCATGGAAGAGCTGGGCAGCGAAAAGATGAAGATATCGGCCTTCACCACGCTCCGAGTCGGAGCTCTCGTCCTACGAGAGACTGTGAAAGCCGGGATGAACCTTTATGAGATCGCCAACTTCGTCAGGAGTACGCTACCAACGCTCATGAGTACAGCGTGGGAAGAATCCAGACATGCCAAGCAGGTCGAATGGGAGACGAGCACTGCGACAGAAAAGGACTCGGACTCGAGATCATCTCTACCTTGTTTCGAGAAGAACGCAATGGTTGTCTACAAGAATGAGCCTAATCAGACACGAGAAAATTGTTACAAGATTTGGGAAGCTCAGTTCTTGTCTGAACTTGAAATTTTGATGGTGCAAGAGCTTCAAGGCAAGGGGGGCAGTGAAGTAATCGAGGGCAAAGACACAGTCAGCAGTGATGAAAAGGAGAGTATTTTCATCAGCGCTGTTCAACGGGAGCCTTTGGTGTGTCATGGTAGTGCGGTTGAAGAACTTGACACAGATGGAATCGCTCTATCGATAGACAAAGACAATCTGAGCAGGGAGGGTAGAGAACCACTTTCGCCAGATCTCCAAGCAGTGGATGATCTGGTAGACCGTCTAGGAACAGTCGATCTGAGGGGCGATGAGCCTCTCAGGCCGTCACCGTCCAAGAGAAAATATTTGCTGCTGAAACCTTCAGTTGTCTCGAAGAGAAAAACTGCCAAGGACAGGAGAATGGGCGACGAGAGAAGAAAGTCAGGAGCTAGGTTGAAACTGTTGAGGAGGGGATGGAGAAACCTCATGTCGCACGTGAAGTGGTGCAAGCAATGCAGGAAGGATGCAGCAGGACTGTTGAAGATCTGGCGGATGAAGCTGCGAGGAGCATCGCGAAGGATGAAGATCATGTGTCAATCGCCAGGCATCCTCCTCGCCATCTGGCTTTCTCGTCTATCACGCCTGTCGAACTTTCCTTGTCTGAAGGGCTTCACCCGAGCATTCTTGCGGACCAAGTTGACAGTCTAAGTAAAGTGTTGATTGGCAGATACCATATCATGTGACCCGTGACCGCTGTCTGAGTACTGCTGAGTCACCATTGCGATTGTCAGGCTGGTTGACGGCGCCGGGCCACCCCGACCGCGGCGCCCCAGTCCGATCACCGTCTCAGTGACGCACCCTCGGAGTGGACTTCGGGCTGAGTGCAGCGTCAGTGCCCATTCGACAAGCCTGCCTCAGAGACCTGGTGGGGTGAGCGGTTGCTAGTCGAAGGGGTAGGGTGTTTCATGTAAATCGTGGGGTAGTAGTGGGTAAATGGGGGTACATATGGATGTTCAGATGGGGGTGGGTGGATTTAATTCGGAAGGAATGGGTGGGGTGAAAATTCGAGGGTGAGGGTGGGGTGGGGTGATCACAACTCTGCGATGGCAGGTGACGGGGAAGCGAAGCAGAGGAAGCTGAGGAGCGAGGAGAAGCGAAATGGACGGGAAGGAGAGGAGGAACGAGAGGAGGAGAAGGGAGAAAGATGGTGGCGAGGAAGATAGAAGAGGACAGGGGAGAGCAGGGTAGAGGGGAAGCGTGGAGGGCAGAGAGCTGGGAGGGGTGATAGCAAGAAAGTAATATGGATTGTATGACAGAAAGGAAAAAGAGAAGAGAAGAGTAAGAGAAGAATTGGGATACATTTATAAAATAGTGTGGGTCAGGAAGATAACGATGAGCCAAGGAGGGGTAAAGACAGTTACCATGTAAGTGAGGAAACGAAATCTGCCTGGGTTTTCAAAATGGACGAAACTGCATCAAGAGAAGAGTATTGAAGATAAGCTGGAAAGATATTGGAGAAATGAGGGAAAATTCTTATTTCACCTCAACCAGCATCGAATGTGATCCTCATTATGTGATTTTTGGCGCAGGAGCCCGGCGAACTTTGTAGGGTCCTCTGTTTTCAAGGGCGCATCGATCGAGGCATTCTGCATGCTGGTTTTCTAGGGGATCGGGGATGTGCCGAGGGTCACGAATGTTTCGGCGGGTTGGGGCGATGAAGCTTGCTCTCTGCCTCCTTGTCTTGGCAGGAGCCGTCAAGGCAGACGAGCGAACTCAGAGGTACACAGATAACGAGTCTGTAACGCTGTGGGCGAACAAGATCGGGCCGTATGAGAACCCTCAGGAGACTTACTCCTACTACACGCTGCCATTCTGCCGGCTCAACGCGGACAAGTGGCAGTCCAAGTGGGCAGGGCTGGGGGAGGCGCTGGAGGGGAACTCTCTAGTGAAGAGCGACTACGGCATATCATTCAAGCACGATGTCGAGAAGGCCCTCAACTGCGCAGTGAAGCTGGACAAGCGGTCCCTGGACATGTTCCAGTACGCAGTGTCGAACCATTACTGGTTCAACTTGGTCCTTGACGAGCTGCCGATGTGGGCGATGGTGGGGGAGGTGAGAGAGAGCAAGCTCGGGAATCACTCGGGCGACGACGAGAAATACATCTTCACGCACAAGCACTTCAGCATCGCGTACAACGGAGATAGAATCATCGAAGTGAATCTCACCAACGACAACCCAGCTCTGCTGAAGCTGAACCAGCAGCTGGAGTGGACGTACTCTGTGAAGTGGCACCCAACAAGCAAGAAGTTCTCGCAGAGGTTCAACAGGTACCTGGACCAAGACTTCTTCGAGCATCAGATCCACTGGTTCTCCATCTTCAACTCCTTCATGATGGTCATCTTCCTCGTGGGACTGGTGGGGCTGATCCTGATGAGGACGCTCAAGAGCGACTTCCACAAGTACTCCAAGCACCTGGACGAGGAGGAATCGTTAGGGGAGGGACAGGAGGACACAGGATGGAAGCAGGTGCAGGGAGACGTGTTCCGCTTTCCTCCCTACTATCCTCTCTTCTGCGGTCTCATTGGCACAGGAATCCAGCTGATCCTCATGGTCTACTGCACGACCATCCTGTCCATCATTGGCACGCTCTACATCGGGAGAGGAGCCGTCTCCTCCACCGCCGTCGTTGTGTACGCCCTCTCCTCCTTCGCGGCCGGGTACGTCAGCGGGCAGTTCTACGTGCAGAGCAAGGGGAACTCGTGGATCAAGACGATGATGTTCACAGCCTGCGGCTACAGCGGCTTCTGCGTCCTCGTGACCATGTCACTCAACCTCGTCGCCGTCTCCTACAGCTCCCTGGCCGCCATCCCCTTCGGCACCATGGTGATCCTCCTCCTGATCTGGCTGTTCGTCTCCTTCCCCCTCGTTCTCTTTGGGACGATCGTGGGGAGAAACCTCGCCAGGCCTTACCAGCCGCCCTCACGGATCGCGCTGATCCCCCGGCAGATCCCAGACAAGCGCTGGTACCTGAACTTCTCCATCCTCATCCCCCTGGGTGGCCTCCTTCCCTTCGGCAGCATCTTCATCGAGATGTACTTCATCTTCACCTCCTTCTGGAACTACAAGTTCTACTACGTCTACGGCTTCATCCTGCTCGTTTTCTCCATCATGCTCATCGTTACCTCCTGCGTCAGCATCGTCATCACTTACTTCCTCCTGAACGCGGAAGACTACAGGTGGCCGTGGACTGTCTTCTGGTCCTCGGCATCGATTTCTGGATATGTTTTCCTCTACGCCATCTACTTCTTCATGGCGAAGACGAAGATGTGAGGGAGAGGGAAGAATAGGAGGGGGGGGAAGCAGGGAGAGAGGGAAGAGTAACGGTAGAGTGCTCTGGTTCACTGAAGCGATGCAGGTACGGTTTGTTTCAAACTTGCTTCTACTTCGGACAAACTCTCATGATGTGTGTGGTGAGAGCTCTGTGAGGGTCAGGGACGATGCGCTGACCGACACTCAGGGTCTGGGGATCATCTGCGGGGCCATCGGCTACCTTGGAGCCAGAGTGTTCGTGTGGAGAATCTTCCGCAGTGTCAAGAGCGACTGAGCACGCCAACGAAACTTTAGGAGCTCGGGGCTCTTAATCAGAAGGGGAGGAGGAGGAGGAGGAGGAGAGGAATCAGTTCTGCGCTACTATGGGAGAGCCTTGGTAGGAAGGACGTTGAAAAGTCGACGAGGTCGGCTGCGTTGTCACCTCTGGGTCTCCCTGGCCGCTCCATGTGCTGCTCAAGAAGCTCGGGGCCGGGCCGAGCCAGTGATCACTGGGAAGCTCCGTGAGGTCAACGGAGTCCTTGGAAACGAGTTGAGCGTCGGAGGGGTCGAGGACCTGAGGAGCGTGAGGAGGGAGGGAGCTTGTGAGTACATTGTCACCGGGTAACCAATGGTGATGGAGGCGATCTCGAGTGGCTCGTTGCCGGGGGGGGTGGAGATGCTGAACTCGAGCCTCCTGCCTTCCATCGCGCGCTTGAAGGTCTCGGCGGGGATCTTGATGGAGTCGACGTAGAAGGAGTGCGGAGAGTACTGGGCGAGCGTCAGGGGGGATGTAGAAGGGGAAGGGCGGGGGGTGAGAGATTGGAAGCAGGAGAAAAGCCGATTGGGAGGGGGGATGGAGACGGGCGAGCACCTGGGTGTAGTCCTTAAGGAACAAGTTCCCGAGAGCTTCGCCCTCGTAGCCCGCGTGCACCTGCAGGTAGTTGAAGCCGTGCGGCCACTTCCTGTGCTGCTCCACCAGCTCCGGGTAGAGGCGGCGGATCACGTTCTCCTGCTGCGACGTGGCCGTTGCCGAGCACACGCTCAACCCCCCGCATCCCGTGCGCACCGGGCGGATGCAGCTGTCGAGGTTCCCAGCCACGTTGCCGGGGAGGCTCACAGGAGGGTTGCAGACGGGGATGTCGCCGTCTAGCGACGCCTGGCTGCCGGGGGGACAGCACAGGCCATGCAACCCGTCGACGTTGGTGCAGGAGGAGACGCAGGCATCAGCAGAGGTGAAGGTGGTCCCGTGAGTACCCGGCGTGAGGGCCGAGCCGAAGTTGCCGCTGCTGCACGTGTAGGTCTTCGGGGTGCACCTGCATTTGGCGTCGCTGGCGACGATGGAGGGGTCGGAGGTGTAGCCCCTGCCGTTGTTGGTGATGGTGACCCTTGAGATCGAGCCTAACGAAGTGATCTCCGCGATGTCCGCAGTGAACCCTGAGCCCGAGCCCCCCGACACTGACAGCTTCATGGACTTGGAGCAGTTCTCGAGCTGCGGGAGAGTGAGAAGCCAGCAGGGGAGAGTCAAGAGAGTCACCTTGCCAGTCCCCCAGACAACGTTGGTGATCACGTCAGCCTGTGAGCTTGGGCAGCACTCGGTTCCGTCCAGCTCCCTCCACACCGTCACCACTCCGAGATTGTCCAGCGTGTCCTAGACGATCAGATCAGACGAGCAAGAAGGTGGGAGATCCTCTCTACCTTGTCCACTCTCAGCTTCGGCATCCCTTCCAAGTTGCCGCCGCATGCGTTTCCTCCATCCAGTCTGCAGTTGTTGAGGCCCGAGTATCTTGTGTGCAGTCCCCACTTAGCCGTTACAGTCATCGTGACCTCACCAGCCGGCACGGGGAAACCTGAAGTCAAAGAGCTTCAGCCAACCAGCTCATCAGAGTCTACTGACTCACCGTCCTCGGAGAACAAGTAGACCTTGGGCCTCTCGAGGAACCTCTTGAAGTTTGGACCCTGAAACCTGTCGCTCAGTCTCCCTCCCAGTCATCCGCTCGGGGTCACCGAAGACAAGGTGCGATGGAAGCAGGACATGAGAGGGTACGCAAACGAGATCGGGCTGATCCGAACTGCGCGATTCCCCGTAAAATTGAGCCTCAGGACGATTCCAACCTTGCAAGAGGGTCAGGACAAGCAATAGCCCAAGGCCGGTGGCCGGCTCACCTGGTCCCCTACCACTAGAGGCTCCAGCATGTCCCGTGGGACGGTGATGGTGTCCGTGATGTTAGCGTACTGCTCCTTGAGGAGGTTCGGGAGCATCGGGTTGGCTGCCCAGGACGACTGCAGGCCATCCACTGGAGATCGATCGAACATTCTTCCGACATATGTACACCCGCCGACTCCCTGCTCCTCCATGATTGCACGAACAGATGCAAGGATGAATTACCTGAGCTGGCGCTGCCCCCGCGCAGACGAACGCTTCCTGCACAAGACTGTCACCCCCCGACTGAGTCAACGTGAGTTGCTCTTACGATGGAGTTATCACGATCGATGGTCATGAGGGCGCCTGCGACGACAGAGATCACACCGTCTCCTGATGGCAAGCTCCCCTTGCCCTTGGGGATGGAAAACGACAGGGGAATAGTCAGGGGGAGGGGATCCTGTTGGTTTGTGTCTACGGCGATCGGATCCTCGGGGAAGATCCTCTTAGAGAAACAGAGCCCAGGAGAGAAGGTGAGCTTGAGGGAGCGGAAGATAACTCTTCCATCCAGACTGCACCCGCCCGACGAAGGTGATTTGTGGCAGTAGGTGGTGGACGCGGTGTCGGCCGTTCCGGTGTACAGCCCCTCGTTCCTGATGGACTTGAAAGCAAACATAATCTGCTCGTCCGAAGAGTACCGGAGCATGGCTGACTGCGATATCACGATGCTGTCCTTGTAGGGAACAGCAACAGATCCTTGTGAGCTCGACTGTGCAGCCCCTCCGCCCACCCAGTTCTTGCAGTTTGTGTTCCCAGCTGCATCCGGACTGGACCCGCCTCGGACAGACGGCGAGTCACAGACAGTCTGCGGCCCTGACGGATCGTACGGTCGCTGTCCTTCCTCCATGTACGTCAGGTTGCCGTTGAACAAGGAGCCCAGGAATGCCCCGTCCTCGCCATAGACGAGAATGCTGTCTCCAGCGTACTGCAGATCTCCGTGCACTTCCACAGTGAGAGTGGCTGACGAGCAGATCTGCGGGACAGAGTTGAAGTAGAACGAGTGCATGAAAGGCTTTGTGAGAGGGATCGCAGACCAGCCCATGTTCTGATTGTGGGTTCCAACCTCCCATACTCCATCATTGCAGAGTGACGAATGCGAGTCGATGAGTCGGCTGCAAGAGATGGGACGTGGAGGAAGTTCGAATATCCTCCCTTCGTTCAGACTCGTGCCTTCCACTATTTCTGCTGCCTTGGACTGCGCATATTGACTGGAGCAGAAGGGATCTGAAGACATCATGCATCCGGGGCGATCAAAATAGAGCATCAAACGATCAGACGTTGTACAAGTCTTGCTGGCACAGCAGGTAGCGCTAGCAGCCGGTGCGGACTTGCGAGCTCGGTAGACCTTCACTCCGTTGATCAAGTCGTACTCTGCTCCCTGATTGATTCCTCCAGATTGAGCCCAGCCTTCATACCTTCCAGATTTGTCAACACGCCCTTCGACGATCGAGACACCTTGCAAGAAAGAGACTTCGAAGCCCTTGAAGTATGAACCACGAATCCTGATTTCTGCCAAGTTTGAAAGGCATTGAACGAAGTCAAATTTCGTTGGCTTTCCCTTCTTGCCATTGATGAGCTCCCATGAAGCAGTGGATGCATTGGGCTGAAAAGTCTCTTCGAGTCTGACTTGATACTCGTGCATGAGAGTGGAGTCTGAGAGTTGGAAGACTCCCTTGAGCCCAACGGAAAATCGCTTTCGTTTGCTCACTAGTATTACATCATAGTCTGACACAACATTTGATCCCTGATCTTCATACTCAAAGTGGCCAAGAGTATACTTGAGCCAGCCGTTGTATGCATCGGCTGCGTTGCTTTTGTAGAACGTGGGCGGCGAAGCGTACCACCACGACTTGTCAAACTTTTCCCTGTCTTCGGATGCAAGGATACGATTAGCTTCATGCATCAACCCTTCGTTGCTCCAGCCGGAACCGACGAGCTTCCATCCGTCATTCCCTGAAAGAAAGTCCTCCTTCGCAAGAACATCCCCCTCCTCCCCGCGAGATAACGACGCCAGCGAGAGAGACACCAAGGTCACTATGAAACTCTTTGGCGACATGTGCAAAGTCAATGTGTTGTAAGGTATGACTGCAATCTGAGTTTTCTAAGCGCAAGGCATCACGTTAATATCCAATAATCTGCAAATAGAAGCAAATCAGTTTCTAACAACTCAGAGAACAGCATACAAGATCATCCTACACGTACTGTGCTATCCACTTGCTAAGATCTACCGTTTCCGGGCCTCCCTCCTTCACTCATTGAAAACCCTTCTCTGCCTCTGCTCCTTCATATCTGGTCCCCACTGTCTGGGCTGCACTGGCCGAGGCTACCTATCACTTCCCAAGGCATCCCATGGTCTTTCCCATCCCAAGGTGCTATCTCTGCTTGTGCTCCTCAAGGTTGCAGTACATCAGATCCCCGGAGACAAGCAAACCAAACTCTCTGCTCAACCTCTTGGATCGCTCCTTGAAGACCATCCGAGTCCTTCCCCACTTCCCTACCCCCCCCCCTTCTTCCGCGTCCCCCCGCCCTGCCTCCTCCATCCTGTTCGTTTTATCCAACGAACGCCAACCGTTACAACTTTGACTCAACCGTTTAATTTTCCACCCGGCGTCACTGCTGCAGTGCACCGGGCGGCCGCCGGCGAACTTCGGAAGTGCGGCCCGGCCCGGCGCGAGTCGGCCCGGCCGCCCGGGCAGTCGCCGCAGCCTGGAGCCAGTGGCGGCCCTCCCGGCCGACTCCCGGAGTGCCGCGGACTCGGAGGCGGCCAGGAAGTTCTGCACTCCGTGGCAGTCCCCAGTGACCGTGGCTGCCGTCGATTAAGCTTAAGTTAAGCCCAAGTTTGCCGAGGCAGAGTCTTACTGGAGTCTGATACCGTAGTACCGTTTGAACCAATGATTGAATTCGTGGCAGATTCTGCTCCCCGTAGCCTGAAGTGCCGAGTCACGTTCTGCCGCGCTGAGAGTGCGTCGGTCACCCGGGTTTCAGTCACCCGTAAGATTGCAGTACGGTGCCAACTGAGGGCCGACTCAGTTGGCAGTGCCCGGCAGGCGACTCGCGACTTTTCAACCACCGTACTAGCACCGTAACTAGCTGAGAGTCGTGACTATATGACTGTGTGACATTATCAAAGTTTATCGTTATAAAGAGACAGAGCTGTCAAAGAATGTCTCACATGAAAGACCTACAATCATACTATACTCTCTACCAGCTGCCGGAATTCACTTTCAGGACTAAGGAGTTCTACCAACTTGCTGAAAAATTTCAACAGAAATCAAAACGATGCCCGGTCGGAGGACAACTCCAAAAAGACTCAATCAGAGCATGGGATGGCATCAGCTCAATAGGACATGAAGTCTCGGCATCATCCCCTGCTGGGGGGGCTCGAGGAGGATGCTGAACCCTTGAGGAGGTCCTGCTTGATGTTCTCCAGTACCTCGCTGCGATTGCGCACCTTCAAACCCTCCGCTGTCATCATGAGCTCAAAAGCATACTCTGGCCTCAGAAGCTTGCTGATTGCTGCACGGCTCTTCCCGTACATCCTTGAGATGTCCCGCTGGCGCATCGGCCTCCTGTATCTCGACGACGCTGCAGAGGAATAATAGAGGCAGACAATCTCCACCTTGTTCTCTACGTTGAGCCGGCTCTTGCCCATGCACGCCTTGCTGTGCTTCTTACGGGCAGCCACGTCCCATCGTCCCACCTCGACCTCCTGTTGTGCAGCTACTGTGCTCGTGCTCGCAGTTACGTGGGGACTGTCGATCCGAGGTAGGTCAACGGCTTGGTCCTGCCGAGGATATGTCCTACACACCGTGCAGCCATCGAGCTCGAGGCTCGAGCACAGGCAGGTGCTAAACGAGGACGATGTTGCTAGGTCACCATGACTGACTTCTGCATCAATAGGTAGATGGAAGAACGGATCAGAAGCCATCGGGTCGTCAAGAGCATAGCGAGATGGTAGTGGGAGAGTCATCGGTATCCTTACAACTGTGTTAGAGCTTCAGTGACTTCAGGTGATGGAGGATAGAGGCTCAAGGGTGGAAGGTGGAGGGTGGAGGGTGGAGAACAGATGGCGGGGAGGACGGAATATCTCTTTACTCAAAAATAAATGTTTCATTCCCCTTGTCATCGCTACATTCCTCCAGCCCGCCTACGGTAGTACCTATTCTCACCGGTGGTCATGAGCAACAATTTAGGGGTGGTGAGGGGGCACTATGATTTCTAGTATTAGTCGTAGGCGTTCACCCATGTAAGAAGTCACCACCTCCTCACGGGTTGGTTGAGAGACCCCCAGTCTTCCGGTCTACGGACCGGGTCCTCCTAGAGGTGGGGGAGTCGAAAGTTGAAAGAACCCGTTCGGTTGGCAACATTTTTTTTTCTGTCTCGGTACCAAAGTAAAGAAAATTAGTACCAGTCGGAATAATAAGTAATATGATGCTAAAACAGGTACTGAGCCCGCGCAGCCGCCTGCCCGGGCCTGCCCAGTGCCGAGTACAGTCACCAGGCTGAGAGTGGGTCAAGCCTCGGAGGCTCCTGCAGGATGCTGTACGGTCCCCCAAACTTAACTCATCGGATACCTTCACTTAACTGCGCGCAGGACCTTTCATACCGTCCAGGAGCTGCTGTCCGACTAGTTCCGGGCCAACAAGAACTTCGGAAGGAGCGCACAGGCTGGGCGATGGACGAATGATTGAGAGATGAAAGATCCTGGACCGCCGGACTCGGGATGCGTTTCGAGCCGGGCCGAGAGACGTGCCGCTGAGCATATGCCATTACAATGCCCTCAGAGTCGGGTCAGGCTCTGCTGCTGCTGCGGCCAGTGCTGCTCAGCGCTGCTGCTGCTGCTGAGGCTGCTGCTGCTGCTGCTGCTGCTACTTAGTTAGTACTCCTCGGAGCCACTGTCCGGGCCCGGACTCCGGCGGCGGGATCCCACCGTGGCACCGCGGGGCCGTCCGAAGCAGTAGAACTTGCCTTAAGAGAAAACTGAGCCTATGACGGCCCGTGACTGAGCGAGCCTGAGTAAAGATCACCCGGCCCGCCGGATCCGAGCTGTCAGGACGGTCTTTTCTCAGGCTTCAAGCCTCCTCGACTCTCCTGATTGTCCTCGTACTGATTTTTAATTTACGAGTGACTTTGAGTAATCCTTGGATGATGCGACGGTTTCGGACGCGGCAGCCCGGCCCGGCCGGGCCGGCCGGGGCTAGTCACTGAGTCATGCCGTACCTGAAATGTCCGATGCTGCACGGTGCAGTGTAACCATATGTAACGGTCCATACCAACGGCCCTGGGCCCAGCAAATCATGTACTTGAAGCAACGGGATGAAGAAGAGGCGGAGAGTCGGGAAGGGTGGAGGAGACTGACCGATCGACATGCAGACTCGTTGATAAGATAGATGAGAAGAAGCTGATCTAGGCGGAAATCCTGTACTTCAGCAATGGATCAAAAAGAAGGAGCAAAACATCCTACTCCGGTTGACACCTTGCCGATACTGGATCAACCTGCAGAGTCGCTGGAAATGCGGACGAAGCAAGATGAACGTCTACAAGACACCAATGTAGCCAACAAGGAGGATCAGAACACTGAGAAGAAGGGAGCGGTCGCAGTGACGGGAGCAGCGATAGAGACAGGAAGAGCGTCAGAGACAGGAGAAGAGACAGGAACGGGAGGAGCGGAGGAGACGGGAGGGGCGGCGGAGATGGGACCAGAGGCGGAGACGGGAGCAGGGGCGGAGACGGGGGGCGCTGCTGCAGAGATGGCAGCAGCGGCACATAAGATAGAGGCGGAGGAGATTGGAGGTGCGGAGGAGACGAGAGGGGAGGGAGAAACGGGAGGGGCGGCAGAAATGGGAGGGGCGGAGGCGACGGGAGGAGAGGGAGAAACGGGAGGGGCGGCAGAGACGGGAAGGGCGGCAGAGATAGTAGCAGCGGTACACAATGGAGGGGCGACGGGGACGGGAGCAGGGGCGGAGACGGAGACGGGAGGGGCAGAGGAGATTGGAGTGGCGGCGGAGACGGAAGGGGCGGCGGAGATGGGACCAGCGGCACACGAGAGAGGGGGGGCGGCAGAGACGGGAGGAGCTGCGGAGACGGGAGGGGCGGCAGAGACGGGAGCAGGGGAGGAGACGGGAGGGTCGGCAGAGATGGCAGCAGCGGCACATAAGAGAGAGGCGGAGGAGATTGGACGGGCGGCAGAGACGGGAGGGGAGGGAGAAACGGGAGGGGCGGCGGAGACGGGAGCAGGGGCGAAGACGGAGACGGGAGGGGTAGAGGAGATTGGAGGGGCGGCGGCGGAGACGGGAGGAGCGGCGGAGACGGGAGGAGCTGCAGAGATGGCAGCAGCGGCACAGAAGAGAGGGGCGGCGGAGACGGGAGGAGCTGCGGATACGGGAGGAGAGGCACACGAGGGAGGGGCAGAGGAGATTGGAGGGGCGGCGGAGACGGGAGCTGCAGATGTTGGTGAGGATCAGTTCGCAAAGGGGGCTGAAATGTTGGTTCCAACGATGCAAGCACGTGTTGAATCAGAAGGCAGTCAAGGGACCAACGGCAATGAGGAAGAGCAACAGGTGACTGATGATGTTGCAGCTCAATGCTTTCCTATGTCGAGCCATCAGCCCTCGAGTGAAGTTGCGGGAGTCTCAGAGCAGAACTTTTCAGCGGAAACAGACCATATCGACGTTCAGCCGCCCCAGCACTCTCGAGAGTCAGCTCAAGGGGAGAGGACCAGCGGTGAGAATGATGCGGCCCGGCAAGGAGCTGAAGACGAGGATGGGCTGGACATCTTGGGTGCTCGCTCGGTATCTAAGAAGCTGAGCAGCTCCCGGGCAGAGAAGAGCAGCGGCGGTCAAGGCGCAACAGCAAGCGTTGAGGATGAGTTGCTCTCGAGCAAGAGGCGAGCGATCTCAGAGGCCAAGGAGCTTCTTGCCTACGGGGTAGGCGCCGGCCATGCAGTGCCTGAGGACTCACTGATCCTTGTACCAGGCGCGCGTCATGGAGAAGGTTTCTGTGCTGGGCTCTGGCCATCCTCAGAGCAGCGTCCTAGTCCTCTCCTTCGCAAGGGCTTGCAATGTTGCCGCCAGGAGCTGCATGAAGGAAGGAGCTTTGAGGATCGCGGACCAACTGCTGTAAGTTCTGACGTCTTGCGATGCTCGTTCTCCGGTTGAACTCATGGAGCTGCCTCGTATCAGGAAGGAGGCTCTTCACTTCGTTCGACAGAGTCACAGCATGTCCATTTTCCAAGAGAGCCAACAAACTCTGGCTGAGACGTACAACAACATCGGATGTCTTCTGAACAGCAAAGGAGACATGCAAGGAAGCCTCAAGTACTTGCGGCAGGCGGCAGGCATTGAGATCAACATGGACTACGAGGTGTTCATCACATCGAAGTTGTTGGCTCCTCCCGGTTCTCACATCCTTGCAGCCGAGCCATGCAGCAACAGTCATCAACATCTGCACCACCCTGTCGAGCCTGCAGCAGCATGAGGAGGTACCTCAGCTTCGGCTGCGGGGCGATGGGCAGACTGATCGATGGCAGGCGCTGGCGTTTGCCAAGGAGGCCGTAGACATGCTCTGTCACGACGAGGATTGGGAGAACGAGGCGGGTGCCACTGCAGCCGGTCTGCTGGCTGTGACGTTCATGGCAGGTCTCCGCCCCTGACTCCTTGGCGGGAGATCTTATCCCCGTCGCCTTCAACAACCTCGGCCTCGAGTTTGAGTACGCAGGAGAGCAGGAAGCAGCCATGCAGGCCTACGACCATGCTGTCCTCCTCGCCGTCAGGAGATGGGGGCCTGAAGACCCGCGGACCTCGCAGATTCAACAGTCTGCGTGGGACGCGAAGCACGGAGTGAAGTTGGGACGAAGTTTAGTGATGCAGAAACCGCCGAAACCGCCCAAGACAGTGAGCGAGCTGAGAAAGATCATACCCAAGAAGCGACTCCCTCTTCTGCGTGAGAGCACTCGACTGGCCCCGGGCATCTCCCGCTACCTCGAGACTACTTCTCCGGTGTACCGGCCGGTCGAGTTTGCCCCCGGTCTTCCTCCTTAACCCCTCCCCGCATGGCGTCGGCTGAAGCTTGTGCAGGCTTCCATTCTCCCAGGTTCTGGGCGATGAAAGACGGGATGGTTCCCCGAAGGCAGAGCCCCTTCTCCAAGGACGCGCGGCAGATCTTCTTAGAGATGTCAAGGTGCAGCATCAGCCATGGAGAGGTCGCTCCTCACCCTCGTGACGGCAGGAAATCAGGAGCCAATCAGTTCCCTTCCTTCGTGCAGAAGACCAGCTGGGGAGAACATCGGGTGATCGACTGTCGTCGGGGACTGGCCGCTGACTTGCTCATCAGTTGAATTGGGAGGACATACCAGTTGCGGACCTCTCCAGGCTCGACGGGTCTGTCATGAGCCGCTCGCGTCTCTTCTCGAACACGCTGTCCAATGACAGCCTTGCGGCGTACTCGAGACTGCAGGAAAGTCGTCGGTAACTTGTCGTGACCCCACGTCTCCGTTTATTAACGTGCTTGTCTGAATGTTCTTCGATGGTGTTGGTCTTCTTGGACTCAAGGGCGAGAGACTCTAAGTGAGCTCCTTTCCCTCCCCCGTTATCTCTCTGACGCGTGCGGGCAGATTCCGCGCCACCTCCACTACTTTCCAGAGAGGGCAGCTGCTGCGTACACAGTTGATGGAGAGAACAGCGATGAGGTCATCGTCATCAAGCATCTTGCCGTCTCTCCGTTCCCCGTGATGCACCCTAGATCGTTGAGAGCCTTTTGTGCGGCAAGTCTTACCTGTTGTATATCAATTGACCAAGCGAACCAGCACTCTGTAAATACAAACTACCTGGTAATTGTCACCCGAGAGCTGCCTCCTCAGTCCCATCTCGACATACTTCACACCAAAGTACCTCGACGATCCCTGCGATCAGCCGTCAGTGAAGCAAACGGCAGCCTTGAATCGCTACCAACGCAGCAATAGACGCCAGCTTGCTCTCTGCAAAGGAAATTCTGGCAGAATGGTAAGGGTCATTACTCTTTGGACAGGAAACAAGACTACACGAAGACTTCCCACCTCGTGAGCAGCTGGTCGACCTCCAGCTTCGATCGATATTCGAAGTCGTCCAGAATGAGCTTGACGATCTCTTCGTTCCCGATCATGTTCAAGAAACCCGCGTTCCTGGTGCACTCTGACTGGTCGCTCAGACAAGCTTCCCCACTCACCTCGTCATCCTCTCAAAGAGCAAGTGGCAGATCACGAGGCCTCGTGCCCCGCTGTAGGGATGGCTCAGCATCAAGACCCTGACCTGAACCGTGAGTGAGCAGAGCTACCTGTCAAAGAGCGCTGGTCAAAGAGAGCGCTCACCTTGGATGATTCAGCGGGTTCCAGGTGAGTGATATCCAGTCGAAGGATGTTGTGCAACTCCTCAGCGTCCCCGCACTTGAAGAGCTCGTTGGATAATCTCTCGATGCAAAGCTTCTGCATCGACTTGCCCAGACATCATTCACCGACGAGCATCGCATCATGACTCACCGGAATGTCCAAGAAGAGAGAGAGGGCAAGGAGGTTTGCTAGCTCTTGAATCGACATGTCCCCGAAGAACTCATTCTGAAACGTGTTGATACGATTCACCAGGTTCTGAGGGGATTCAATGAGACCTTCTCGCATCCAGTCACATCAGACCTGCAGGTTTGTGAGGGTGTTGGCGTGAGCTTCCCGTTGCTCCGCAGGAAGCGCAGCAGAAGGCATGGCCTGACGGCAAAGGAAAGGAATCATCCCCAGCACATCCAAGGATCGCCATCTCACGTAGTTCTTGAACCGCGATAATTCGCTCTCATGTTCTCGAAACGTCTCCAGGAAGAGAACGGCCTGGTCGACACGTCAGCTCGAAAGCTTTCCCTTCTTTGCCTTCCCGACCGCACCCACATGGACTTACCCGCTTCACAGCCGAGTAGTTACAAGAGGTATGGTTGAGGACGATGCTTTCTTCGGCAAGGTCCATTTCCCTCCCTTCCATGATTCCAGAAAGAAACCCTGCAAGACCGCATTGGGGAGTGCAAGGCAGGAGGAGCTTTCTACCTGACAGGCAGGCAATGCGCCTGTCCGCTAAGACAATGCTTTGTGTCGAAGAGTAGTCGAAAGGAACCAGCGTGATCTACAACGGATTCACTGAGAAGGAGTTCTCGAACAAAAAGCCCACCTTTTCTGTGTTCCGCGCATCCATGGCTTCAAACCAAGTTTGTTGCATTCGTGACTGTTCTTGACTTCTTGTCCGAATGACTTTTCTAACGCTGTTGGGGTTCTTTTCCCTTTACGTCTCTCCTCCTTTTCTATTGTGACTTCTCTCCTCTATTTCCACCTTCGGGTTCCTTCACCTCTATTATTCTCCTTCTCCGCTTCCCCCTCCCCTTCTCTGGTCTCTCTACCCTTTCCTCTCTCCTCTCTCCCTCTCTCCCTCTCTCCCTCTCTCCCTCTCTCCCTCTCTCCCTCTCTCCCTCTCTCCCTCTCTCCCTCTCTCCCTCTCTCCCTCTCTCCCTCTCCCCTCTCCCTTCCTCTCTCCTGTACTATGCTGTCCTCTCCTGTACTATGCTGTCACCTGCCTTCTCCTACCCTGCTCGTCTACAAAAGCCTTGCCCACTTCCCACCACCCACAAACTTTAAAACGTGGTAAACACCTTCAACATTTATCATGAAGTTTGAAATTTGACATATAAATTTCAAACTTTCGACTGGACCAAGCTAGGAAATGGAAGGCGGCTGACAGCGGGAAATGGGAATCAGGGTGGGTATGGCAGAGGAGGAGGACGGCAGAGATGGACAGGAGAAGGGGGAGAGAAAGGACGCATACAAATTATGGAAGTAGGGGCTCATCTAGAAACTGAACAAATGTACCGTTATGTTTATATTGCTTTCAAAGATTGTAGAGATATAAATTTACACCCTCGCTTGTTCCTGGAATTGTCAGCAGACTGCGGATTTTAGAGCGCCTTCAAATTCCTTCCTCAAAGCCAAATAATCTTCAAAGAACTAGGAGCATTGTCCTGCACAGAGTAAAAGGCTTTTCTAAGATTTCTTGCTTTTCTTCGCGGACTTGACAGATTGGTCCTTTCCCTTCTTGTCCTTTTGATCCTTAGCTTCTTTGTCCTCGTCGTTTTCTCTCTTTCGCTTTTCTCCCGCTTCGTCATTTCCAGACTTCCAATGCTTTAGAATGGCGCGCATCAACATGAGGCAATCATACCAGCCCTGCCTTGATGAACCTCGCTGCAGCATCTTTGTTGAGCTTCAGCTTCGACTTTTCGTTTTCTTGAGCAGCTGCATACACAACACCTCAACAAAAGAAACAATCTGCTGCGGAGAGAACTACCTGTAGCATCTTTCAACTTTGACATGTAAGACTTCACTCGAGCCAACTCCTCGTTCACTTGGTGCTCCTCCGTTGCTATACCCTGCTCAACAATCACATCTCAACATCGCTGTTGCGAAACTCACCTGTGTCTTCAAGTACAAGAAAAACAGAGAATCGATCGTGTATGCTATCATCAGATTCAACTTTGCTCTTTGAACGGGTTCCAGGCATGCATTTAGCGTATCCCAGGGCGTCGCGAGGATGGGTTCTAGCGCAGTCTCCAAATTATCAAGAGCGGAGTCTATCTTGTCCAAATTTTCTTCCATGGCCTCCGGCAGCTTGGATGCACTCATGTTCTGAAAGAGCTTGAAACAAAAACAGTCATGCACTTGAAAGCAATGGAGGGAGGGGAGGTGGGTGTGGTGTGGTGGGGTTTGTGAGGGACAAAGGGAAGAGGTAGGGAGGAAGGGAGGGCAGGGAGGGCCCAGGAAGGGAGGGCAGGGAGGGAGGAAGGGAGGTCAGGGAGGGCAGGGAGAGAATATGCTCTTATCATTAAGAAGATCAAACATCTGTTCAGATGTGGGTAAATCAACATTCCCGATCATTCTCATGGGAAACAGCTCAGAAACAGCTCGTCGTCCCCTTCGAAGATAGTCTAGAATCATCTTAATCATCTTCCTACCTGATTTTCTCCAAACTATTTTTGCATCACTATCAATCCCTTCGGAATCAAAAGCGCTATGCCGCCTCTCCTCCTCTCCTGTACACTGTCCCTTCGCCTCCTATCGCACGTGCATTTTTCGCATCCAGCCTTTGACCCTCATACCGACGAAAAATGCTTCGACGGTTTCAACCGTTATGGCCCGCCCTCTACTGAGTGCCACTTCAAGTCAAGTTGAGTGCCCCGGTGACGGTCACTGGAGCCGCGGTGCTTGCCGGGGCCGCACCGGGCGCTACCGGGCATGCCATGGAGAGCCGTTGCTGATCACTCAGGTCAGTGAGCTTGAAGAAATTCTGCCAAGTTGAACTGATGCAATTGAAGGACAACGAGGTCCGAAGTTGAAGTAAATGTAAAAATCTATTGTTAAATTATCCCGTACACTACAGCTCAATGATGTAACTTCTCCAACTCAAGCAGCTGCTTCTTCAGGGTGCTCTCCGACCTCATGATGCCGTCAACAGGCACAGCAGCTGTACTTCCCTGCTCTACAACAGTCTTTTTTGCAAGAATTGTCGGCCTAGAATGCTGTTGAAGTTCAACCCGCTTCGCGGCTGCTTCTTGTACACGATTCTCCTGTACCAAATGAGCATTCTGCGCTTCTAATTGTGAATGAAGCTTCTCAAGATTCTTGAGCTTCTCATCGACAGAAGGACTTGCTGCTTTCATGATAGCGTGAGTCTTCTGTACTGAGCTCTTTCCCGCCTGATCGTTTCCGAAAACATTGTCATAATAACCAACAAATCCTTTCGCCTTCTTGGCTTCATCGTAAGCCTTGCTGTGCCGACCTCGCACATGTTTCGATGAAGACCGAGCGTGCGATGAAGACTCAAGTTGGTGGAAGCCGTTGACAGATGCCTGAACTAATTTGTCACTTTCCTCACCTATCTGGGCAAGTTCCTGATTCTCCAGCTTCTCCTCGTGTTCTCGACGGTAACCGAGCACTTCCCTCTCATATTTCCTGATGTCCTTGGTGGAAAACTTTTCTGGCTTGTGTACAAGCACCTTCTTCTTTTCGACGACAACGTTCTTGTAGTTGCAGTCGGGCTTCGAGCAATCCTTTGTGGGCAGAGAATCAAAATAGCTGTTCAAGTCCTCCAAAGCATGGTGTGAGCCATATGTGACTGAGTCAAGTCCATGCCCAGTTGTTTGAAGCAGCATTGATGTTTTTGCCCTCTTCGTGTTGGAAGACAACGCAAGTGGTACCCCAACGGAACCTGATTCACTGCTGTCTGCCTTCTTAGAAGATATTATCTTGGATATGTCCTTACCCCACGGATCTGGGATGTGAAGACCGTTCTCCTTTCCTCCGCCTTCGGTGTTAGCTTCATTGCGCACAAATCTCCCACTTGGCAGCTTTTTCATCCACCAACCATGTGAAGCTGGTTGTGGAGCAACTTCCACCGGGGAGTTGTAATCGTACAGTCTTGCACAAAAGCGTTCACACCTTGACACGAAATCCCATGATGGCTGGTATCGCTCTTCCCCAGCACAGCTCAACCTGCAGTCATGATAATGCTGCTTGTTGTCCTTGGTAGAATATCTTGCCGCTGTCGTGAGATACTTCTCTGCATATTCGTAACTTGGGTTATTGGTAGATTCGGGGCTAGGTTTTTGGGTAGGATACCACTGGGGAAAAGTTAGTTTGTTGTCAAGCAACCCAATGAAAGTGGAACGCACCTGGTCAAAAATAGACACCCGCTTTACCACGAGATCGATGCGAGGGACGAATGACACGACAAGCAACGCTACGACAAGAGATTCAGAGGTGTCAAACAGCAACAGATGGAGTTGCAAAGAGATCATGAAAGAATATTCAATCCTCTCTCTCCAGTTTGACACAAAACAACGTTTAAAAAAGAGTAATGGAAGAGTTCCATGACAACGAAGGCGCAAAGACAGCATGTAAGGGTACAAGGAAGCTTTCAGCATCACCTGCAAGGCAAGCGAGGCCCATGCCAGCCACCCCCGCTGCCTGCATCTTCCTCCTGCTGCCCGCCATGCGAAAAGCCGCGCCTACCCCCTATTTGGAAGTGTATGGGGTCTAATAGGCCAAAAGAAGGGGTTATCGGTTGAAAGTTTTGCGTGTAGGTGGGGTGATTTGATCACCCGGTCTATGAATTATCAAAGTGTGATATAAATAGGGGTGGTCAAAAACTTGACCACCCTTCCCTTTGTATGATGTGAGGTGACCCACCTTTCAAGCCAAGCGCCGCATGGCGGAGAGAAAGAGGGGATGGAGGGGACAGAAAGAGATGCAAGCGGCATGAAAGACAAGGTCAGACGACCTGAATGAAGTGACAGAGTGGACATCCTCTCAGACAACTGGTCTTGAGAGCACGAAGAGTGGAAGGGGTTAAAAGTCCTGCAGCCAATTCCGTGACGAGTGTGCTGTAACTCAACTGGATCTGCGAGCTTACGAGATGAAGTTGCCATTCCTCTTCCTGATTATCATGATCGATCGCATCCATTGTAATTATCCAGTTTGGGAAACGATCAACCCTTCTTCAGTGCCGGCTAAGGGGGGATTTACAATCACTGTGAACGGCCAGGATTTTCGCAGTGAGAGCAAGCAATACAACTGTACATTTAAGTTGGATCAATTTAGGTTAAGCGTCGTTGCAGATATCGAAGAGAACAATATTCTCACCTGTCTCGTCGACACTTGGGGTCACCATGCGGGGTTGGCAGAACTCATCATCACCGAGGAGAGCAAACGGCCTGTGTTGTTCGTTGGAAACGAGAGTGGCATGAATGTCGACGTGTTTCAAGGATGGGAACAATCGAGCTTGGATGGAATACCAATCTCAAGTACGGGGGGTGGGCAAATATTGTTTACAGGTTATGGGTTCATAGGCTCCTCACAATATTCACAAATGTATCAATGTATTTTCAGACGAAATGGCAACGAAGTTTTGTCGACCTTTGGCATGGCGGATTCTTCGCATGTCGCATGTAACATACCAGCTTGGGGTACAATCTTCTCAGCATCAATCCAGTCACGTGAGATTGGGCTTAGCCCAGCAAGCAATCCACCTATTTCTGTCACATTGCAGTTCGAAGGAACCGAGGTTGCATTCACAGAGGGCGATGCAAGGACGTTGGAAAAGATCCCGACCTTTCCCTGCCACGTTCACACATGCTATTTGTACTTCTTTGCCACGTGGAGCCGAGCAGCCTTGAGCAGTGACCTCGAAACTTTTAGTGACCGAAGCTCTTGGTTTATCCGCCCGATATCTGCCAATGGGAATCAAAGCATAGTCGTGGCTGGTTCTGGTTTTGGTGGAAGTTATGATTATTTGTGTGTTATTCGCAACAGCCAGGGTCTGAATGTTTCTGAGACTGCGCTTTTTGTCAATGCAAACACTTTACAGTGCCAAATTCCGACGTGGCCCTTCAAATCAGGAATTGTCAACCTTAGCCTTCTCGTCTCCTATGATGGCTATGAGAATTCTGCTGTTTTTGGAACTGAGGATGTGTCGTTTAGCTTTTATGCCGAATGGAATTCGGTTTGGCCGAGACAAGCATTTGCCTCGGGTGGAATCTCCCTAACAATCTCTGGTGCAGGTTTTGATGTCTCTGCCGTGTACTCGCTACGGTTCAACAGTACTCTCAACACCAAATGTGACGTAGTCAATACGTTTGAATTGGTTTGTCCTATGGAACAATGGCAGGGATCGCATGGATCCGTTTGCGTCAGCCTGACAGAAAACGGGAACATCGTTCATGTAAATAGTGAATGTGTACAATTTCAAATTTTTCCATTCTGGTTTTCAATCAACAAGTGCAATACAACCTTTCCTGTCAGCGAATTGATCGAATTCAACATCTCCGGATTTGGATTTGCCGTCGATAAGACCTACACGTGCAAGTATTCCCCGGTTGGAAATGTTGAAACTTGTGCGGGGTCTCTTTATACCTCACCTGCAACATTCGTCAGTCCTACCATTTTGTCATGCCAAACACCAGCATGGAGTGATTGTTTAGAGCATGGAACCGCGAGCATTCTTATACACGAACTTCCTTCTCGCACTGTATTATATAGAAATTTCACATCAAACTCGTCATCTACTTGTCAATTCAGCACCAACCGGGTAAGTTTCTATTCAAGTTGGTCACACATTTCACCAAATTCGGCCCCGTTCAAAGGAGGGTCAGTAATCACCGTGCACGGGTACGGGTTCTCAGATCGCTCTTCCTACATGTGTGACTTCCAGTTCTCTAGTGGAGGTGCACAGTTCGTTTCCAGTCAAGTGCTTACATGTATCAGTCCAGCGTCAAACGTCTCTACCACCGAGGTGTCAGTCATCGAAGACGGCAACGTGGTATCTTACATGGGAGGTGGAAACGTTCTCGTCTTCGAGAGTCAGTGGAATTCCATCGGCACCCCTGTCGTCCTGGGGAAGGAGGGTGCAAACGTCACTGTAAAGGGTCAGGGTTTCGCCGAGCCCCTCTACGACTGCCTCTTCATACCTCTGAATGGTGGGCCAAGCAAACTTGGCGTGGGACAGTCCTTGGGGGAGAATGATATTCTTTGCAGTCTGCCCAAGTGGTATCTGCCGGCCGGCAAAGTAAGGCTGGTCGTGCAGTACAGGGATTCTCACCTCAACATGACTTTCATTGGAAGTGAAGAAAAAAGCATCTTTGAGGTCAGCGAGGGCTGGGATGAATTCTCAGAGACAAGTCTGCAGTTTTCTGCAAAGTCCAGCGAGCCGCTGGGCATCAAAGGGTATGGCTTCGACGCTATGAAAGTTTACACATGTCAATTCACTAGGAGTGAGAAGGAAGTGGTCAGGACCAACGCATCTGTCTTTAACTCCTCCACATTGAGCTGCCCTCTTCCTGTTTGGGGCTCCATGTTTGCAGCTGGCAAACGGTCAGGATATGTTGCACTGCTGATTCTTTATGAAGAGATGTTAATACCTTTCACGAACAATACCTTTCATGTACAAGACACGCTCCAATGCAGCGGAAATCTTCATATCAATGGATGCTCAATTCTTTTTGATACCGTCTGGGATTATGCTATTTCCTCAACAACTACAAGCCAGGTTCTGCAAACTAGTCTCGTCACCGTTTTTGGTTTTGGTTTTGACGAGCTTTCAAGCTACATCTGCGACTTTTTCTGCTTTGAAGACGCTTCTCAGAGTAAGCAAGCCTACGGCACAACATCGAATGCACGGGTCGAGAACCAGTCTGCAATTGTCTGCAATTTTTCGGAGTGGAGCTTTGAGACGCGACAGAACATCAGCCTGTCTATTCTCTTGTCAGAGGGTCAGGCCTCGCAGCTAGCTTTTGAAGGCCCTCGTCCTCCCTCCTTCTGGATTCGTCGTGAGCTGCATGGGATTCAGAACACCGTAGGTTCAGCAGCAGGAGGTACAGAGGTGCACATCCTAGGTGCGTTCATGCCGAACCTTACAGCGTTCTGCAACTTCGACGGTCTTCTGAGCAGAGCAAGCTTTGTTTCATACAGCCTTTACAAATGCACCACTCCGACGTGGCTCAGTGCCTCTGGAGTTGTTCCGATAGACTTCATCGAGGTTTATCCTCGTCCTATCAGAAGCTCTCCAGACTTCAACAGATATGCTCTGCCAGATCTTTCGTTCCTTCTTACGAACACGACGGACTCTGAATTGAATCGGACCTGCTCTGAAGGGGATACAACTTGTTTCAAGATTCAAGTCGGGTCGTTCTACTTCTTCCCCCACTTTGCAGAGCTCACTCCAAACTTCGGAGACAGGAGAGGTCTCAGTGACTTCATCTCCGCGAATGCCTCGGTCACTGCCCATGCCTTCGGCCTCATCGCCACCAGGAACTACACGTGTCAACTCACCCTTCAGGTTGACATCGCTCCCTACGAAGCAACTATCCCTCGCAACTCCATCACTCAGAGCCAAGACCTGGCACAGGTCTGCACGTACCTGCAGTGGGGAGGCTTCACCGACGGGTCTCCTCCGGATCAAGATTACCCCATCAACACCTTCAAGTGCTGGATCCTAGCTCCCCAAGGTGCCCAGAGCCTCTTCCTCCAGTTTCCTCGCTTCGAGACTGAGCTTGACTGGGACTTCGTGGAGATCTGGGATTGCTTCGATATCGCGTGTAGCGACAAGACGTTGATCAGGAGCTTGACCGGATCCCCAGGCCCGGCCGAGGCAGCAACGGCCTCCAGCAGCGGTGTGGTGTTGGTCACTTTTCATTCAGACGAGCTCATAAACAAACAAGGGTTCGAGAGCCGGTTTGAGATCTTTTCAGTCCTCTCCTCCCCTTCGAGCCCGGTGGACTCCTTCCGAGTTGTCTGTCCACTGCCCGTGTGGGACATCGACACTCCCTGGAAGCAGTTTTTTGACAAGCAAGTCGACGTGCTCCTCCTCGAGTCTGCTGACCCAGCCGCTGCCGCGAGTTCCTCGCGCGCTGTCGCGATCTCTGGGACCTCGTCGTTTGTCTGGACTCAGGTAAAGCAGAGCTGAGAATCTCTTTACTTGTCGACTTTGAGGGCTTGACTCTTGTTGCAGGTCAACCGCCCGCCATCCTACATAGGTCATGACGTGCACGTCCTGGCGTCCCCCAGCGCACAGGGATACTCCTTCCAGTGGGCTACGGACATCTTGACAGGGAGGAACGCTATGCACACACAGACGCAGATCGAGGCAGATCAACTCTTGACGTTCCAGGTTCAGATAGTTTCAGCCTCCATGGAGGACATGTTCCTGGAGTCGCCAGCCATCAATCCGGAGGGTCAGCTGAGCTTCGTGGTCAGGGCAAACAAGTTTGGTACTGTTGTCTTCCATGTGACCTTGTAAGTCCGCGCAACCTCAATGCTGTGACATCGCTGGTTTCTGACTGTTTGCTCCTCGTTTCAGGCAAGATGATGGAGGTAGGGCGTTTGGAGGAGAAGATTCCTATACTCTCCCCTTTCGACTGGACGTTATCCTTCCCTCTTCCCTCTCCTCCTTCTGGGATGTGGACTTCTTGTCGAACTTGAGAATTTTTGAGAATTCAGGCCGACATCACATCATGTTTTATCGTCAGGTCACAACGACGTCGGACATCCCTCCACGCATTCCGATCTTCAAGAACTTTTCCTACGAAAGCTCCTACTTCGAGGACATTCCAACGATCGAGCGGAACATCATTCATTTCAAACCGAGGGCAAACGTGTTTGGCAACACCTCCATCGTCTTCACCATCGAAGAGGCGGCAGAGTTCGATGCCGTCAACAACTACACCTTCTCCGGGATGAAGCAGTTCGTATTGCACATCGAGATCGTCCACGTCAATGTTGCCCCCTCGTTCCGTTTCGAAGACGCGCTGGTCAGCATCAACGAGACCGTCTACTTCGATGGCGCCTTGCAGTCCCTCTCCTCCTTTGCTGTGGACATCCTACCAGGGCCCAACATTTCCTTCGGTCCAAAGGGTGAAAACTGGCCAGAGGAAGGGCAGCTCTTGACCTTTCAGGTCTTTCCAGAGTCGTTGGTGTTCCTAACACAGCCGCATCTGTCTAGCAACGGGACGTTGTCGTTCTCGTTGAAGAGGAACCTCAACGGCATTGTAAGGCTAAATGTGCTGCTGCAGGATGACGGTGGCACTTTGCTGGAGGGCCAGGACGTCTCCGTCATTCACAACCTGACGATCGACGTGCTTCCTGTCAACGACCCTCCTGACTTCACCATCCTGTGCGATCTTTCGTCTTACATCGACGTCTCTTGCTCAGCATCATGTCCGCACGGGCGTTACCTGAAGGACCCTCAGGAAACTCTTTCGCTCGTGACGGAGCAGGGAGCTCTGAACACCTCGATAGCCGAGGTCACGAAGCTGATAGATCAGCTCGATCACGACATGGCGGTCGGGCTTGTCTCTAGGAATTACTTCCTGGCACAGTACAAGCAACTCAAGGGTGACTTGGACCGATCAAACGTCCGGCTCGCCTATGTGAATCTGCTGCTGTCAAACGACCCGTGCAAGGTTGACATAGTGGTGGAGGAGAGTTGCTTTCATTGCTCACAACTTCCGATGGGCTGCGGGCATGGCGTCTCCTTCAGTCACCTTGCGGGCTCTATAAAGCCATCGATCTTCAACTCGGCAGACGAGCTCCGTCAGACCTTGTCCTTCACCTTCACGCAAGTCGGAGCTCCCCTAGGACACTCAGTGATGTTCTCCTTCGGGCCCTCAATCAGTGTGGCTACGGGCGACCTCACCGCTTGCCTGCTGGAATATGCCAACGGCGAGAAGACTTTCTCTGTGTACCTGGAAGACGATGGGGGTGTAGAACGTGGAGGGATCAACGCCCAGGGGCCTGTATTCATTACATTTCATGTGCTTCCCATCAACCAGCCCCCTTCCTTTCAAGTCTGTGACACCTGCCTGCCATCGCAACGTCAAGCAGTCGGAATGTGCTGTCAGGAACAATACTCCGAGGTTGTCTTTCAAGATTTGGCTTGTGACTCCACGTCCTACGAATCCCCTTCTTGCTCTCTCTCTCTGCAAGTTCCAACCTTTGAGCGATCGAGATCTCACCTGATCATACGTGTTATGATTGAGAACATCAACTTTGACGGTGCAGATGAGTTTGTCCCAAGAATCGCGTTGAACGACGAGGCTCTTATCACCTCTTACGATCCTGCCCGTCACCAATGCGGCTCTTTCTCCCAGTTGGAATTTCCTCTTGAGAAGTTTGGCACTGTCGAATTCTCACTAATCACCAATCTCAAGTTTTACAGGTTCGATCAAACTTGCAGCGGAAAGACCTTGAACGTGCGGGTTCAAGTTGTATCGAAGCCGTTCGGACATCAGTTTGTTGTATGGAAAAGCACAATCAACAAGTCTGCACTGAGATGGTATGACAATTTCAACGTGAACATTCTCAAAGGCGGCACATTCCTGGATGGTTCAGACTCTGAGTCGGATCAGAACATCACCTTCTCTACCTCCCTCGCCTCTACCCCTTCCTCCTTGTTCGCCCAGCCCCCCTTCTTCCACAGCAACGGCACCCTGGAGTTCACCGTGACGCCAGGGGTGTCGGGCGAGGCTCTGGTAGGGGTGAGGCTAGCGGACGACGGCTTCGAGGAGGACCTGCGGGCAGGCACTCAAGCCTTCGACGCGCAGCGGGGATACGCGTACGCGGGGAGGAACACGTCAGAGGAGCACAACTTCTCGCTGGTGGTCGCGTGCACGTACACGGTGCTTGAGCTCGGGGCGAGTGTGCCGCTAGCAGAGGCGAGGCGAGTGCTGGCGACGGGTCTGGGGATGGAGCTTGGGAGGGTGGTGGCACTGCCGCCAGAGAGTGTGTACGGGATAGGGCTGGTGGGGCTGAGCGAGGAGGAGGCGGTGGTGTTTGTAGAGAACGCGAGCACGTACAGCGGGTGGCTGGAGGGAGCGTTTCCGTTGGCGGGGGAGTGGGTGCGGAGGGCGGAGGCATATGTGAAGAACTTTGACGCAGAGGCGACGTTCAGGATCTCGAACAGCACGGTGACGATCTACGGGGCAGAGTACCCGCGGGAGAGTCCTTTCATGCTGGATGATTTCATAATGAATGTTACGGCTCCGAGTGATACGGCTCTGGATGTGTATGGGTTTCCTCAGGTTTATTTCCATGTCGTTCCTTTGAGGTATCGGATGCAAGGAGGGAACTGGACGAGTTTCAGTGAAGACGATCCGAACCTGCGAGTGTCGGACATCAAGATAGAAAACAACTGTACGCTTTCTGCCTACGATAATGGAACTCTTGTCCACAAGACCTCGGCGCCCTACTCCTGTCTCAACACGACTCTGGTAGTTGGGACCTTCAAGTATGTGGAGGCAGAGTTCATGGTGACGATGAATGGAACGAATGGAACTGTGACCAACTTCTTCAACGTGTCAGTCCTGAAATTTGTAGAGGTTCCAGAAACCTTGACCTACTCCACCGACGAGGTCATCTTGGACGTAGATGTCTCTGCTACCAACTTCTCAACTTTCTACGAGCTGCCGTACCTGGAGCAGCAGCAAATTGTCACGTTCAGTCTGTTCGATGCTCTGCCCTCCGCGTACTCTGGCCTGATGCAGCCGTCAATTGACCTGCAGGGAAACCTCTTCTTCCACCTGACGGCTGGGCAGAACGGGGTGGAGAAGTTTATCTTTGCTGCGTCCGTCGACGATCCTGACATCTGGGGCATCTGCATCTTGCGGGCGGATGGCGGCAGAGATTGTGTCGCCCGGAAGACCGCTAGCGTTGTCAACATCTCCCTTGTCATCGATGTGAAGAGCTTCAACAACCCTCCTTACTTCCAGTGGAACACAAGCAACCCCAACATCTGCTGCACTGACCTGATATCGCAGTTCGAGTCCTACGTGTGCAAGCTGCTGCAGCCTGACGGATACCAAGAGATTGTTTCGATCTTCGTTCACGAGAACTGTGTCGATTGCCCGTCTTCGTCAAGCTGCCAGTATGGAGGCAATCTGACAAGCATCTTGTCCCCACACACCATATTAGCATCTCAACAAGACTTTCCAAATGAGCGATCCCAGCAGCTTTCCTTCCAAATCAGCTCGGTGAGTCAAAACCGCTCCTGTGTTATTTGTTTTTGACTCGATGACACAGCAAGGTATCTGCGGCATTGGCAGCTTGTTTGTGGCAGATTCTGTTCAGATTAATTCTCATACTGGTGACTTGACCTTCTGTATGGGCGAGTTCAACTATGGCATCGAGCAGTTTGAGGTCAAGTTGTTGGACGATGCTGGTGGTCAAAGTCAGAACAGGAGCCTTCTCAAGCTCTACGTCCTGCCTGTCAATCAAGCACCAAACTTCAGACTACAAAGCCTCTGTTTCCAAGAGCAATGTGTGTCTGAATTCATCGCCAATCAGCAAGCTTACGTCCATGGCATCATCGTTTGGAAAAATTATCTGAACCAGAACTCGCACAAGCTTTACGAAGCCTTCGCATCAAACCTAACCAAAGGAGGAGTCAGGGCTGACGGTTCAGACTCTGAGTCGGATCAGAACATCACCTTCTCTACCTCCCTCGCCTCTACCCCTTCCTCCTTGTTCGCCCAGCCCCCCTTCTTCCACAGCAACGGCACCCTGGAGTTCACCGTGACGCCAGGGGTGTCGGGCGAGGCTCTGGTAGGGGTGCGGCTAGCGGACGACGGCTTCGAGGAGGACCTGCGGGCAGGCACTCAAGCCTTCGACGCGCAGCGGGGATACGCGTACGCGGGGAGGAACACGTCAGAGGAGCACAACTTCTCGCTGGTGGTCGCGTGCACGTACACGGTGCTTGAGCTCGGGGCGAGTGTGCCGCTAGCAGAGGCGAGGCGAGTGCTGGCGACGGGTCTGGGGATGGAGCTTGGGAGGGTGGTGGCACTGCCGCCAGAGAGTGTGTACGGGATAGGGCTGGTGGGGCTGAGCGAGGAGGAGGCGGTGGTGTTTGTAGAGAACGCGAGCACGTACAGCGGGTGGCTGGAGGGAGCGTTTCCGTCGGCGGGGGAGTGGGTGCGGAGGGCGGAGGCATATGTGAAGAACTTTGACGCAGAGGCGACGTTCAGGATCTCGAACAGCACGGTGACGATCTACGGGGCAGAGTACCCGCGGGAGAGTCCTTTCATGCTGGAGAATCTGATGCAGGACATCCTTCCTCGTAGAGACTCTCCCCTGAACACCAACGGCGAGATCCACATCTCGTTCCTGCTGAGCCCCAAGAGGTTTCGAAGGAGGATGGATGATGAATGGGCGAATGTGACTGCAGATCCGGTCTTCTCCTCAGTTCGACTGGAGGCAAACTGCTCTCATTCGTGCGACCAGCTCATGCCCGACTGCTCGTCTCGTCTGACCCTTGCCAAGGGCCCCACGGACTTCGGGCAGGTAGAGTATGAGGTGAGGATGAATGGCAGCACTGTCGTACGAACGCTCTTGCTGGAGGCAATGATCGGGGTGGGATACACGACAATTGTTCAGCGGGAGGTCGTCGACCAGAGAGAAATCTACTCGCAAGACTTCATTCAGACGGCCTTCACCGCTCTCTCAGTCTATGGCCCAGTGAGTCAGATCTTGCTGAGCTCGGCTGAGTATGACCTCATCGACCGAGTAACGAGGGAGGTTGTCGTCGACAGGAGGCTGAAGTTCTACGGTCAATTCTCCTTCAAGCTGCTCTCCAATCACTCCTACATGTTCCTCAAGTTCCCGCGAGTCGAGATGCTCGACAACCTCCGCGGCAGTCTCGTCTTCGAGCTTGTCCCCTACCAGAACGGCAACGCCACCTTTGAGTTCTCGATGATCCTGCCCAACGGCAACTTCTCGGGGACTGTCTTCAACATTAACGTCCTGCCGGTGAATCAGCCTCCCAGGTTTCGCATCGAGAGTTTGCTGCTGCTGGACGAAGCGGCCAAGATCGCTCCTGTCTCCATCCCTGGCTTTGCCACGGACATTGCTCCGGGTCCAGCTGCAGCAGAGGACGAGAGGAGCCAGGAGTTGACCTTTAACCTCACTGCAGCTTCTCCTGCAGACTTCCTGACCCTTCCTCAGATTGACGTTATGGGGAACTTGACCTTCCAGCTCGTGCCCTCCCTCTGCGGGGAGACGTGCGTCGACGTCGTTCTGAGAGACAACGGAGGGACAGCGAATGCCGGACAGGACCAGAGTAATTCGAGGTTCTGCGTCAAAGTCTCATTTAACAACACGGCACCCGAGTTCACGCTGCAACCTTCAGTCCAGATCAATGAAGGCGAGTACTTGGCTGCCAGGCTGATCACTAACATCTCGAGTGGCTCCTCCCCTTGTGGGGATGTGAACCAGGAGGTCACCTTCAAGGTCTCCTACCTCCAAGGAACTTCCGCTTCCGAGAGTCCGCTTCCTGACATTTTCGTCAACGGTACCGTCCTCTTCCAGTCTATGCTCAACAAGTTCGGCACGTTCAAATTCGGGGTTGAGCTGCAGGACGACGGGGGCAGCACGAACTATCCCATGACCTCTGCCTTGCAGGAGCTGGACATCAACGTCTTGCCCTGCAACAACCCTCCATCATTTGACGTCGCTGTCACCTCCAACGAGACGGTCGGGATGAGCGAAGGCAACCATCGTATCTTCCTTACGGTCCTCGAGCAGCAGAGGGAGGAGGCGCTGGTCTTGCGGGACCTCGTCTACCACGTTCTTGCAGGCCCAGCCAACGAGGCTTGTCAGGAGATGCAGATGAAGGTGGAGGGAGACACGGCGTCTGCCTTCCTGTACGCCAACGTCACGCTGAGTGTCAACACGAGCTACTTTGATCAGTGCTCCATGGCGAGTGACTGGCTGACTCGAGGCTTCAACGGCAGCCTCTCGTTTGCTCTGGTGCCTCACTGGAATGGTTTCCTCAACTTCTCCCTCCTCTTGACTGACAGCGGTCCCGACGGCGGTTGCAGCAGCAACAGCTTCGAGCGGAAGGTCTCCTTGTACGTCGTTCCGGTCAACAGCGCACCCGTTATCACCGCAACGCCCATCATCACCCTGCAAGAGGGGGAAAACCTGACGGTCTTGGATCACTTTGCCAACATCTCGAGCGGGGCCTACAACGAGGTCCAGCAGGTGCTGTCAGTAGCTCTAGTGCAGTCGTCGGGGCCCGTCGGAGTGATCGCGCAGCTAAGAGCCTTCTGTGTGTTCGAGGGCGAGGACCTCGAGTTTCCCACGGCATGCGCAAGCGGCGTCGTGAAGCTCATCGTGAGGCCGGAGAGAAATCGGTTCGGGCTGGTGAACTTCACCATGAGGGTGAGCGACAACGGAGGGACTGAGCTGGGAGGCATCAACGAGTCCACCACGTCCTTCCTCATCTCGGTAGCCGCAAGGAATGACCCGCCTGCCTTCCGACCGACCCAGGACGCGGTGAGAACGCCTGCCGATGCTGCTGTTGATCTCTTCCTTCCCTCCTCCTCCCCGTTCCCCCTCCTCCCTGCTGCTGCTGCTGCTGCTGCTGCTGCTGCTTCTGATGTTGATGCTGTCTAGATCAAGGTAGCGCAAGACTCGGGCTTTGTCGTACTTCCCGCCTTTATCCAGCACATCTCCATGGGCCCTTGGGAGAGTCTGCTAGGATCAGACTGCCCGTCGGCCCTCGACTGTGGTACCATCAAGCGATGCGGGGAGCCTATCTACTACTGCGAGAATCAGCTGGGCGTGTTTGACGTTCAGGTGTCAAATTAGGATGACGCGAGGGCTGCCTGACTCCCTTGCGCAGGTCAACATGGTGACAGCTGAACAAGTCTTCAAGGTGCTCCCAGCTATCACTCTCGATGGGAACGTGTCGTTTCAAGTCTTCGACGGCATCGTCGGCGTCATTCCACTCACCATCTCCCTTCATGACGAACGGGCTCTGGACAATTCCTCCAAGGCATCCCAGCCCTCTTCCTCTGACCCTTCCTTGTGACTCCTTCCTTGCAGGCTGCCAGCAGGGACTTGGACCTGATTGTCTACTCGCTCCCGAGGTTTCACTTCAGCCAAGGGAGCAGGGTGTGCATCCTAGAGGACTCAGCACCAGAGCAGATCAAGGTTGAAACTTCATGGTGAGCTTGTCGGTGAGGCTGATGGGGTGCAGGTGATCTACCTTGAATCCTTGACCTTCGTTGGCAACGTGTCTGAAGTGCTGAATCACTCGTTCATACTAGAACATCCCAGGCAAGTTCCCTCACGCTGTCGTTGGCAAACTCGGAGTTGTTTGCCGTGACAGATGCTGTCAGGACAAGCTTGTTCACCCCCACGGGCCAGCCGTACGTGAATGGCTCCGGCTACTTGTTTGTGGAGCCGGCAGACAACCAATTCGGTACTAGAGGGCTGATCGAACACCAAGAACAGCTGACGAGGACGTGCAGGTCTGCTGAACATGCAGGTTGTCCTCCAAGTCCAGGATGAGTTCTCCTCCGTCAAGAGGTGACCTGAGGCTGCCTGCCATCAAAGAGTTTGACCCGTTGAAACGCAGGAGGAGCGATCCCCAATCGTTCTCTGTTCATGTCCTTCCCATCAACGATCCCCCGTCCTTTCAGCTCGTCGGGGAGATATCTGTGGTGAATATTCCTGCAGTCTTCTTGTTCGTTCTGCTGATTGCAGTCCCCATTCCAGTACCTTTCCACACAATTCGTCCGGGTGGCAGACTCGTTGGTCGCGGGCCCATGGAACGAGGTTGTTTTGAAGGATTGCATTCAACTTTTGGATCGATTGAAGCTGCTATCTCCAGAACTGCCCGATTTCACAGCTCAACTGCAGCAAGCAGACCCTGACTTTCGTCGTTCTGAATGTGATATTAGCGTCGATCTGACCTCCTTGAACCTTGACACGACCGTTGCAGGTCACTGAAGCTTTGATGTTCCAAACTTTCCCAAGGATTGACAGCAACGGAGACCTGATCTTGAACTTTTCATCCACTTTCTTCGGCTCGTGTCAAGTGTTCGTTCAGTTGTTTGACGACGGGAATTCAGATGTAGCAAGCCCTCAACTTCTGTTCCCTGCTGACGTGCGGCAGGACATCGCGCAAGCTACCAACGTGTGCGACGTGAATGCCCCGACTGTCAGGACTCTAGAGAGCAAGGTGGTCGATCGACTCTTGCAAGAACTTCACGTGTGGTAATGGCGAGCATGCAGGAAGCAAACTCTTCTTCCATCTACTCCTTCACTATCAATCTCCTGCACGAGAACATCAAACCTGCTTTCGCGATCAACCAAAGCTCCACATGTCCGACGTTGTTGGACCCAAGCTTGCTCAACTGCACCTGCGACTCCTTCAACTCGGATGAAACTGGCGTGTGTGCAATCTGGCAACAGGTAAAGTGATCAAGTCGCATTTGTCCTGCCACATCGCTTGTTCCTTGCTATCTCTACATCTGAACTTGTAACACAGGCGATCCAGGACAGCCAGGGCCCCGGCGTTATCACAGTCTTAGAGGGTTCCGGTGACATCCGCCTTGACCGCTTCATCCAGGACCAGACGCCTGTGGAGCACGTCATTCCTGCCGAGGTTGTTCGGCTCGACTGGAACAGCAGCAGCCGATCGCTGAAGGTGCTCGGAGGAGCCCCAGACAACGTGCTGAGCATCCCTGGATTCGAGTATGCCGTTGACTTCGCCCGAGATGTGGAGAACGGCTTCTTGTATACCATCGAGTACGAGACAGACACGCTCTCGCTCTACTCGTGGCTCAACGGCAATGCCAGTCCCGTGCTGATGGAGAGGAGGGCGAACAATGAGCACAGGTTCCGCTTCTTGCATGCCTTCGAGAACGAGGAGAATCGATCGGTCCAGCTCAGTCACATCTGCGGGCTGAGCGTGCTGGAGGACAAGAATGCCACTGCTGTACTGCCTGCCGTTGGCTGTCTGCAGGAGGATGGTGTTGTTGATAATGCCGCTATGGACTATTCGGCATCCAATGATTCTGCTCTCCTCAACATCACGGTGGGCTGGTGGGACATGCGATCGAGTGCGTTCAGCTCGCCCATGATGGTATGGAACAACTTCTCGAGCGGACAGGTCTTGCTGGTTGCGAGGAGAGGTGCTTGGTAGCTGACTGTCCTTCTCAGGTCAGTTGCAACCTGACTTGCACCTATTCCCGGCTGCAAAACGTCGTCGAGTGCCCGGAAAACAGCTTCTTGACGGAGGTAAGCTCTCTTTGACTCGGCCTGGGGCTGTCGATGACTCGCTCGTGCAGATCGAGCAAGCAGCGATCAGCGACCAGACCAACATGCTGGGAGCTGCGTTCCTGACCATCCCTTACTGCGTTCGAGACACGATCTGGGAAACGGACACCACAAGAACTTCTCGCTTCACCCTGAGAGCTGCGATGATACGATACAACCTGGAGGTCGAGGCTCTCCAGTTCGACGACTGCCTCAACAGCGGTCTGTTCCTCACCGACCAACTCTCACAAATCAGGAACCAGGACGCTCTCCCTTCCCAGCAAGTCTCTATCGAGCTTTGGTTCTCAATCGAGGCGACCAACATCCGCAAGTTTGCGGGCCTTGTCTCGACGAGAGACGGCTACTTCGACCGGTCAGGGTGGAGCATCGTCTACAGCGTCAACCACGTTAACAGCCAGAAGCTGTCGGTCACATTCGTCTGGACGCTGAACACCAACAGGTCGAGCAGCTCGATGGGCACGTCTGAGGTAAACTTCACTCAGACGATCAACCGCGGGGAGTGGAAGCATCTGGTCTGCAGCTATGACTCCAAGTTCCTGCAGATCTTCCTTGACGGGGAAAACGTGATGAACGAGTCTGCCTGCATCCTGCCCCAGTGCGGGAACATTTTCTACTCTGACGGGCCCTTCAGCATCGGGACCTTCGTGGACCGCAGATATTCAAGCAACTTCCCACATGTAGGAGCGATCAAGAGTCTCCGGGTCTTCAGCAGGTCGTTGAGCGCGGAACAGGTCCGGTACCTCTACCTCCGCTATGCTGAGGTCTTGTCGGCCTCTCCTACGATCCCGATGCTTGAGAAAGAGCAGAACGATCACTGGTACGCCATCGAGACTGACGTGGACCCTTCGGACAACCTGAAGGTCTTCAATCCTCCTCACGTCAACTTCACCGTCACTGGCAGTTTCACGTTGGGGTCGTTGTACCTCTGCGAGTTCAGCTACACGCTCACCAACGGCAGCTCGATGGCTCAGGCGTCGATCGCGAGAGCAGACTCGTCAGATCGGATCAGGTGCCTCAGCCCTCCATGGACTCTAGGGTATCGAAACACCATGCTCTCCGTCTCTATCCTCAACCAGACCAACGGGGTCACGTTCAGATTGTGGCAAAGGTTGTCACTTTCCTGGAGCTGTCGAACTCTCTTCAACGCCACTTTTAGCGCCAGACAGTTCGGAATGCCGACAACCAACTTCACTTTCTTCCCTCCCCTGCCTGTGTACAGCCTCAACCATTCTAGCCGGTTTGAGTACCGAGAGTTGCTGGACGCCATTAGCTTCAGTGCTGAGAGCCATTTTGAGTTCTTATATGGCGTAAGGAAAATCACTCGGGCCACCCTTGGGAATCAGAGTTACCTGTTGGTCGCGAGAGATTGGAATGGCCTCTCCTCCACTGCTAGCTCTGCTGTGTTCTCCGTCACCTATGAGGAGCCCAGGTTCAGACTGCAGCTTGTGCAGGAGATTCATATCCAAGGGGCTCAGATGCTGGAATTTGCCACCTTCACTAGTCCTTCTAACGCGACTATAGGAGTGCTGATCGCCGTGAATCTGCTCGGAAAGACTCTCGTGTACAAGGCAGATAGCGAGGACTCTCTGCATGTCAACGAGACGAACTTCTTGGAGCTCCACGGGCCCGGAGCTGCTGCTGTCGACGTCTTCACTTGGGGGGGACGAGACTACCTCGCCGTAGCTGACAAGACAAACGGTGACGCTTCTGGGGTTCACACTTTCGGCTTTCCTATCAACGCAACTCACAGCGTGTTCGACCAACAGAGTTCGGACTTGGCCGCGCACGTGACAGCTCTCCCTGACGGCAGCTTGTCCGCCTCGGCGCTGCAGCCCCTGCCGGTGCGAGGAGGAGCAGACCTTGTGTCGCATATGAAGTCCGGGGGGTCCATGATCCTTATCTTCGGGTCGCTGTCAAGCGACACGGTGACGGTCGTCGATCTCGAGCATCCGCTCGAGCAGCTGCAGACGCTCATCGGTCTCGGCCTGATCTCCTTCCAAGTGTTCCAGCAGGGCAACGACAAGTACCTCCTGGTCTTCGCTCGGGAGAGAAGTTATTTGTACAGGTGGAACGGATTCTTCTTCGAGCATGAGCTATCGGAGAGTACAAAACCAAAGGACGTGGCGGTAGGGCAGGAGATCGACGGGCTCCGACCCCTGTCGACAACTCTCTACATACAGCATGCTTACTACATCGTCTCCTATGGCTACCTCAACTCCTCACTTTCCATCGGTCTGTACAAAGGTGTCTCAGACTTTGTGGAGAAGATGGAAGGGCCATTTGCTGTCAAGGTGAGACCGGGCCCGGGCCGCAGCATCGTCGTCCTCTCACGGTATTCCAACTCCCTGGCTGTCTTTGACCACGTCCTTTCCTCTGCCAGTCTTGTCTACCTTGGCGGCCACTCCTTCGACAATCAGATCGTCGATTTCGCCTTCAGCCCCGATGGAGATTTCCTCTACGCGATCTCTCACATGCCGGGAGCCCTTCATGTGTTCGCCGTCAACGGCTCCACGAGGCTCGTCCTGCTGCAATCTCTGCATGCGTACGACGTGAGCAAGGGCATGGGACCTCGTGCGTACGGGCTGGGAGGAGCCGTTAGTGTGGACGCGTCGGAGAACTTTGTCGCAGTGGGAGGGTCCGTAGACGACGCGCTAGTCCTGCTGGCTCGCTTCAGCAATGGGACGGTCGAGGTGATCGACTTTGCTCTCTCAGGCTTCAACGATATTCCAAGCTTCCATCGCCTCAACGCTCATCCCAAGGAGCTTCTCTCTCGTACCCCCGGCCTCTCCAGCTCCCCGGGTGCTGACTTCGCCCTCCTCTCCGACGGCATCTACAGATCCTCCGCCTCCTCGCTCGTCTCTGCCTCTGACCTGTGCGTCTTCTCGTCGATGACGAGAACGCATCTGCTCGTCGCCGTTACTGAGATCGGACACAAGTCGCAGTTCGGGGGGGTCGCCGCCTACGTCTGGTTGTCCGACAAGAGTGAGTTCGTGTTGGACCAGTGGCTGGAACATCCTCTCCCTTCCGATCCATCACGACAGGTCAGAGACTACGGAGCGACGTCGGTGACGCACTTCGAGGTGCTACAAGACAACTCGCTCAGGCACTACATCGCTGTAGGAAGCAGCTTCTGCGATGACGTCGACCGTCTGTGTACGTCCCTCTACGTGTATGACGAGGCGAGCAGAAACTTCTCCTTCTTTGGCTCACTCCCGCAAGTTTCTGAGTACCCGGACACGCACGTGTCAAAGGTCGAGGCCTTCTTTCATGCCGGCGCCGTCTATGTCTTCGTGGCGGTCTACTGGCAGCCTCGCCCAGCACGAGTCGATCACTTTGCCACCCAGTCGGTGCTGTACCGGTTCTCCCCCGGCTACAAGCTGACTCCCCTAGCCCGAGACTTGGAATTTCAGAGGGTCCACACCTTCAAGACCTTCGGAGCCTCCGACTTCTCAGTCTGGCGTCTGACAGCGTCGCAAGAGGTGAAGTCTGACCACTACGTCTCCCCTGCTCTGACTTCCTGCTTCCCCAGCTCCTCCTCCTCGTCGCCAACTTCTTCGGCCCAGATGGAGTTCCGGATGGTACGGTAGAGATTTACACGTTCGATCCGTCAAGGGTGGAGGCTGTCCGACATGTCCAGACCATCCCCGCGCAAGGAGTCGTCGACCTCGAGCTCTTCCACGTCCCCGACGTCGGGGACTTGCTCGCCGTCTCGAGCAGACAGGTAAGGAATCGCGATGAGCTTGCAGGAGCTGACGTGCCGTCAGGTGAGGGAAGCGCTCGTGCGAGGTGACCTGGAAGCGTTCGATGCGATGTCGGTCGTCTACCAGTGGGACCCTGAGCTTGTGAGCGAGTCCTCCTTGGGGATGTGGAAGAAGTTCCAGGCCATCGGCGAGGAGCTCTGGACGGTCCCGCAGGCCAACAGCTCGCAAGAAGCGCAGGATTTGTTCTGTAACGGCAGGTGCGAGGTGCATGGAGGCGTCAGGTCCCTCCTGCGGTTGCGAGGAGTGACAGCGATGAGAGCGTTCTCGGTGGAGGAAGAGATCTACCTCGCCGTGTCCCAGTCCATCTGCGATCGGTTCCAACCCGCTCAAGACTGCCTGCTAGAAGGGCCTCAGCCCAGATCCGGCATCTTCCAGTTCAACAAGCAGACAGGCCGGTTCGAGGAGATCAGCTCTTCTCCTACCTCCGGGTTCCTGCAGAGCGACTACGGGAGCGTGGGGACCCGAACGAGTCGCGAGCAAGCGGAGGGAAAGAGCATCGATCGCAACGCGACTGAGCAAGCCCTTCGGATGAACCTGGGGCGGGCGAGGAAGATGGAGTACGAGGTGATAGGAGGGAGAGGATACCTCGTCACCTGCAGCGCTTCGAATGGGGTGGAGCTCTACGAATGGCGTTTCAGCTCTCACAGGATTGCCAACGCAAACTCAGTTCTCTTGTCGGAGAGCTCGGCAGCTTCAGCGCTTGTGTTTGTTTCGTCCCTCTATGAGGCGGCAGTCAAGACGTACGAGCTTGTCTCCAACTACCACGACGATGTCGGGCTGGTTCCCTCCGCCTTCGGGTCGAGGCGACTCGTCGAGCTGGCCTCCAGCAGTTTCATGGCCAACGATGTGGTGAGAAATCTTTTGACTGACCTGCAGAGCTGACTTGCTATGAACCAGAACATCCTCACGAGACCAGTTACATGGTGCAGGATGAAATCTGTCGTTGACGGCGACAGGCTCCTGGTAGAGCTCCGCCACTTCATGCCCAACAGAGAGTACCCCTGCGCTGCCTTCGATCCCCTCCCTCCACCGCTGGGGCCGACAGATGCCGTGCAAAGGAATGCAGCAGCCTGCCAGCGTCTCTCGTTCAAGGTCGAGGTGGTGGGCGCGGGTCAGTCCCTCTTCGCTTCCTCCCCGCTGGTCAACGAGACCGACGGCAGCCTCCGCCTTGCCCTGGCGCCTTTCCAGCACGGAGTCGCGTCCTTCCAGGTCAACATCCAAGACTCGGGGCTGACCAACTCCGTCGGAGCCCTGCGGCTCATCACCATCAACGTCGTTCCCATCCCCCGCCCGACCTTCCTCGTGCCCGACCCCAACGTTCAAGTCTCCGCCGCCCCCGGCCTCCTCCTCGTCCCCTTCGCCTCTCAACTCCGATTCCTCAACGGCAGCGGCCAGGGAGCCTACTGGGCGTTCACGAGCGACGCGGATCAGACCTTCGTATCCTCGGTGCGGCTGGAGGTGAATGGGAGCGAAGGAGTAGCCCACCTGAACTTCACGAGCCTCTCCATCTGGAAGGGAGTCGTCACGGTTCAGCTCAGTGGTCTCCGACTCGTCTCCAACCTCTCCCTCGGTCTGCCCCCAAATGCTCCCTCCCCGCCTCCCTGACTTGCGCTGCAGGAGCCTTCCAGTCTCCGGCCACCTCCTTCTTCATCAACCTCATCAGCTCGAACGAGCATTTCTGTAGCTCGCTGCCAGCTCTCGAGCTGCAGGAGGGGCAGGGGCTGGCAGAGGAAGCCTTCTGCCTCAGCCCTGGGGATCGCGACCTCCAGTTCCAGCTGACGTCCTGCTCGCCCCCGCCTCACTCAGCCTACAACATCTGCTCCCTGATCTCCGTCACCCCCAGCGGCGTCGTGCAGGTGGGACCAACGGCCGACCTCGTTCCCCTGACCCTGACGCTCTACAAGGTCAACGCCTCTTCCTTCCTCAACGGAGCAGCTAGTGTGAGGGTAGAGGTCCTCAACTCCTCCATCGCAGGCTCTCAGCGGATCCCCCGCTCTCGTGACGTCATCATCCACCCCGTCAGCACCGCCCCGAAGGTGCCGAGCGAGGATGTCAAGAGCATCTCTGACTCCTCGCTTGCAGGTTGACGTCAGACAGAGAGTCTTGAACCTGATCGCCGAGACTGAGATGACCGTATATTCCATGACCGGAGTGTTCGAAGGTGTACAACTTTTCCTCCTCCAGCGTCTTGTTCTCTCCACTCCTTCGCCTCCTCCTCTCTTCCCGCATCCCTCCCCTCTCGATCCGTCCCCTTGCACCTGCTTCCCTCCTCCTTCTCTTGACCCCATCTCCTCTCACGGCATGATAGTCCAAGTGCCGCCCGACGAGCGCGATAAGGTCTTCGTCTTCCACGTCGTGTCGTCGTCCTTCGCTCCCGCGCAGATTCACATGACGGCTGACGGCAACGTCTCTTTCCTCGCCACCTTCGCCGGGTGCGGCAGGGAGACCATCACGTTCGTAGTCAGGTGAGCTCTCAGCTGGGGAGCGAGGTGGAGGTGGTAATGGCTGGGGCAGGGAGGCAAACTCGACGGTGAACGAGACCTCTTCACCTCCCGTCACCCTCACCTTCAACATTCACGCGTCCCTCTCCCTCATCCGGTTCGCCGTGAAGCCGCAAGTCGCTGTGATCGCGGTAGGAGGAGGGGAGAAGTCCCTGGTTGGGCGACTGACCAGATGAGCAGGAGGCGGCGGTGAACGTGAGCCTGGTGGAAAAGCTCTACGACTCGACCTACTGCGGGGACCTCAACTGGAAGTTCGCCGTGCAGTTCTCAACAGCCAACTACGGCCTACTCGATGGCGACCCGACGGTCGATGAATGGGGGAACCTGCTTCTCAAGGTGACCGAACCTCCTCCTCCTCCTCCTCCTCCTCCTCCTCCTCCTCCTCCTCCTCCTCCTCCTCCTCCTCCTCCTCCTCCTCCTCCTCCTCCTCCTCCTCCTCCTCCTCCTCCTTCTGTTTCTCCCTCCTCTCCTGCTCCCTCATCCTCCTTTCAGGTCCTGCCCGGCCAGTTCGGCTTGCTGGCAGTCAACGTCAGCGCCATGATCTCCTTCCCGGACTTCTCACCTCAGAACTTCTACCAGCTGGGGGTGACAGGGAGCTCAAGCGTTTATCTCCTCCCTCCTCCCCGCGTGTCCTCCATCTCCCCCGCGTTCGGGCCGAGGAGCGGGGGGACGTGGATCACCATCAGCGGGCAGAGCTTCAGGGTGCCGAGCTACGAGGAGAAGCTGAGCGTGCTGGTCGGGGGCGCCGACTGCCCCGTCCTCTCCTGGTCCGTCAACCGCATCGTGTGCATCACCCCCCCAGGAGCAGACGAGCAGCAAGTGGACCTGCTGCTCGTCAGCCAGCTGGGGGAGTTCACAAGGAGGACGGAAGGAGGAGCGAGCTTCTTCTTCCTCGACGTCTTCATGGCCTACAGCCTGCCGCAGTCCGACCAGAGCTCCCTCCTCGCCTTCTCTCAGGGTCGTCGCCTCCTCGCCTTCGGCAACTTCTCGTTGCCGGGCAGGATCAACGCGGTCCAGCTGTTCGGGCAGCAGCTGTTTGTGGGAGGAACGTTCAGAAACGTCGCGGCACGAGACGGGACGGCCAACCATCTCGTCATGTGGGACGGCAACGCGCTGAGTCACTTGGGCTTGGGACTTGACGGAGCGATCTCAACCATGAGCGTTGTGAACTCCTTCCTGGTTGTCGGCGGCACTTTCTCGACAGTCTACACGGTGACCTCTTTCCCTCCGCTTCCCTCCCTCACTTCCTCTCGGTCCTCTTCCCCTTCCTCTCCCTCCTCTCCTCCTCCTTCTCTCCTCTTCCACTCCGCTCTCCTCCTCCGCTCTCCTCCTCCCTCTCCTCCTCCCTCTCCTCCTCCTCTCTTCGCGCTTCTGTCCAGCTTCATCTGATTTCAAGCGCAGGTTGAAGGTCGAGCATGGAGATGCGGAGGACTCGCCCAATGGGACGGAGCCACCTGGTCTTGCGTGGGAGGCGCGACGGTTGATGGCCATGTGGCAGTGGCGTACACGAGCGAGTAAGACGCACAAGACTCTCGCTACCTCCTCATCCTCCCTCTCTCCCTCCTTCCTCTTTTCTCCTTTCCTCTTGCTCCCTCCCTCTTCTACCTTCCTGCATTGCCTTCTCCCTCCTCTCCTCCCCCTCTCACTGTCTTCGCAGGAACGTCCTCTATGTCGGTGGTCCTTTCGGAGCGCTCGGAGCAGGGAGCTCATGCGGAGGCCTCGCCATGTTCAACGGCAGCTGGGCGTGTCCTTGGGGACGAGTGAGGATGGGAGAAGTGAACGTGATTGCGCGATGGCGGGACAGTCTGGTGGTGGGAGGATCGTTCAGAGGCATCGGAGGGTCCGACGTGTCCAGGATCGCAAGGTAGAGTCGAAAGATGAGAGGAGAGAAGATGAGGCGGGGAGAGAAGGGAGAGGGCGAAGGGAAGGGACTTGAGGGAAAGGGAAGGGAAGGGGGGGAAGGCCAGGAGAGCAGAGGCGGGGAAGGGAGAGCAGAGCAGAGCAGAGGAACCGGGGAGAGCAGAGGGAAGGAGAGCAGAGGGAAGGAGAGCAGGGGAGCGAAGGAGGGTCTTGCGCTTACTGTAGGGGATGGCAGATGGCTGGGAGGGAAGTGGCTGCCCATGGGTGACATACAAGGCAACGTGTATGCGCTGGCAGCCGGCAAGTCTTTCTTGTACGTGGGAGGAAAGTTCTCGACTACAGATGGAAGGTACGGCCCTGCTCCATCCCCCTCCTCCTCCTTCTGACTCCTCCCTCCTCCCCGTCCTCCTCTCTGCTCCTCGCACTTCTGACCGCAGCACCTTAGGGTGGAGAACTTCGGCATCTTCACCTCAGGGCTGCTCAAACCTGCGCCGGTGGTGGGGATGCTGGGAGCAGCTGTCTTCACGTTCACCTACTCCTCCTCCTGCCTCCTCCTCGGCGGAGCCTTCGAGCAGCATGCTGCTGCCTTGTGCGAACAAGGTGAGAGATCGGAATTCGGGCCCTCCTCGCGCTCAGCCTCCCCTCCCCTCCCCTCCTACTCCCCGCTGCTCCCTCTCCTCGCTCCCTCCATCCCCGACCGCCCTGACGTTGAGACTGCAGGCGACAACTTCGAGTGGAACTACACGCTAGGGGTGGGGGGACCAGCGTCAGCCTCCTGCTCCTTGTGACTTCACTGAATCCTCGTGTTCGATACAGCCGAGCCGTTGAAGAAACTCCTGTCGTTGCTCCACTTGTAGAACACCCGCGCCGCTGCTGCTCTGTCGAAGAAGAAGACAGCAGCCTTCCCGTCCCCGCACATCTCGTACTTGAGAAACGACGGCCTGCAGCACCAGAATCAGCTCCCTTCGCTCTTCCTTCCCTCCACCTCCTCATGCTCCCGCTGTCCCTCCTCTGCTAGTCTCACCAGATCGGCTGCAATCCATAGTCCAAGATCGTCGACTGGCTGCGCGAGTTCTTCGAGGTCCAATGTTTCTGCTGCAGCATCAGCGACCGGCTCCTCCTCCACCTGGACGCCACCTGAATCTCCTCCACCACTGCTGACAGCTTGTCGCACGGGTTGACCGACAGCGTCACTCTCGCGCTCCCTTCAGCCCCAACCTGCCCGTTGCCCTCTATCGCCTTCGCGCCCTCGTGCTGCCCGTCGACCGTCGGGCTCCCCCGCGCTCGCTGCCAACCACTCAGTCGCCTCCTCCTCCACTCGCCACTCTGCTCACTTCCTCCCCTCGCGCCGCCTCCTCTTTGGGATGAGCGACCTCGGGCTGGGCGGAGGCCGCAGCTCTCCTAGCGTGAATCTCCTCTGCCCGCACGTATGAGCAAGAGCATCGCAAGAGGAGCGATACAAGACCTCGCGCTCTCGCCTGCCTCTCCACCTCCTCTCTGACCCTGCTGCCATATCAGCCAAGTATCCCCGCCTCCCTCCTCACCTTCTCAGCTCCTCCACCGTCAATTTCTCCGCATCCATCGATTGCCTCACGATCTCATTCACCTGAGTCTTCATCAATCCTGCAGGATTCTCCTCCCCGCTTGCCATCCCTCACAACTCCCCATCCACAACCACCACCACACCCTCCACCACCACCACCACTACCACCACCACCACCACCACCTCCTCCTCCTCCTCCTCCTCCTCCACCACCACCACCACCACCACCACCACTGCATCCTCCTCCTCCCCTTATCCCTCCTTGCCCCATCACCAGCTCCATGTTGTCTTCCTCCGCCTCCTTCAGCAGCTGCCGGC